CCCTGTCGGGCCCGTGACCAGCGCTTGTCGTGGAGGTTGCCAACGGCCTTGTCCAGGACCAGCTTGATCGGCTCGCTCGTCCCTGCCTCGTTCAAAGAAGCTGCATCTTCGATGACTGCTGACAGCTCGCTGACGAGCTGCATGTCCTCTTGGCTTGACGGAGATGCTGCCTCCATGGTGATCCTCTCCAGGTCTGTAAACTCCAGCCACTCTCCCTCGCTCTCCTCCTGTCGCTGCGCTGCGTCGCTGGTGCCCCGCTGACCAGCCGCCTCAGAGTCAGGCTCCTTGTCGAAGCCGACTGCTTCGAGCTTGGTTGCTGCGCCTTCGAGATAGAAGGGCAGCTCCTTCATCATGCGTCGAGCATCCTCCGTGGAGCCGAGGAGGATGCATAGCTTGGACCCGTTCCAGGACTTGGTGTTCAAATCCTCCTCCATGTCGATGCCTTCAACGTTGATCTCGAGCCTGTTAGCGATCTCCAACAAGACTCTCTTGACTCTTGCGATAGACGTGTTGCCGCCGTTGCACAGCCCCTCCATCTCCTTCCTCGTGAAGCGACCAGATGCCGCCGTCGACTTGATGATGATCTTGATCTCCTTGCCGTCCTTGCCGCCTGCATTCTTCTGCATCCTTGATGCCTTCTTCAACTTATTTCTGGACACAAAGCGATCAGCTGTCAACTCGACTGCGAGCGCCTCTCTGATCTTCGGGTCCTCGCTGAACAGAGTCAGGTGTACTCCCTCCATCGCTTCGCTCTCTCGGAAAGCTCGAAATGCTGTATCATTCGCCTCTGGGCAGCTCGAGGAGACGATCCACTCCACCTCCCTCTGTCTCCAGATGACGTTGGCCCCTACAGCGATGAAGCCTTTCTGACCTAAGCCTTTGTGGACTTGCTGTCCTGGCGCCCCAGCGACCAGCATGCCTGCCAGCGGCTGGAGTTGGACCGCTGCAAGGGACTGGCGCAGCAGCTGATAGCGATAGACGGCAGCTATCTCAGCCGTTGTCATGCCGCCCAAGGTTAGCAGGTGAGTCAGCTCTGCCAAGCTGCCCCCTTTGCCCCAGGGTCCTCTCTTGGCTCGAATCTTGAAAGATCGATCGTGCACGATGCTCACATGTACAGCTGTGAACTTGCGACCATCGATCGCGAAGTCCTCTCTTCCCTGCCAGAGCTTCTCCGCTTGTGCATTGCGGAGGAAGGAAACAGTCACCGGGATCTCCTCAGCACTCGCTATCTCGGGTCTATACGGAGCCTTCCACATGATTGCTTTACTCTCTTGCACTGAGTCTACGACCAGTCCGATCTCTTCGAATTTCTTCTTCAACTTCTCTTCATGGTTGACATACACCGAGGAGATGCCCAGGAGAGTCATGGAGATGAAGGAAGTCACCTCGTTGCCTGCTGAGGCGGTGTATGTCTCGACCTTCTCCTTCTTGGCTTCTTCAATCTGCTGCATAAACCACTCTCTGGATGCGTCACTCCATCCAGTCATTGCTTCTTGTAGAAGCTCACGTCGTGCCTGCTGACATGTCGAGCGGATGGCTTCTGCGATAGCGTCGGGGGTGCATCCCTCCACAGCCTTGCAAGCCTGGGCTGTCCTGCTGTTCGGATAACGCTTCGCGAAGCTCTTCACCCTCTCGACGAGATCAGCTTCGAGGACAGAGGCATCCACAAGTCCGCTCTGCGTGTATTGGCATGATCTCCGATACAGCAGGTTGCGAACATTTTCATCATACTGAAGAACCATACTTAGAAAGCTATTTGAAGTATACAAACCTCTCGCTTGCAGCTTCCTTGGCGCCCTGGCGGCTTCCCCTACACCTGGCAGGGAGCCATGCTGCCGAAAATAACGGCGCCTCTAAACCCTAAACCCTAAACCCTAAACCCACCCTAAACCCTATTATTATTATTATTATTTGAGTTTATTAGACTCTTAGTCAAGAGTTTCATAGCTAAGAACTATTGCTCTTCGCTCATCTCTCGCCTAATGATCCGTCTAAAGGGGTTCCCAACCTTGGGAGGTTGGCCCATTTTCCTATAGGCCCCTTAGGCCTGGTTGCTTCCGTATTAGTTGTTTTCAGTAACGATGTCCTCCGGGCCCGTTCCAATTCCGATCCCGTTCCCCTTCCTTATTTTCGCTAAGTGCCGTTGCACCTTCCTGCCCCTTCCCCCCCCAACATGCAGGTCGCCCACTGTGGCAAGGCTGTACCTGCTCCTGCTGGCTAGCCCTTCTCTTCTTCCTTTCATGCGGCCCATGACCATGCGCCATGGGTGGTTTGCCCATGAGCCGCGCTTGCCCCCATCGGACTACATCGACTCTCTTACCCTTCTTGTCGTCCATAGCGTATGTTGTACCGCCAGCAGTTGCTTGATTGCTGCTGTCTTGATGCCTTCCCATTCCGTGTCATCCACCCTTAGCCTCCTGAAATTCTCATGCCATTCCCTCTCCATGATCGATCCTTTCACTCCTGCTATGAATGTTGCTTGTTCCACTTCATGGTCAGGTAGCAAAGCTGTGATTTCTGCTCGTAGGGGGGCATATTTCTCTTCCTTTTCCTGAAATTTCTTCTTCAGGCATTCCAGACTTGTTTGTTCGACTCCGTCATATTCCGATGTCCTTGCAAATTCGATGAGGACAATGCGTTTGATGCTTGCAAAGTAGCAGCAACCGTCTGGTATCCATTGCCCTTCTCGGTGCATTGAAGTCCCCATCGCTTCCATCACGATGCGTATTGGAGTGTCCCACCATGAATTGACCTGTACCCTTTGTTTCCTCCAGCTCTGCTGCAGTCTTACCTTGATCTTCTTCATGACTTCGTTGTGTGCTTTTTGAATCATATCTTGGAACTGCTTGCACGCCAGCTGAACATGACCCCAGGTTTCTTCTCGGTCTGGACAGTGAGGACAACATGGTGAGTTAGTCTTCCCCCATTGAAAGAGCTTCTTCCTCGTCGGTGCTGAGAAGGTGATCGCTTGGATAGCTGTTCGCGTAACTGACCCTTCGCATAATCTGAACGCTCTCCCTAGTAAATCTCTTCCCACATGCATTTCGAGCATGAATTTCTCTGTCAAGGTGAGGTCTCCCGCTCGAATCCTTGCCACCATTGTCTGTTGTCTGATAATGTAGTCCCATTTCTTCAAGCGATCGAATCCTGATGTAGGATTTTCTTCTCCTGCAATGATGAATTCCATTGGGCTATCGTAGATTGCTTTCTCCCATCCCGAGGCAACTGCTTGTTTTCCTTGCTTGGCCAATTCTTTGGCCTCTTGAATGTGTCTCTGAGATTCTTTTGCTAGTTGGAGTCGGATCCTGATTCCCCTTCCTTCGAGTTTCTTCATGCAAGTGAGTAACCGATCATGTAAGTCCTCCAGCAGTTCGTCTTCGTATCGCATGGTATCCATTCGCAACGTATTTGTCATAAAGCGGTGGAAACGTGTGGACTGGTACATTATTGTGACTTGATTTCCCCTTTTGATCTGTATTCCTTCCTCAAGGACATAAACCCTAAACCCTAAACCCTAGTAGTAGTAGTAGTAGTAGTAGTTGAGTTTATTAGAATGCTAGGTAGGTTGCATGGCTTGTTATCACCTTGCTCTATTCTAGTCTAACAGGGATCTCGTGACCTGGCAGTTCGGCCCGACTTGGCTGGCCCTTATGGCAGCCGTGCTTCTGCTCTGCTCCCTCCTCTGATATACTTCAGTGATCTTCCCCGGCCTCAGCCAGTGGAGTTTCCTCCGCCGGCCTTGGCCTGGGTCGTCCGTGCTTTGCTTGTGTTGCTTCCTCGGCTCCGACACACCTTGGCGGTCTCGGCCGGCCTTCGGCCAGTGAGTGAATGAAGGATGAGGTGGCAGGTGGGTTGTGGATGGGTCCCTGGGACTCACGTCCCTTCCCCCCGGGCCTCGGTCCGGACCGGGCCCGAGAGCCCGGCCGGCCTCCGCCCGGCCTCCTCCTCCCGGCCCCCCTCCCCCCTCTCCCACCGGCTTACCTGCCCTTACCTTCGTTGCTTGCCCCATGTCCACCTCATTTATTTCTTCCTCCTTCCCCCCATGGGGCCAACAGCTCCGCTCCGCCTCTTGTCCACCTCTAAGACTTGACTCGAGCTTCAAGCGCGCGAGAGGCCTGCACCGGCCTCCTCCTCCACGCCCTCGCCCTCCTCAGCCTCCATGTCGACTTCCTCCCTCATCATCAGCCGCAGTCGGTCTTGCTTGTCGACCTTGCCCGTGCAGCTCAACCCATGGTGCTCAGCAAATTTACTGATCGCAAGAAACAAGAGGCTTACAGATCGACTCTCGATGTCATCGCTCTCAGCCTCCTGCTCGAGTGCATCAGTCGCTGCTGCCCTTGGAGAGAAGGCGCTGCCCCTCCTCGCTGCCTTATTCCCTTGCACCCGTGTCCAGCGCTGCTCGCCGAGGTACGCTCTGAGCTTTTCTTTCAACATGTTTCGCTTCGATCCCAGCGTCGGCGTGGCTGCCCAAGCTCCGAGCGTCATGAACTCCACGTTGCCCGGCGAGCAGAAGGTGTCATGCAGCTTCCCAACACTCTTGTCTAGCTCCAGGGAGATCGGCTTGCCAGCTAGCAGCTCCTCCTCTGATGTCTCCAAGAGCATCGTCGAGAGGTCGACCAAGACCTGTTGATCGACTGGCCCTGACGGCGACGCTGCTTCCATCCTCCCTTGCCCCAAGGTCCTCGCTTGGCTCGAAGCTTGAACGACCGGTCGTGTGCAATGCTGACCTCTGTGGCTCGAAACGATCTGCCGTCTATGGTGTATTCTCTCCTGCCTTCCCATAGCTCCATGGCTGCTTCATTCCGAAGGAAGGAGACGGTGACTGAGATGTCGTCTGCTCGTGCTATCTCAGGTCTGTAAGGTGCTTTCCACATGATGGCCTTGTCGACTCCATCGACTGAGTCTACCATGAGATCCAGCTCCATAAGCTTCGATTTCAACTTTTCTTCTTGTCGAACAAACATCGAGGAAATCCCTAGGAGAGTCATGGAGATGAAGGAGGTCCCCTCGGTGCCTTCGGTGCCGATGTATGTCTCGACATTCTGCTTCTTGGCCTCCTCCATCTGTTGAATAAACCATGCTCTCGACTCTGAGCTCCATTCGCTCAGAGAGTCTTCAAACAGGTCGCGTCTCGCCTGCCGACATGTCGAGCGGATGGCTTCAGCGATAGCGTCGGGAGTGCATCCCCCCTCAGCTCTGCAAGCATAAGCTGTCCGACTATTCGGATAACGCTTGGTGAAGCTCTTCACCTTCTCGACGAGGTCGGCGGCCTCCTCGACGTGGCCTCCAGAGCGCTCACCCTGCGTGTATTGGCATGATCTCCGATACAGCAGGTTGCGAACGCTCTCATCATACTGTAGTACCATGCTTAGAAAGCTTTTTGAACGATACAAACCTCTTGCTCGCAGCTTCCTCCGGTCCCCTTGTGCTCCCCCTACGCGCCGCGGATGTGCATGCCTCGGGAAGGGGCGGCCTCCCTAACCCTAAACCCTAAACCCTAAACCCTGATCATACTGTAGTACCATACTTAGAAGCTGTTTCAACTATACCAAGAACTTGCTTGCAGCTTCCTCCGTTCCCGGGCCCTTGCGCTCTCCCTACGCGCTGCAGAGCAGCATGCTCAGTCTTACTAAGGGCGGCCGGCTGCTCTTTACTAAGGGCCGGCTGCTCCTTTACTAAGGGCCGGCTGCTCTTACTAAGGGCCGGCTGCTCTTACTAAGGGCCGGCTGCTCCTTTACTAAGGGCCGGCTAAGGGCCGGCTGCTCTTACTAAGGGCCGGCTGCTCTTCAAGGCTTACTAAGGGCCGGCTGCTCTTACTAAGGGCCGGCTGCTCCTTTACTAAGGGCCGGCTGCTCTTACTAAGGGCCGGCTGCTCTCACTAAGGGCCGGCTGCTCTTACTAAGGGCCGGCTGCTCTTACTAAGGGCCGGCTCCTAAACCCTAAACCCTAAACCCTAAACCCTAAGAATTAAACCCTGCGATCCGATGATCCCGGCCGGCGTCGGGCCACCGGCCGGCTGGTGGTCTAAAAACCCCGTGGCTTTTAGGCTGATGTAGGCGATGAACGTCATCACCACACGAACGACCACATGAACTCTCTTCTCCTTGTTCGTTCCCCCTGTCCGCTTGTGTCTGCACTTTTTTAAAAGATCGCGTTGTCTCTCCCTCTCCACTTCTCCTCCTCTCCTGTTTCATTGTTTCTAGTGCTCATAAGCTCAAATTTAGAGTGGAGAAAGCATCTAGCATTTGAGAACAAAAGTTTAACCTTGCTGATAACGTACATGTGCGTGTGTGCATTTTCTGTCATTCATTCTCAAGATTGATATTTGCAGAGAACATGCAAGATGAGGCGATCCCAGTGGAGAACCGTTGGGTTCCCTTGTCCACCTTGGAGCCAGACAGAGGAGGGATCCGCGGGAGGGGTACTGCAATTCAGTTCAGTTCAATACGAATGCATTGAGACGATTTGATATAAATAGGGCGTGGGAGACGAGGACGAGGAGGAGCTGGTATGGACAACCCCCGAATTCCTTCAGTGATGATGGCCGGATCAGGTTGGCGTAGATCTCATGGTTCTCGATTAAAATGCAATGCTCAGATGCGATAGCGGCCTTCAAACAAGCAAGAAGTTTAAATTCCGGTATCTTGATCTCGCGCCATTGTGAACTCTGACCATGAATGTTGATAACCTCACATGGACAGAGTCCCATGATCGTAAGGTTTGCTGCTGAAACCTCCATGTTCTGTTGTTTCCTGTCAACTTCTGAAGTTCGCATTCTTGCCCATGAACAGGAATTTCATGTCAACGGGGGATTGAATGCACAAAAGTGAATCTAGGTGCGATGTATTTAGACTTCTTATACCTTGGTGCAGCTGGAGCACATATCAAAATCGATCCAACCTTCAAAAATCTCGTAGAGAGGGTAAAAGTGTCAAGGAAATCACTGTTCAAGATGCCATCAAAGAACTTGAAGAAAAAGCAAGTTCCGTTCATCGCCAAAACCTTGGTGGCAGAATTTCGTTGTGGGGACAGGTGAGTTTAGGGTGGTGTGAATTGATGAGGTCTAATTGATCCTTTGATGTTCCTCTGCCGCAGTGGTCCAGAAGAATGGAGGACAATCGTCTCGATGCAGACTTGAAATACGTTGACAATGAACAGGTTGCAGTTGCTTTCTTGTTGTAGCTCTGTCTGTTCAAATTTCTAAAACAGGGTGGGTCCGTGGTTTCTTTTGACGAAGTGTTTATCCGGAGTAGAGCATTGGAAGAAGCAGTTGCCAGCTTGATACGAAATGTGAGATTTTTCTTCCATACTCTATTTTATGTTGAAATTTCTTGTTTGCAAACTTTTTTCTCCCCACAATGATGATCCGACTGCCACTAGCCGGTTCCGGACGACACAGAGATTACTTTCCTGTTCTCCCACTGTCTAGAGGGCGATGCCCTATTTCACCGTAAACTGGCTGAAGGCTTTAAAACTATTGGAGAATGCTTCCGCGAAAGTGGACGTACAATTCCAGAAGAATTCGTAGGCCAAATTCTTGTGGTGGTCACCTCGTTGAAAGTCGGATTCTCTCCGCTATCTATCCTTCCAATCTAAATTTTGTCGCAGGTAAATCCAAAATTAAAGAGGACAAGTGGAATCACGCTGAACAAAATAGACGATGAGATCTCTTTCAATTTAGCCAAGGCACAAGTAAGTTTATGTCATGTGACGTTCCCCCTCGAAAAGTCTTTTGACATGCTTGATTTGAAAGGAGCTTCAAAAGGATAACGCGATGGCTGCAAAGGAAGCGATGTTCAGATGTACTTCCGAATTGGTACGGCTGGGACTCGAGAAAAATAAGTTGTTGGTGGGCATGACATCTTGCTTGTTTGCGTCTGGCTGCTGAATTTAGTTTCAGTCATCATCCACTCTTCCTTTCACCGAAGCCTTCGAAGAAGGGCATGTTCGCGCCGTCTTTGAGGAAATGAATTCCGTGATCTCTGCAATCTTGCAAGAAGCTACCACAAGGTATAACACTGCAGAGATGCAATATGAAACATTTCAAAGCAAGATCAAGACTGCTATGATGGGGGATGACGCTGAGTACCTTCGGGTGGTTGAAGAAGATCAAAGGTTGGACACAGAGCTCGCAAGGCTCATGGCCCGCAAACGAGAACTCCAAGCTCAGCTGGAGGAGGTCTCTATACAGATTTCGTCAGTGGAACAGAAGAAACGAAATCATCATGCGGCAAGCCACAAGATCATGGCAACGTACCACAAAAGGATGAAATCTTTCCAGGGAGAAGACGACAAGATGTCGATCGCGTACAAGAACGCCAAAGCCGCCTTCGAGCGATGCCAGCGGGGCCATTCTTTCGTTTCAAGCTTATGTGACGATACTTTCGGGTCGATGCAAGAGCGGACGACAAAAGGCGACAGGGATAAGAAGGAAGCCAATAAGCAGTTGCTGCAATTCATCTCAACTCATCTCGAGGCAATGAAAGCGTCCATCGATCTCGTCCATCGCAGATTTGATTTCTGCCGCTCAAAGCTTGATGGCATGCGTTCCGAGCTGCAGGAAGCAAAAGAAATCGGCCTCGCAGACTTGGCAGCTGATCTCGCCAGTGCGATAGGGAAATTTGAAGAGATGCAGGTAAGTGGAGACTAAGACGGCTTGCAAGAGTTGACCAGGACCAGGTTGGTGCATATCGCGGTCTTGACGGATCGAAACAAGAAATGAAGCGAGTACACAAGGTGCACAGTAGCTCGTTCGGTATTGCTCCTGACTCATTTCAAAGATCTTGAGCTCACTAATGGTCGACGAGGAAGACTATCAGATCAAAACGCAGATCGAAAGGGTGATGTGACCCACACTTGGGTGATGGACGATGACGTAATCACAGGACCTCTCCCTTCTCCAACAAAAAATCGAAGAGTTGGAGACTAAATCATCTGCACGAGTCTCCTGAAATTGATTTCTTGATTAGTCTTACTTTAGGCGTGTTGTTTGATGCAATTATAGCTACTAGAGCAATGGTCTCAGATCTCTTCTAATTCTTTCGCATCAGCAGATAGACTTTTGTATCTAATTCAAGCTTGTTCAGCTGCTGTTCATCTCCCCTCAAGTGCATCAGGAGTCCCCCGAATGACACAAACACGGACCTGCACACACGTCATTGATGCACACCACTGTATAGTAGAACATTTCAGTTTCTCCAGGCTTTCGGTATTGCTTGAAAACTTTTCCATGCATGACATACTCAAAGTCATCAGCAAAAGTCTCTACGCCTGCAACGCCATCAATCTCTAACACGATATTCCCATACCTTCTACCGCTCTGGTCATACACTCCCTCATCTGGCTCGCCATCCTTTCGCAGGTTAGTTGACAAGGCCATTGAAAAACGATCGAAGATTTTCATGGGGTAGATTTCCGTATTGATGTCGATGGTGAGCTCTAACCCATAGGTTTGGCTCAGTGCTTGGATTCGCGAGACTTAGAACAATAAAGTCATGACCTTCAACCCAGTGATGAGCATATTGATACCATTGTCAAACTTCTTGCCATCCTGGTCGATATCTTTAACATCAAACAAATCCTCCAGAAGAAACACCATCTGATAAACACTCCCGAAAAACCTGCTGCAATGAGCATCAGACTGCTATACGTACTTCATAGAAAGATTCTTGCTCTGTTATCCTGCATTATCCATTCTCCTCCCTTACATCGCATTTCAAACATCGGTCTGTTTCGAAAAACTGCTGTGATTTATAATCCTTGTGATCACTGTTTACGCTCACATCAACTCTTTTTATTCCAATCGCTGTTTGGCCACGAAAGCCTCGAGCCTGCGACTTCGCCTCCACCATCGTGATGCTTCCTCTCGTCTCTCTTCTTTGCCACTCCATTCCCTTGGCCTCTCCATTCCCTTCGCCTCCCTTTCCCCTTGGCCTCTCCTTTTCTTCTTCCTCTCATCGCTTGTTCCTCTCTTCTTTGTTTCCTCTCCTCTCCTCTCTTCTGCTCTATTCCTCCTCTCTGCTAACATCAAATTCCTTTTCACGTGCATGGCGCGCGGAACTCGCAAACGAAATAAAAATGTTTTTGATACAACCTGCAGGTCCACCTCAGATGCTGCAACCCCGCGTCCCCGCATCGTTTGCAACACGCTGCGCTCCACCTGGCGCTCAACCAGCGCTCCACAAGCTGGCTGCGCTCACTATGCAGCCAGCCATGCAGCTGTCTATGCAGCTATAGATGCTGGCGCAGATAACCAGCCGTAAAGCCAAGCGTGCTGCATTCCATGGCTGATTGATTTCTGCACTTGATGTCTGCACTTGATGTCTGCGCTTGATGTCAGTACTTGATGTCAGTACTTGATGTCTGCGCTTGATGTCAGTACTTGATGTCAGTACTTGATGTCAGTTCTTGATGTCAGTACTTGATGTCAGTACTTGATGTCTCTCCCTCATTTATTTGCTCTTGGCATGTCTGAGTGAGCAGGACCGCAGATCTTAGAAACCAGGAAGCCTATTCTCGCTCTGAATTGCCCTGTGCGTAGATGCCTCCAGAAGACGATCGAGGGTGCTCTTTGGACATCAGTCACAGAGTGTTTGAGATCGAAGCATCCAAAAGAAATCGAGCTTCGGTCTCTGAAGCTCGGACTTTTGTCCAAGACATGATACGGAGACCCTACAACAGCTCGGAAGAAGATGACAGGTTCTGAGTTGACTTTTCTTTGCTTGTCTCTGTATGATCGCTTGGTGGCAGTGATGTGTCTGTGGGCTCATCCAGCGCCAAGAAAAATTCTGGCGAGCCAGTAACGTGGCAATTTGACAATCGCGTTGTTCCTATTCACCCCGACTCACACATCTGGTAAACAACTCCCTGCAGATGAGGGCAATCAAAGATTGCTGATTTTCTGTTGACAGTATGATCTGGAAAACGATCATCGTGATCAGTATTGCTTTCACAGTCATTACGGATCCTATCAGCATTGCTTTTCACGCTTATTCTGAAACAGAATGGTTTAATATTTGCGATCGAATGGTCATGGTAACGCTATTCAGTGCTTCTTGCAGATCATATTTCTGACTTCGACTATCAGGTCCTTTACATGTTGGATATCGTTTTTCACTTCATAACGGGCTACAGAGATAAAGAAGGGCGGCTGGTTATGAGATATTCGAAGGTGGCAAAACATTACTGCGGGTCTTGGTTTACGATAGACTTCGTCGCTGCTCTGCCATGCGAAGTTTTCATGGGGGTTCGTCAGATTGGAATTCTCAAGGCAGCAAGAGTGACAACCGTGGGACTTCACGTAGTCAAATATTCGAGGATTCTGTCTTTCATTAACAGGTGAAACAATCATTGCTTGTTACTTTCTATTCAGTTACCAGAATCCAGGCTTCAGCTCCATCTGGATGTGCAGTTTTCACCGTTCATTTGGCGGTTTCTTACAGGCATCCTTGTGTTCATTACTTGGCTTCACTGTGTCGCATGCACCATCTGTTTGGTTTGGCTTCTCTCTGATGATGAAGAATATCTGAATTTGGATGTCAATAGTGTTGGAAAGTTCCATGTGAGAATGTTTTGAGGTGTGATTGAGCATATTTGACTGGTCTTAGGTCTTTAATAGTGGATGTGGGCATGACTCAAGGTGCATCGCCAGATTGTACTTACGCTCCTTCAGGACTGCTGTCGCTTTCATGATCGGACACGGTCAGTTTTCAGGAACCACCTACCGAGAAGAGTTGTTAACTACCTTCTGTGCCCTCTTCGGCAAAGTCATGTACAGTGGATTCGTTTCCTTATGCGTGCAGACGGTTTTGAGCATGTACAGCTATCGCACGGGTCACTACCAAGCGTCTAAGAAGCTTGATCACTATCTCGGAAAAAAGAAGGTCCCTTTTGAAATGAAGCAAAGGGTGCGAAAGTTCCTCGAGGCATCATGGGACAGGATCGGAGGAACGAATGAAGCACTTGTCTTTGAGCCGCTGCCCAAGAGCTTGCGATCGAGCCTTCACTACGGCAAGATTGAACGACACTTCTGCACACTCCCGTTCTTTCAAGATGCTCCCCGAAGCTTTCTTGTCAATCTGGCTCAATTTGCTAGAGTTGAGGCTTTTGTAGTGGGAGATTGCATCATCCAATCGGGAGAGGTAAGATGTGAGCGTATGACGAGCAAAGGCTCAACCGTTGTGTGCAGCTGGCGCAGAACATGTACATCCTTGAGGACGGTATCGTACAGGTCTGCTGTCACCCGTCGGAATCTGGTTAACGATGCACAGGTATGCATGGATGACAGGGTGGTGGCCGAGCTGGGCCCTGGCTCTTACTTCGGTGAGAACGCGCTGACCCACTATCGGGTGGTTCGAAACACGTCAATGCGAGCGAAGACCGAGGGCACTGTGACGATGATTCCCAACAAAGACGCGCGGAGGTCAGTGTAAGAGCTCCCTTTCAGCTATCTAATCAGCTTGACAGACTCTTGAGGCGATTTCCAGCGATAAGGCGCAAAGTGGAGCAACATGTGAAGGAGAAATTCTCGGCCACCTTGAGCGAGATTGAAGATCAGCAGTCTGACAAGATTGATGAGCTGGATTGAGACCGACTTTCACGTTCATCTTGATCTGTGTAATTCTACATTAGCAGCATGCTTCGTGCGTTGTAATATATTTCGACGATCAACTGTCAGTCATTAAGTTTCTTCATGGTGGTTTGGTCTTCTTTGGAAGTTTGAAGTTCTTCGATTCTTGTCTGATCTGAAGTGCTAGCTCCTCCTGACATCGGCGTCATTCGGTTCATCTTTACACATGTTTCGTATCATGCAGCACCTGATTGCAGGCTTGCAGAGCTGATATCAACGCGTTGACAACTTCAGCCGTCGGCTCGATTCCCTGCGAGATGTCAACGACCCACGAAGAGCACAAGTGCGACCAAGTCCGAACCTTACACTCCATGTTGGTCACCACACCAAGTGCTTTTTCCCACTGTCCGTTGTCTCCACAAGCTTTGATCACCGTGCAGTAAGTCGAGATGTTGGGCTGAGCTTCATCCTCCTCTAGCATCTCCTGCTCTACTAGTCACCACAAGCTGCTGACTGTGTCTGGCTCAACCTGAAGCAGGGTGAGACCTGCGTCCCACTGGCCTCCTCGGGACAGCGCCGATATAACAAAGTTGTAGGCCACTGCATCCGGACGCAGCTTGTCTGCTTTCATCCTCTCTAGGAGCCCCAACGATCTGCAGCCCCGTCACCCGCTGCCAACCTCCTGGTTTCAACCTTCTCCACTCCCCTGCCTTGGCACATGCAGCGATCGCTTCGGTGTAGGCGATCACGTTGGGTCGAACCCCTGCCTTCTCCATGAGCTGAAAGACTTCCAACGCTCTGCTCCACTCTCCCGCTCTTTGATATGCCTGGAGCAAGATTGTTACCGTAAGTGAAGGAGATTGTCGAGATGCGAGAGGAAGGTGGGGTGTGAAACAGAGACTGCTTCGTCAACACTTACTTGGATCAGCGTCGAGTACGCGACCACATCGGGAGTCAGTCCTTCCCTCTTCATTTTCTGAAAGATTCTTGCCGCTGGCTCCCAAAGTCCTGCCTACAACAAGTCATTCATCCCCTGCAGCAAAAGCTTGCTAACTTTGCCGCACGCTGCCATGACAGCGCTGTACACGATGATGTCGGGCTTGATCTTTTCGTTGGTCATCCTTTCAAGCAGGCCGAGGGCAGGACGAGCTTCCGCAGCCTTTTCACAAGCAGAGATGGCGGCGGAGTAAGCCTGCAGGTTTGGCTGAATGCCCTTGGCTATCATCTCCTCGAGGAGCTTCAGCGCCCTCTGCCAGTCCCCCAACTTCTCACAGGAGGAGATGGCTGCGGTGAACGTGTACACGTTTCCAACAATTCCACGCGCTTGCATCCGTTCAAAAACCTCAAAAGCTTTCGACACCTGTCCTCCTTTCTCACACGCCGTGATCAAAGCAGCGAAAGTGAACTCGTTCGGCTCTATCCCCTGAGCCTCCATCTCATGGTACATGTTCATCGCCCTCTGCCACTCTCCTCCCTTGGCACAGGCTGAGATCGCAGTAGAGAAGGTGACAGTATCTGGCCTGAGAGACCGGGCAGCCACCTTGTTCCTCTCTGTCTGCGAGAAAACCGAATCGAACATGGAAAGCGCCTCTCTCCATCTGCCATTCCTAGTGAGAGCGCTCATAGCTGCATTGTAGGACACTCGAGTCGGCGTCAACCCCTCCTTTTCGATGCTCTTCAGAACCTCAAGCGCCGCCTCCCACTGCAATTTTTGTTAATATCAACACCCTCGCGCTGTAGTTTGTTACCTGCCCGTCTTTGCCAAGCCTTGAGATCTCACTATTGAGCTCGCTGATGCGCGATGGCTTCTTGCGCATTCCCGTGCTCTCGTCCTTCGCCTGAGAGAGCTGGAGGGGGAGTACACAGCGGTGCTTTCGGGCGCGGTGCTGAACTTTCGCCAGAGGAGAGAAGCTGCAGGTCAACAAGGGACCTTGAGGAAGGGAAAGGGGGGCAGAGAAGGCAGAGAAGGCAGAGAAGGCAGCATGGCAGCCGCTCGGCCATGCCGCCTCTCCTCCAGCCGCTTCAACAGCCGCCAGTAGCATGACCAAAGTCATGACCCGCATGGCCCCGCTGAACAAGGCCCTCATCCCCACCACTCCAATAAATCAACCCAGCCCAGCCTGCAGCCCAGCAGCCAGCCCAGCCTCTGCCTGCCAGCCCTGACCCAGCCTGTGAGTAGGAGTGTATCAGGAGTCTACCCGGCTGAAGGAGGGCAGTGGAGTCATCGGTGAGGTCCGATCAGCCGCTGAGCAGTCCAATAGTGACAGAAGGTCTCATGGCTCTCCTTCAGTGAGCATTATATCTTTATTGACCTTGACATGCCGTGTGCCCTAATGCTGTCGCGCCAGCCGAATGGCTGGCGCGAGGCAGAGAACAAGCACACGATTACCGACTAGACATCATTTGGCTTCTCAGCGCGCTTCACCTTATAGAGCTTGTGCATCTTGTACAAGATTAGACGACCAAGAAAACGTACAAGCTCTCTTACCTGCATCTTGATATCATGGATCTGCTTGTCGTGTATTTGGATTTCCCCAATAATTTTGAGTCCACATTCTCCCGTGAAGATGACACAGAGGGTCAGGTCGCGATACCCGTCGGGCACTGTCTGCATTGCAAACTTGTTCTTCACACGGCAGATGGGTAACCGAGTCTTCCTCTCGTCTTCGAACCACTTGTAGATCTCAAGGATCTGAGAAGTGTTGTGGCAGACCACAGACGCTCGGACCTGCCAGGCACGTCAGGCCAGCAGCTCAATTTGGTTGCGATACTCACGCAGTCAAGGATGCGACCGGAGAACGGCCAACGGACGTCCTGGCTTGGGTTGGCGTACTTACAGAGCTTCTGGAGCATCCTTTCCTTTGTCTTCAAAGGCGCCGCGATGACCTCGATGTCGTGCAGTTGCGCGTTGAACTTGCAGGGAACGATGCGAGACTTGAGGTTCTGTGCGCTGCCAGAGCTGGTGCCGTGCATTTGGATGACCGACAAGACTTTGAGCTGAAACTCGTGATCCAAGAGAAGCGCTCGTGTGTGAAGCTGAGTCACAAATAGCTCCTCGTTGGTGACGATGCCTCCGCTATTCATGATCTTGACCTTTCCCATCTCCTTCTGAATCTCAGCTTCTCGGACACTTTCATCGTCGACACGCAATGCCCTAATCTGCCATCAGATCAGCACAGCAAACAAGTCGAGGATCTTCCAAACCTCCGGATCGTCTTGTCGTTTTACATTGCAAGAGGTTTCGGTGACAAAAGACTTCAGTAACCTTCCCTCGGGCTCGCTGGACATGCTCTCATAACGCACATCGCAGTAACTGGCAAGAACATCCATGTAACGCTGTATGATCTCCTTCAACTCCACAAACAAGGAGCAGTCGTCTTCAAACCACATCGAGATCTTCAATATCTTGTTGACAAAGAAGGAGAACCGAACGTCATAATCTACAACGGCTGGAGAATTCTTGACAACGATCGACCATGATTCCTGACTTGAGTTTTCATTATCCTCTGTACTCACCCGAGTGACAGTTGTGCAAGCACTTGTCAACTCAGTTGACAGCTTGTTCGCTCCATTCACATTCATTCCCGATTCCCACGAGACTCTCCGCACATTCACCGCTAAATTCTCGTTTGATGATGGCTGCCTGGCGTGCCCATGCATTGCAGAAGAAACTTGTTGATTCTCGGGACTTAAAAGCTTCTCGCACGTTTCGAGAATCAACTTGCGCAACTCGAGCATCTGGACAGTATATCGATGATGCATCATGTCTTCCATGAAATCTTCGGCAAATGGACTCTCAGATATCGGAGTAGTATGATTCTCTGTGACATAAAGCTCCATCGCTATGTTGCTCAACCGGGAAAAGAAACCATTGAAATGGATAATATCAAAATCGCGGAAAATTGACAACCTTGCAGCAGCTTCGAGGAACTTTTTATCGATTATATGATAGCGAATTCCCTTCCACCTTGAAAACATCGGGACTCTCTCCCCTGTCAGTAGATATCCATCTCTAGCATGCAGTCTCAACCGGTGTCGCAAATCGTTGATTGTTTTGTTTATTTGCCTATCCTCCTCAGACTGGGCTTGATTATTCCTCCGCTGATAGAAGAACCACAACGAAAAAAGAGAGGCAAAGAGACAGAGCAACAAGCAAACGATAGGGAGAACGATGTACAGCCACACCTCTTTCGTGGAAAGACCTTGACTTTGAGAAGTCGTACATGGCACAAAACTGACGTTTTCAGGAAAGACAACAGACTCTTTCATCCAAAGATCCAAAGTGAGCTGCGAGTTCACAAGATGAATGACAGATTCAGATATTGACGAGCTTACAGTGACAAGAGCAAGCGTCTGAAGCTTAAATCCCACGAAATTTAACATCTCAAAAGCAGCTTGTGTTTGTTCAAGTTTCGAATCTAATGCAATCGATCCAGAAGCTCCTTGAAAAGTTACTTGCTGCATCAGACCTATGAAGCCTGAGACATTGTTCATCGAGTATCCAGCAGATCTCAAGAGCTGATACGAACTGGCAATCAGATATACAGCATCGTACGTGAACGACAGAAATGGGTTTTCCCCAGACAACATTGCGCTCAGCCCAGGATATTCCACAGGATTAAGTGATTTCCAGTACTCCACCAACTTCTGAAATTCTGTTGTCGAGCGATAACTCAAGGATTGGTTGGAGCTCAAGATGTCATTGCCCGAGTACAACCTCACAGCAATCAGGGCCTGAGGGAGAGGAGATGCCCTGAGGGAGTCGGAAGAAGCGATCCATACAACCCTAGAGGAAATGTCCAAGTCCACTGCTGCTTGGAAAACAAGGGAAGAGATTTCTGGATCAAGAAACAACACAAAGACTTTGGGTGCACATTTGAAGTCATTCTGATAGGCTTGCTGCAGTGACTCCTTCAGTCCAGCAGCATTCGCACTCGACAAGGGCAAGGTCTGTATGACTTGCACTCCTAAGATTTTCACACGATCTTTGAAATTAGAGCTCATAGCCTGGTTTCGCAGCGAGGAATCAACGAACAAGACACAAGACACAAAACCCAAGTGCTCCACAGTCCTGGCTATCGCTTGACCCTTGAAACACAAGTCACGCTGTGCAAACGGATCAGAAACTTCGCATACCTGCATGAGATCCGAAGGCACAACACGAGAGAAGAACGGATAAGACGCTTTGTTGGAGAGAAACGCAGCTTGAGCGCCAGAGCTCAATGACAAGATCTGTTTCTCATTGAATGCACTTGCAAGTGCTTTCGATTCAGTACTTCCTGTCGGACCCAGCACAATTATAGTCTACCCAAAAAAATGTAAGGAAACAGAAAAACCGAACAATTTTCCACCTTGAAATCATTCTGAGAAATAAGAGAATCCAACAGGCTTGAAGCTTCGTTGTTGTAATTCAAGTCTGGATTATTCTTCAGTCTAATTTGCAAGCTTGAGATGTCTTGTGTCAAAATCGAGATGTCAAAACCGGGGAATAAAACTTGCTCGTCATTGATTTTCTGTATTGCGACATTAGCAACCGATGCAACTTCAGCGTCTGCGATATCCTCACTATTGACGGCGAGCATCATGCCAATATCAACACGGAATCTGGGGTCTTGCGCTCGATAGCAGTCAGACTTGCACGAAACCCAACTCAACCGCTCTCCATTCGGACCTGGCGAAACAAATTTTCCCACATTCCACCACGTTGGCGCATCGCTAGGGATTGGAGAAGAGCTTTGAGAAATCGATTCAATCAGTCCTGAAGCGTTCTGTCCTGCATTGTTGACACAATCCGCTGAGAAAACTTGCACAATCGCGGGCTCGTGAGGGGTGACAAGAGGATCAAAGTGCTCTAAACCGCTATCAGAGTAATAGTTCACCCAGATCTCGAAAATTCCTGTATCGATGTTCTTGAAGTTGATCATCTCAGGGCCACACTTGCAAGGACAGACTGGATCTACACCGCACGTGTTGTCCATTGCCAGCGTGATGGAAGCAAGAGATTCCGGCATGAATGAATCAACGACACGTTTTTGTAAGTAGTTGCATATCTGTCTCTCCCCCGACTGGAAATAGGCATAAGAATAGAGATCAAGATCCCCAGAGTGATTCCAACTTAAAACAACACAATCCTGAAACTTGTCCGGCTTGACAAACCCTGGCGGCCAGAAGATAGACTTGGACAAGGAGATAGTATCATTGGAGTCAAAACCCTTTCGAAACACTCCATTCTCCCAGACTGCTATCCTTCTCATTCCTGTCTCATTCAAGTTCATGATATCATACCTGTACCAAAGAATCAGCTCAACCATCTCCAAAAAGATTGTTGATCGAACCTGGCAACAACTGGATCAAAATTTTCGTCGAAAGCTACCAACCCCGAAGCTCCTTGAAACCTTACATTTTTCATAGCATTCATGAAATGGGAAATAGTGTATTCAGTATCGTTGCCACTCAGGAAACGCTCCCAAGCCCGTCCAACAACTTGCACGGCATCGTACGCTAGTGACATGTATGCGTCTGATTCAAGATACTCTAATCCAGGGTAATCGGCTGCCTTTAATTTGCTCCAAGTCGACTTCAATGTCTTGAATGATTCAGACTGAGTGTCGATTGTCATCCTCAATCCAAGATATCCCAACGGCAATTGTGATGAAGAAAGCGAACTAGTAATGGCTTCACACCCGACGAAGAAGAAATTATTTTTTGAGTTGATTGCATCCACAGCTTGAGCAGCTTCGAAAACCATGACACCAGCAAAGTCATGCATGATCAGAATAATCACTCTAGGCTCATTACAGCTTCGAAACAGAATTCCCCTCAGAATGCTGATTGCGTTTGAAACAGTGAAGGTCTGTTCATCCATAGTAAAGGTTTTCAAGTTTATGTTGGCATGAGCAGCATTCTGGCTCAAGACGTCATACAGACCATTGCAGTACTCGTCATTGCACTTGATGACTGTAAATGAATCGAGTTCAAGAGCTTGCAAGACCTGAGAGAGAGCCAATCCTTGGTGAACATCCGAGGGGCAAGTGCGTGCAAAGTGAGGGTAACTCGTCTTGTTAGACAGCATCGGGCTGGTGGCACTGAAGGAGATGCTCATGAGAGACAAAGAGTTGAGAACAGGATTGATCGCAACAACCTCAGAGCTGTAACCTGGACCGACGGCATTGAGAACACTGTTGCTGGGCTTCGTGGCTTCCAGGCTCTCGACTACTTGTCTCATGATCCAAACTCGCGTGCTTTCAAACCCTGCAGCGGGGAAATCTGATTGACGGCAGAGAGATCTCACAGGAGATGTATCACCCAAGATGAAATCGAGTCGAGAGTCATGCTGTTTGTACACCGAACTATTCAAATGCATCAAGGAAATCCTTGCAGCTGCTAGCGCTCTCGTTTCCCAGTAGCTCACATTCCAGTTTGCAACGAATAATCCCCCGACAGTCAAGTTGTATTCAGCCCGTGAAAAATCAAGAAGAACCAAAAACAACAGGACGATCCTCAGCCGTATGAACGGCACTGTATTAAACATCCCTCCAAAGTGAAGAACAGATGGGAACTCTCTATCCTCTCTCTGCACCGCCGTTCCACTCCATGTTTTAGACGATCCAGGCTGATCTAAGTATGAGACTGCGACATCTCCAGTGTCCTGGGAGTTCAAAAAGCGTCAAGGCTTGCACAAGACCAGCCTTTCTTCATGAGGGTGAAGTTGGCGCCCTTTGCCTTCGAACAAACTCAATTCTATCTGATCTCAAACTGATATGGTCTTGTCAAATCATATGTTCAAAAAGACTTCCACTGAACATTACCAAGTATCCATCTATCTCTAGTAATAGCAAAACAATGATAGCTCGATCTTACATTCACAACAAATTGCTATTATCCCTCCATCTCTAAATTTAATCTCCCATCACATCATTACTGTCCTTTCTCCTCCTTGTTCTGCCTATCTTCTCATTTCATCACGAATATTTCCATGAGCTTTCATGGGTTACTTGTTCATGGATTTCCATATGTCCAGAGTCTTCACTTCTCCACGTGCTTTCCCTCCTGCCTTGCTTTCATCGTTCCCCTCCTTCCATGCTTTCTCGAGCATACACCACCCCCTTCGTTCTTCCTAGTTGCCCACCTGGGTATAACCCTACCACCCCTGTTGACCACCCCTATCCCCCAAACCTACTACTCTACCTTGACCCTACCCACTCATCTCCCCCTGATCGCATGGGTAGGGTAAGCAGAGCTGAAGGCACCTGAAGTTTTAAAAACACTTTTTTAAGAAAACTTGGTTTCGACTTTTGAAAACAAAGTGTCTATTTGAAAATACAAGAGACAAAAATGATATTTGATAGCCAAATTGATTGTTGCTCCTTAAAATCTTATCACGCAGATTCCGTACTATACTACGTTCATGATTATTGCCCCGCCACCCTACGGGGGCTCCAACCTACCCAGCCCCCTCACTACCCTACCCCCCTTTGCATCTTGCCCTACCCACCCCATCGCGTCGATTCCCGTTCTATGTCCTCCAAACTGACTTTACGAGAACCTGTCACGTCCCCACGATCAACCGACGATGAAAAGTGCTCTATTCATGCTTGACTGCCCTGCACTGTTCCCTATGCTGAACCTTGAGGCGCGCTCGAGATGCGACCAGAACCTCCATAAGAGGCCAAGAGTCCTCGTGCATGGAAATCGAAAAGGCATTTTTTCACCATTAGAGCATTTCAGCATTGTGGTCCACCAACTTTCGCGGTTACAAGTCAACGGCTAGGCGAAAGGAAACTTGGAAATGCATGTTCCAAGGTGTGCGGGAAGTTGAGGCAGGAGGGGAATTTAGAGAAAGAGAGCAGACAAGATATCGAGAGCCTCTTGAAAAATGGCGCTCTGAAGTCGACTATGTCAGACATGGTTGTGGAGAAGGGATACAAGAAGAAGTTGTCAGACATGCTGCAAGATCACTGAGATTCTCCTGGGTGTTTCATCAACCATGTACGGCCATGGCCTTGATAAGTCATCCGAGGATGATTCAGATGAAGAACTGATTGTAACATCCTATCCTCTTCGGAGTCCTGAGGATGAGTTGAACAGGGTGATAAGAGTTCTTGGTGGATGGGGTCAATTTCCATCGTTCCAAACTGGAATCCATTGCATGCATGTTGCATGGGGCTGTTTGCGTGCAAGAGCAAGTCAAATCGAAAATCAAGATGAGATAGAAACTTGGCGCGATGGAGGCATAAGCCGATATAGCTTCTGCTCGGTCTTGGATGAAATGGGGGTTCTAAACAGAACCAAGGCCTCGTTGTTGTTTGATATGATTGTCGGTCACCGAGGCACCGTCATGACCAAAGCAGACTTCTTCGGGAGAATGAGGTATGCAGATGTTAAGTTGGACTTCCGTGGGTCAGGGGATGAAGTTATTCAGCGAAGTAGCGAAGGCAGGCAGAGCTTGACGACGTGCAGCAATCCGCTGGCATGGAACTTGGACTTGAACTCGTCTGGTAGGAATCTGATACCGTACAAGCGAGACAAACTGCTCAAGATGGATGCTGGAAGAGAAGCTCATTGGAAACTTTCTGTTCGTGCCTCGTTCATAGCAATCAGTAATGAGCACCAAGTGAGGTTCAGAGAAATCAGACACCAGAGAGCTTTGCAAGAGTTGCAGCAGCTTGATCGATGTAAAACGTTTGTATACCTCGACAAAAACAGTTTTGCAAAACGCAAAAGAGATGTGATGCGCGAGCTGGAGGTGGCGAACAGCATCTATGACATCCTTGGGCCCCTCGGCTCCTGCAGCTCCACGCCGACTGAGATCTCCGCCTGGGACGTCTCGAAAGGTCAGCGGGTCTGGGCGGGGGAAACTCCCTGGTCAGGATTCGAGCAGACGCTCGCTCCAAGGTCCCTCTTCTTCTGCTCCCCAGAGTACAGCGAGAGGAGCATCCCCTACCAATTTCACAAAGACCTTCCCGTCTTGCTCTCCTCCGCATACTCAAACTACAAGACCCGACGCACCCTCGAGAGTTTGTTGAAGCTCTGGGCCCTCCATCCCCTGCGAAGTTTCTTTGACTTGTGGCGCTCCGAGTGGAAGGCAGGAAAGGAGAACCTGAAAGCCGGCAAGCTGAAACCAGCTGAGGAGAAGGAGACGGAAGAGGTGAAGGAACGAGCTGCTCTGTGGCGACCGATCCAAGGCGCCTTGACGGGTGAGGAGATTTTTGAGCTGAAGAGAGACTTTGTAGGAAACAGAGCTTGGGATACAGAGATGGAGAGTGCTTTGCTCGAAGAGGATGCAGCAGCCGTCATGTCCAAGTCGAAGAAAGTCAAGACAGAGGACAAGGATAACGAGGACAGCTCTACACGCATGCTGCTCAAAGATCCCGTACCCAAAGGATGTTACATGGGCGTTGAAGAACTTCTGAGAAGCAGACAAGTGTGGAGCTACAACTCTCTCCTTGACTCTCTTCGCCGTCAGATCGACTTCTTCATCAGCGTCAAGCAGGTTCCCAGCAGGTTGGAGCTCCCTGCTGAGCCCCAGACTAGGGAGACCGAACTCCCCAAGCGCAAGACCCTCGTCTTGCATGCTCCTCCCCCTCCTCCCTGCGACAACAGACCGGAGCTCATGCCCTTGACCCAAATCCGGCAGGTTCCCTATGATGGGCCGCAGTCGATACCCATCCCCGAGCTGCAGCTGCCAGAGGAAGAGGAGCTGCCAACCTTCCGCCCTCCTGTCCCACGAAAAGTCCCCAAGTTGGAACTCCTTGTCGGTAAGAGCAGTCTATCGCTTCCTTCGCACCTTCTCCTCTTCTCACGTTTACGACTTTCAGTCTGGGTGCGGAAAGAATGGAGCAAATCTGTGCTGCGATGGAATCGGTTGACACAACTCATCTCTCACCGAACGCACATCCTGAAGAAGCTAAGGAAGTACGGGAAGCAGATCCCAGTAGAGTATCTCCTCCTGCCCAACACGACGAGGCTGAAGCCGTATCCTGTCGGGGTCTACCGTAGACCCAAGAAGCCCGTCCTGCAGGATGAGCATGTGGTCGCCGAGCCTCCTCCCAAGCCTCCTCCTCTCAAGAAGATCCCAAACTTCGACTACACCTCCTCCACCTCCATCCCCAGCAGGCCCATACAGCCCCCGCTAGACATGCTCATGCACCGCGTGATGGGCGAGGCGCCAATCTTCATCACCGACTTCTCGGGAACGATGACGGGGGAGAGGCAGAGACAGCTCAAGGAGCTCGTCGCCTGCTTGCTCCGTCCGCTTGGCCCCGTTCGGAGGAGGACGCGGATGTGACAAGTCAGCCGAGGGAGGGGCAGCTGCTGACGCTATGCTGCAGGTTCGAGTTCCTGCGATTCAACGAGGGGTACGACGCGCATGGCACTGAATGTCCGGCGAGCGCGAGGAGACGTGGCGGCGAGGAGATCAGCACGTGGAAGCTGCGCAGGTGGACTGAGGAGAAGCTGAGGAGCGTTCAAGGATGGATCGCAACCTCCAGCACGCAGGAGGCTGTAGGAGAGCACGAGATGATCTGCACGAGAGGCGCGCGGGGCATGGCGAGTCGCCTGCTGGGAGCGCTGAGAGCCGCCATGCGTTGCAGCAACAGGTCGGAGGTCTGGCTGCTGACGGATGGAGACGTCGATGAGCCAAAGAAGATTGAGAGCTTCATGAAGAGCTTGACAAGCCCCCCGCCTCCCATCCACTCTATTGCCTTCGCTCCCAACGACGACGGTGAAAGGTGAACCCCTCTCCTCTCCCTCCTCCTTCTCCCCCTCCCCCCCCCATGGCTTTCTCCTCCTCCCTTTCTCTGCCTTCTCCTCTCTTCATCTTCTCCTCCTGCCCTTCTCTTTTCATCCTCCACTCCTTGCATGCTGAGCTGAAGGCCCACAAAGGTTTCTGAGGAAGATGAGCCTGATGACTGGGGGAAAGTTCGTGCTGTACGAGGAGGGCGCGGGTTTCGAGGAACGAGTGAGGCGGTACGACCTGGAGGAGACGAACTACCGGAAGAACTACGAGGCGCTGAAGGCGCAGGATGAACGAAATCGGGCGGAGAAAGTTGCGGAACATGCGAGGATGGTGGAGAAGATTTACCGAGCGAACGAGGATAGTGTGCGAGAGTATCAGGAGGTGCTGAAGCAGCACAAGGAAGACACGCTGAGGATGAAGGAAACAAAACTCGCCAAGATTATCGAGCAGAACCGCAAGGCCATGGAGGAGTACACGATGCAGGATAAGGCGGCGCGTCAGTCAGCGGAGGAGACGTGGAGGAGGAAGCTGGAGGATCGGATAGCAGAGAACCAGGAGGTGAAGGGGTTGGAGGAAGAGGAGGGGACAAGAACGCTGCAGCAAAACCTTGAGAGCATCGTGAGCATACAGAGGAGACATCGCGCGCACGTGCAGAACATCATCTCATCCAACGAGACGCTGCTTGCTCGAGCACGAGCCGAGCATGACGCTGCTGTCTTGGAGGTGAAGAGGAACAACGAGGCTCGACGCCAGGAGGCCGTCAAGGAGCACATGGAGGATGCGGCAAGGGCCCAAGAGCACAACGCGATGGTGCAGAGAGTCCGATCAGAGTACGATGAGGAGGGAAAACTTGTCCAGAGCCTCAACATACAGGGGCAGCAGAACCTGCACAAGAAGTTCCTGGAGGAGGAGGAAGAGTACGCGGCGAAGTTCGGAGGACGGGCCATGGAGGGCTACCTGACAGACATCCTGCTGGATGCCGAGGGGAGGCCGCACGTCATTCCTCCCCTTGCCATGGAGGAGGAAGCAAGGGAAAGAGCTGCTCGCTGCAGTGGGGCAGACGAGGAGGAGAACCGAGAGGAGGGGGATCGACTCGATGGACGACAAGCTGAGTTCATGAGGGAAGTCTCGTATCGTGGTGACCTGCTCTTCGTGCTGAGCGACCGGCGCGGGGAGTTTGTTGGAGGATGGAAGGAGGGGCTGGGGGCATGGAACCTTTACGTGGAGATACTTCGGCGAGGGAGAAACTTTGAGCAGGGAAAGCTGGAGCAGTTCAGAAAGGTAGTGAGGACAGAGCAGGAGATTATCCGCAGGCTGGGGGAATGGGCTCGTAAACTGGACAAGAACTTCGAGAAGTTCTACATCCCCGACGAGAGGTTCTTCATCAGCATGATGGACAACAAGAGTCGACTAGCGTTTCTCAACAGCCTGAGATTCCACGTGAGATCCGAGAGGGAGGAAAGGAGGGGGGTGGGAGGGAGACGAGGAGCAGGCAAGAGAGAAGGCAAGATGACGAGGTTGCAGATCTGTGGGAGGCGCGAGATGTTGCGGGCTGTGACCGAGTGGCTGCTGGAGGTGGAGGAGGTTCTTTCGCTCAACTGGCGCCTAAGGTTTCCTACTCCACCGTTCCTCTCCTCTGTTTTTCCCTCCTCTCTTATCCCCTCCCCTCCCCTCCCCTCCCCTCCCCTCCTCTCTTCCCCTATCCTATCCTATCCTATCTTCACTCCCCATCTCTCTCGCTCCTTTTGACCCTCGTGGTTCTCCGTTAGACGGCAAGCGAGTATATCGCATCGCTGCCTGTGCAACGAGCTGAGAAGGCGAGACAAGGCGGCGAGGAAGGTCGACAACCTTGTCGTAGCCGCTTGACAGCCTGACGGGCACGCAGGAGGCTGCGGCTGAGCACGCGAAGAAGGTGCAGGCGATCGCGAGGCACAACATGTGGGTGAAGAAGCTCGAGAGAGTGAGGAAAGGTGCTCCACCCTCACCTCGCTCCTCCCCCTGCTGACCCTCCAGCAGCCGCAGACAGTGACGTCCCAACCTGCAAATTCCTCATCTCAATTCTCATCACCATGTCTGCTGGAATCAAAGGTCTCCTCCTCCTCCTCCTCCTCCTCCTCCTCCTCCTCCTCCTCCTCCTCCTCCTCCTCCTCCTCCTCCTCCTCCTCTCCTCCTCAGCTGATACTCGAGGCAGGGTCCGCCACAATCTCCCCCGAGCTGCTGGAGGTGACGCCTGCTGCCTCGTGATTTGCTGGGTGACTGACGCCTGCTCAGCTGCTGCTGCAGTACGTGAGGGGAGATCTGAGTCAGCTCGTGCTAGAGAGAAGCATTCACGGACTCGTCGGCGGGAAAATCGGAAGAGCCATTATGGCATGGAGAAAGAATTGAAAGAAATGGAGAAGATACAGATGAAGAGGGAGCAGGGAGCAGGAGGGAGAGGCTGTAATCTAATGTACCATACTGCATGTACAGGCGAATGCAGGAACAAGCATATGAAAAAAAAACATTTCATGAAAGAATAGGTAGCAGAACAACCCCAACCAGCGTCTTAACAGATCACGCAGCCATCCGCCTTGGGATTTCCATTCTTCAGCAGACTTTCCATCTGCTCCTTATCTTTCTTCGCGCACATATCCTGAGCCACTTGCAGCGGGGTGTATCCCTGATTCATCTGCCACGTATCGTGAGTCCTCCTCCTCCCCCACCGAATCTCAACGTCTCCCAGCGCGCCTTCCCATCTCACCTTGGTGTCCGTGCAAGCTTTGTATCTCAACAGGATCTTCGCGGCATCCACAGCTCCGTTGTAAGCAGCGTAGTGCAGAGCAGTGCAGCCCTTGAGGAGGATCAGAGGGGGGGGGAAGGGGAAGAGGGCAAACCTTGCAATCTTGGAGGTTAACCTTGGCTCCATTCTTAAGAAGAAAAAGAACAACATCTGCCTTGTTCTCCTGCGCTGCATAGTGAAGCGCGACCGCACCCTGCGAACAAGCAACGCATGAGGGAGGTGCAGATATATCGAGATGAGCGTCCACCTTATTCCTTTCCGACTTCTCTGGATTTGTTGGCATGTCTACGACAGCCTTCGCCTCCACCAACGCCTGCAGTTTCTCAGTCTCTTCCAGTATTCTTAGAAATTCTCACCTTCACGCATTTGAGATCTCCGCCATAGCAGGCGTCATGGAGTGGCGAACAGCCGTTCACTTTGTCGTATGAGTTGATCTGCGCGCCAGCCTCCAGCAGCAGCTTCAAGTTTGCCTGCCATCGACAGAGGTCAGATGGTTGTATCAGGACTGCAGTACTCACAAATGACTGGGAGAGAGCAGCGTAATGCAGCGGGGTGATGCCCTCGTTGTCAGCCAGGTCCACGTCCGCTCCCCGCTGGATCAGAATCTTCACGCACTCCACATCTCCACTAAGAGGAGCAGGTAAGAACCGTCAAGGGGAAAATCACGCGTCAAGCATCAGATCGCGTCAAGCATCAGATCGTGTCAAGCATCAGATCGTGTCAAGCATCAGATCGCGTCAAGCATCAGATCGCGTCAGTCTAGAGTCAAGCTGACCTGGCACAGCGGGCAAGCGGCGTCCTTCCCTTGTTGTCTCGAGCATCGCACTGCGCTCCTTTATCCAGAAGCCACTTCACCTGAAGGCAACGTCAGCTTCAAATGATGGGACACACAAGGTGACCAGGTCAGGCCTGCCGGTAAATGCCGCAAAGTGCAGGTATGTCTCGCCGAACTCGTTACTGGCTTGCAATCCCTCTCCTGCAACCGTGAGCTTATTGATACTTGAAAGATCCTATGAGAACAGATGTAAGGAAAGCTTGAAACAGTAAGAAATTACCTTCAAAGTCTTCACAAAAGTTTCCTCCTGTTCTTCACTGTACAATAGACACTGAGCCTTCTGTCCTGACTCTTGCACAGCTGGGCCTTGAAACTGAGGTCCAATGAGTGAAACGAGGGACGGAACCGCATTTCAACACCTCAGTACGAGATCTCTTGAGAGATGTCCTCGACGAAGACCTGGTTGATTTCTCTTTCTTTGTCTGACTCTTGCTGAGACTGGGCTCCTCTTCTTCCTGGGCACTGACATCGGATTCGTTGACTTCCGTATGCGAGGCAGTGCTCCGTCGACCCCCAGGAATACGAGCCATGTTATCCACCCTTCGACACTGCCCACCGCGTCAGAAAAACATCATTATACTCCAACTTAAAGGAATCACAAACGTTTAATCTGTTGGAAGAATGAATTTGATCCTTCTTGGCTTATCTGATTGTTTTGCCCCTGACCACACTATACTTCCAATCTTGTCCTCCCTCGCCCGTCTCACGTTTTCTTACCTCCATGCCAGCACCTTTGTTCACCCTCTTCACTTCCACACACTTCCAAGAACCCTCCCGTTGTCACCCTGTAAGCTCAGACATCCAACAAGCTCCATCTCAATTTTTCCCCTCCTTTTCTTTCAGTTGATCCCCTAATCCCCGGCCTGGTCCTGTCTCGTCTCATACTTTCTCATCTCTCGTCTCACACTTTCTCATCTTCGCGCCTCTTTCAATCTCATCTCATGTTTTCGTCTCGCCTCTTATCTTCTCTCCCCGCTCCTTCTCTCTCCTCTCCTTCCCTGTTTCTTGTTGATAGTGCCATTTTGGCGCCAAGCCCCTACATCCACCCCTGTGCATGGCACCCCTGCAAGCTGCATAGGACCCCCCAATCATAGATAAAAGTACCCCTGAATTATACAGAGAACAATCAAATGAATCCACCCCTACCCAGTGGGTTTTCAAATGATCATCGGACAGCGTTCCTCCTCCCGGGCCGGTCCCCATCAAAGAGTTCGCGAACCGTGCCGGGTTGCCCGTCTGAGTCACTGAGTCTACGGACCTGTCCAGTGTCAGAGTCGGAGAGTCAGAGTCAGACTACAGTCAGAGTCAGACTCGGTCGTCAGAGTCATCAGAACGGTCACGGCCGGGCAGACCGATTACTGACTCGGAGTAACGGTCTGTCGGGCGGGTGCTCATAGGAAAAATGGCAAGATTTTTTTTTCTTTATTGACTGAAAAAGAAGGGCAAACCGGAGCAAACAAAGGAGGACGAGGATAAAGCCTAGCACGCAAACGATATACTGCCGAAATAGGCGAGCACGCAAACGATGACAGGCAAACACGCCGGTCCCCCTCAGGGCCTTGCCGAAGGACCTGCTTGGTGAAGTGCTGTACCGGGCGCTTTGACTTTTTTAGTTCAAGGCCTCAATCAAAAGTCGCAATCCGTCAAGTTCTTTCGTTTTCAATATTTGAGAGACACTTTTCAAATATATTCAGGAACCCGTCAAATCTGCCCGTTTGACTTGGCGGCGACATGGGGAAGGTACGAAGCTGCAACGACAGAGCAGGGAGAGGAAGGAGGAGGAGGAGGAGGAGGAGGATTGAGATGATGAACATGATAATGATCATGATGACATAATGATGGAGATGATGATGATGATCACGATGATGATGATGATGAGGATGGAGATGACGATTACGATGATCATGATCATGATCATGATCATGACGACGATGATGATGACGATAATGATGATAACGATGATGATTATGGGGACGTTGATGATGTTGATGATGATGGAGTTGATGATGTTGATGATGATAACGATGAGGATGACGATGAGGATGACGAGGACGAGGAGCAGAGGGAGGAGGAGGATGAAGAGGATGAGGACGAGGATTGGGATGCCGTGGATGGACGATGGAGGAGGAGAGGGGAGGATCAAGAACAAATGTGTGTCCAGGACATGGCCCATGATATATCGATGAATGCGTTTGTGAATTACATAATGAGTAGAGGTGCAGCATATCTGTGGTAGAATCCATTCATCGTCTTATTCAATTTTCTTTCCATACTGCGTTTCAAATATCCGTGACGAAAAGATCAGGTTTCACTTCTTGATGTGGTTCAAGGGGAAGGGGCGCAGTCAAAGTCAACCACACCGGCAGTTCAGCCGTCTGTCACCGGGTCAGCAGTCACAGGGCAAGGAAGCAAAGCGACCATCATCACCAATCCCGATCAGATTCGTTTGTTGTACATCATCTCGAAATATTCCAGTCCTGCGCGTCAGGTTTGACGTCCTTCTTTTTCCTCACTCCTGACGTCGCTATAGCCTGGCGATGAGGAGCTTTGCATGCGGAGGCTTCCCTTGGTTGTTCTCATGTATGAAGCCATTATTGAAGACGTGCTGGACTACGATTACGCTCCTGTATGGTCTCAAAGTATGCTGGATATGTTGCTGATAAGATTGTCACAGGTTGCGGTGAACGTTTGCCATGAAGGGATTTCACGCAACGTCTGGATGAATGTGACTCAGGAGGGCATCCATGCCCTGGACGATTTCATTTCGAAGAATTTGTGTCGGAATATCAAGCTGCAGAGTAAGGATTTCTCTGCAGTAACAGCGTATCAGATTACAGAGAAAGGGCTCAATTTTCTTGCAAGGGCACCCAAAGAGATTTTGATGGCAGTGGACGACTTCTTGTATCGTTCTGGTGATGTACTCCAGGTGCTGACGAAACAAGCGACGTGATAGCTGCTTGAGGTATCAAAATGACAAGTCATGACAGGTTCGCTTTAACGGCTCGGATTTCGAGATATACACATCTAGCGGTTTTTCACAGCAGTCAGGAGTCACAGATACGGAAGATGTGAGTTACGTCTCAAGCCCCTGGCTGCCGCAGAGTTTGCGCTACACCTCGAAACCATTGCGAAGCTTTGCTCACCGGGCATACGAAGCGGCAGAGGGGATCAGTCAATTGAATGACGAGCTGGACTCAGCCATGTGACGTTGCCATGTGGATGTCTCTGCTTCCAGTGATCGAACACCCGCAGACGGCTGCGAAACGTCAACCTCCTCGTCGCTGAGTGGATTCCCCTGGGCCCGAATCAGCTCTGGTACCTCATGGACCGTCTGGGCGTCCTCGATCGTTGCCAGGTCAGCCCCAGCAGCTGTGACCTCCTCGTCTGACGAGCCGTAGGGGGGCATGTTCACAGCTCAAGTAGACAACAACCCGGCGAAGAGCAAGTTTCAGTGTCCCGTCGGGTGAGTGCGACAGGTTGAACAGTTGCTGAGAGAGGTGACGGGCTTACCAGCCTGACTGCGGTGAGGGTTCTCGACTTTGACCTCAGCGAGGCCGTCAACTTCGAGGCTGAGATTCTGTACCCGGAAGAGCCTGGCATCGTTCAGGTGCGCCCATGGCTGCAGCTGCGGCAGCAACTGTGAGCAAGGGAGCAGGTGGAGTACTTCGGGATGCATATGGACGTAGATGGAGGGATCATGATCGGGCTGAAAGTGGAGGCGATTGAGAAGTCTCCAGCAGAGCAGCTGAGCATCGACTTGATCAGTCGTCTGGTTGTCGACATCATGAATGACTCGTCTCGCATCATTGGCGATCTGCTCTCCGAGTACCAGAGGGTTCAGGTAGATGGATGTTGTTGGTTCCAATGCTGCTGATCGTGGGCAGATGAACATGGTCTTCCGAGGGGAGTCTTTCTCACGCGAAAAGTTTGTCCTCTACCTGGCCGACTCGATTGAGCCCTTGACCAAGGCCGAAGCCTACATGAACGACGCGCAGTTTGTGGCTGAGCTACGGCAGGTTGCCCTGTAGATGCTCACGAAGGGATGCGGACTGACCTCATGTAGATCGTCGGAGATTTGCAGTCCGTGCACTGCCTGAGCAGCGAAGACGTGGTGATCCTGGGGTCGAAGGGATGTATCGCTGCTGGGCCTCGTTGCAAGATGAATGAGGAGCTGCTTGCTCGCTTCATGGTCCTCGGAGCAAGAGACAACTTCGTCAAGTCTGTCTTCGTGCGCCTCAAAGTCCTCAACTCCGAGCTACTGCACATCCGAGATCTCCTCATCAAGCACAACGAGCATCCCAATAGAGGAAACGTCATCCGTGAGAAACTTGCGGATGCTTCCCGTGACATCTCCCTGCTCAAGGAGCTCCAGCAGTACCTCGTCGAGTCCCTCCAGGGCTTCAGAGTCCCTCCCCTCCCCTCGGAACTTTCAGGGCGGAAGATGTACAGCTTCCTCGACCTGCACTCGAGGCTCAAGGACGCCGTGCTGCGAGCTCGCGATCTTTACAAGCTGATCGAAGGAGCTGAGAACGAGTACAGGACGCTGGTGAAGATGATGGACGTTGTGGGGAAGTCAGCGCTGGAGCAGGTGGTGAAGTTCACCAAGCAGAACACTCAGGATCTCGTGCAGAACAGCTTGACGGAGGCGAGAAACGCCCAGGGCATGCAAATGGTGAACATCATGATGGCAGGGAACTTCATCTTCGCACTTATCGACAAGGCGGTTGGAGGCGTCGAGAACTGGAATGGAGACTACGACAAGGAATGGCTCATCGTCCTTGACCGCAACTTCCCCCTCTCAATCTTCGGCTTCCACGTCATCGCCTTCATCCTCTGGTCCTGGCTTCTCACCTCCCTGCTCAACCACCTTGCGGCCGAGGCTGACGGATATCTTATTTGGCGTCTCAAGATGAACCGCAAGATCGACCCTAAGGCCATGACGGCCTGGGCGAGTACGAAAGTTCTCATCAGCAGCAGCGTCGACATGGACCGGACAGTCCGGCCGGCGCGGAAGATGCGAAAGGCGTACTGGGAGGAGACAAGTCACAGCAGGTGGAAGGGACCAGCCCCCCTGCTGGAGATTTTCTACGACGAGACCAACGGATTCCTCCTCCAAGTTGTCTTCTCGTACCAAAAGACCAAGTGCGTTCTTCCTCCTCCTCCTCCCCCTTCTCTTTCTACTCCTCCTGCCCCTTCTCTTTCTACTCTTCCTCCTTTTCCTCCTTCTCTCCCACGATCTAACGACTTGCAGGTCTGAGCTCTCGCAGCCCGAGCTTCTCAACCTCTTTCAAGATGATCTTGTGGCTAATCGCATCCTCAAGTCCGAAGACCGTCTCCTCCTCCCAGAGTTCGACGCGGATGCCATCGCCGACATTGACTGAGAATCTCACCCTTCCTCCCGTTCCCTCCCTCCTTCCCACCTATCTCTTTCTCCTCTCTCTCTCTTCTCCCTTCCATCCTTCTCGCTTCTCCTCTCTCTTCTCCCTTCCTCCTATCTCTCTCTCCTCTCTCTCGCCCTTCCTCACTCCGACTCCTCCTGTGTTTTATTTCTCTCCTACTCCATCCCTTCCTCTCTTTCCCCTCCCCTCCTACATTGGATTGCAACCCCTTTATCTCTCTGCTCATAGTTTACACATGGGCGAGTAGTCCGGCACATAGATCGCCTTCCGAACGGCTGCAAGCACTTCACCCTCCTGCAGCGTCGCAGAGCACATCCCCTCCTTCATTCCCTCATGCACCACTGCCACCGCGATCTTCTCCGACACCCTTCGCATGTCTGTCACAATTGTCACAGCAGGACGAGGCAGGAGAAGCGGACAGGACAGGAAGCACCGTAGGAGGCATTCGAGGAGGGGAGGAAGAGGAGGGAGCGATTAGTCACCTTGTAGCGGGGGGAACAAGCATCCATTCTTGATGTCTCCGTCCGTCACCTGATCCGCGAGAGCGCGAGCGGCGATTCGGAACATGTTGTCAGTGATATGACGGAGTTTTCCCACCACCGCGCCCAACCCAACGCCGGGGAAGATGTAGGCATTGTTGCCTTGCCCGGGGACGAACAAGCGACCGTCGCGCTCGATGGGGTCGAAGGGAGAGCCGCTGGCGAAGAGAACCTTTCCTCGCGTCCATGTCCAGGCCTCCTCTGCCGAGCACTCGGCCAGCTGCGTGGGGTTGGAGAGAGGGAAGAGGATGGGGCGCTCGTTGATCTCGCTCATCAGCTCCACGATCTCCCGCGTGAAGACCTTGGCTGTCGCACAGACGCCGATGAGGGCGGTAGGGCGGAGGGTGCGGACGATAGAGAGCAGGTCCTTGATCTTGCCGTGCTCGTGCGCATAGTTGAGCTTGTGATGCTGAAGCTCCTCCCTCCTCGACTTGACCACCAGCCCCTTGCTGTCCACCAGCCAACACCTTGCCCTTGCCTCCTCCTTCGTCAGCCCCTCTGCATGCATCTGCTCCACCACCAGGTCTGCGATGCCGGTCCCTGCCTCGCCTGCCCCCATGAAGACCAGCACCTCATCTCTCAGCCTCGTCCCCTTGACCCTCACAGCGCTTAGCAGGCCCGCAAGCGCCACCGCTGCCGTTCCCTGGATGTCGTCGTTGAACGTGCAGATCCTCTGCCTGTAGCTCTGCAGCAGCTGGAAGGCGGTTGTGTTGCCAAAGTCTTCAAACTGTATCAGGATCCCAGGGAACTTACTGGACAAGGACGTGAGAACTTCCTCCATGAAGGCGAAGTAAGCCTCTCCCCGCACTCTCGCTGACGGCAGGCCCGTGTACATGGCGTCTGCATGCAGTTTCTTGTTGTTCGTCCCCACGTCGACGAGGATCGGCAGGCATCGTCTCGGGTGAATGCCAGCGCATGCCGTGTAGAGGTTCAGCTTGCCGATCGGGATCCCCATGCCGTAGGCCCCGAGATCCCCCAGGCCCAAAATCCGCTCGCCGTCAGTGATGACAGCCACGTCCACCTGACACTCGGGCCAGTTGTTGAGGATGTTGCTCACGTTGCCCTTGTCCTCTATCGACAGGTACATGCCACGCGGGCGCTGGAAAATGTGCCCATACCGCAAGCATGCCAGCCCGACGACAGGCGTGTAGATGATGGGCATGAGCTCCTGGAGATGGTCGACGAGCACGCGATAGAAGAGAGTCTCGTTGGTGTCGAGGAGCGACATGAGGAAGAAGTACTTGTGCAGGGGCTCGCTGATCTCACTCAGCTGCTTCATCACACGCTTCTCCTGCAGGCTCAACGACTTGACAGCAGGAGGAAGCAGTCCTCGCAGATGCAGCCTGTCTCGCTCGTTCGGACTGAAGGCATCCCCGTGGTTCACAATGGGATCACGAAGACAGCTGTACCCAAACTTTGCCCTCTCCATCCTGTACCAGCAGAACAAACAGTCACTCGAGATGTAATGTCACTTTTCTTCCCACATTCAATATCACTGTCCTCACAATCTCAGCTCTGCTACTCGACTATTTACACGCTCATCAAGTTACTGCGCTGCCTTGCCCCTGCCCCTGCCCCTGCCCCTGCCCCTGCCCCTGCCCCTGCCCCTGCCCCTGCCCCTGCCCCTGCCCCTGCCCCTGCCCCTGCCCCTGCCCCTACCCTGCCCCTGCCCATGCCCCTGCCCATGCCCCTGCCCATCCTCCTCCTGCTCCTCTCGTTCCTGCTCCTGCTGCTCCTGCTCGCTCCTGCTCGCTCCTGATCCTGCTCCTGATCCTGCTCCTGATCCTGCTCCTGCGCCTGCTCCTGCTGCTCCTGCTGCTCCTGCTGCTCCTGCTGCTCCTGCTGCTCCTGCTCTCCTGCTGCTCCTGCTCCTCCTGCTCCTCCTGCTCCTCCTGCTCCTCCTGCTCCTCCTGCTCCTGCTCCTCCTCTCGTTCCTGCTCCTGGTCCCGTTCCATCTCCCCGACTCAGCCATGAGGACGTGGCGAGGAGGTCTCAAGTATTTTTTTATATAGCGAGGGAGTTTTAAAGTCATAGTGGAACTCTGTATTACCCCCACCCATAAAATATTCAAAAAATCACAGGGATCGGAGGGGTCATACTGAGACTGGTCGTCTTTGCTCAAAAACTGTCCAAGCCCCGATGAATAACGGAAACTGAAAGAGCTTGCAATGGTGTATCAGGGTTCGAGAGCGGGGATGGGTGGAGGGAAGGGAGGAGGAGAGAACAAGTTGAGAGGAGGAGAAGATCAGATCGACATACAAGGAGACGAGGAGACGAGAAGGGGTTGGGTGGATTGAAGATCAGAGGATTAGACTCGGGAACAATCGTGCGTGAAGATAGAGTAGGCAACGATGAGGTTGGAAGAACAGCTGGTGGCCCCTTGGTAAAAGATGAGGATTGGAATGATGCACAAGGAGTATCATGTTCAGCATTAGGACATGAAATACAGGAACAGCAGGAAAGGAGGAGAAATGCTGCTCTAATATTCTTGTCTCCGAAGGTTCACCAAGACTGACGAGGGGATGAAGACCAAGGTTTGTAGTTTGAAGTTCTTCATCGGAACGAGCACTGACATACGACATCAGGTGCAGCAGTACGTGGAGGGAGTTGGGGGGATCCGTCTTTGGGGTTTCAGCCCTTCGGAAGATCTGAGCAATATGGTCGATGGCAGCAAAGGTAAAAGACAGAAAAGAACCCCAAGAGTGTGATTGATGCTTGACAGATGATGTCCTCAACATCTTGAGCATGATGCCTGGAGATATCTGCAGTTTCCTGATGACAATTGCTCGGAGACATACGAAGAAAACTCAACAAGTGCAAAACTCTTTGGCTAACTCGCACATTTTGATATGATTGGCTAGATCAATTATTACATCGTTGAACGCCAGCCCGAGGCACTGGCAAGATACATCTTACTCCTGTCAATATTCTTCGATGATGACCTGGGGCCAAGAGAATGTACTGAGATCTTCCTTGAGGTAAGACGACCTTATTCTTGTTTCAATCTCAACTCGAGAATCCTCTTTGCGTTTGCTCCAAGGCAGAAACATGTTGATTGAAAACCATTCATGTCGATCTTTCGGAATTAATTTGCGTTTGTTGTTTGTTTTGCAAAACAATTCGATTTATGTGCAAACGAAGAATGAACTCCATGACAGATTTACGGCAACAACATGCTCAGGAAACAAACCAGCGCGTTTCTTCATTCGAAGGTCGCGTGCTTTCAATCTTTAAACCTTAGCGTAAATCAAAGAATCACTATGCTCTCAGGTTGAAGAATTGATCAAATTTCTAACCAACGGAGAAGGAAAACTTGCAGAATTTGTAGACATCACACAAATGAAATTCAAAGAAAGAGATGCGATAGAAAAAGTGACCAAACTGCTGCTTCTTTCACGATGCTTACGGACTGCAGGTATTCAAGACTTGGTATGAAAACATCGAGTGCAACATGGAAGAATGGAGGTGACTTGATCAGATCACTTGGGGCATAGCGATGACGCAATGAAAAGAGAAAAACGGCTGCGATCGTACTACGAGGATCGCTTTGACTATAGGAAGAATCTCATCGACTGGGACTACAGGTCCCTCCCCCCACCCTCTCTTCCTCTTCCTCTTCCTCTTCCTCTTCCTCCTGTTTCTTGTCCATCTAAATGCTGTGCAGCATGAACGTCAAAGATTGGGCTGAAATCATTCACTCCAAATTGTTCCTGTGGTGGCGACAGGAAGGAATCGCCTACGAGATCCGCGATAGCAAGTGAAGAACTCTTCCTCCTCCCCGTCACCGCCACCTAACCCCTCCTTCTGCCTCCCCTCTCGTCCCTGCTTCTCGCTCTTCTCCCGTCTCACCTCCTCCCTTCTCCTCTCGCCTATCTCCTCCTGCCTCCTTCCCTCTCCCCGCCCCGCTGCACCCAATCTCGTGTGGTCCTGACCTCTCTTCAAGGTATCCACAACCCAACAGGACGATGGCATCGTACGCAGAGGGGAAGGAGAAAGGGCACAGGCAAGAACCACAGCAGCTCGTGCTCGCTCGAACTTACGCGTATGGGCAGCAAGCTGAAGAGAGGGTACTGGGGGGACATCGTTCAGAGCCCCTACTGGTCCATTGGAGTTCATGCAGATGAGCAGAGGTAGGAAGGAGGCGGCGGTGGTTGTGAAGTGATGGAAAGATGCAAAGCCTGTACAAAAAGAGAAGTTTTCAGCACACCAAGACTTGTCAACACGTGGCTGAGTACAACATCTACTCGTTACTCTTCGAGCTGTCGGCCAAGAAGCGCTACAAGGTTGGAGATCAGACGTCTCGCGCCCCTCACTCACCGCTGCTTTCAGATGCCCCAGGAGGACTCGGAGATCCACGGGAGGAGCTTCTGGTCTGGCCTCTCCCACAGGTGCCCTTCCTCCTCCTGCTTCGAGGTCTGACCGTCTGCAGGGACGTGGAGAAGGTGGAGGAGGAGGGGGAGATCGAAAGCTTGCAGGATGATAGGATGGACACGCTCAGCACAGGCCGAGCACCAGAGAGCGGGACGAAGAGGGTTCCGCAAGGGATCAAGCTCGTTCTGCTGCAGGTGAGCTTCTGTTTGTTGTTCCCTTGCATGACGTGAGATGGGAAGGGGGAAAGCTTGGAGTTCATGAGGGGGAAGAAGAAATATGCTGAACTGTTCCACCTGGTCTTCCTCTCGAATCTTTGCCTGCAGATGCTGAAAGAGCCTCTTCCCGAGCTGCTCCACGAGAGGTGAAGGTCTAGGCGAGCGATCGCGCGATGACTCTTGACCTCAGGGCGACTCTTGTGGTTGAAGGGGCAGATTTCATGCTCAACTTTGACAAGAATGACCGCAAGGCTTTCAACGAGAAGATCAAGCAGCTGGGTAAGGAGCTCGGCATGGTCGAGGAGAGTGCCTTGCGCGACAAGTACAAGCTGTACAACGGCGTTCACTTCCCCCTTTACTTCCTCAGCTACGACAAGGCGGCAGCCAAGGAAGTCCTGGAGCAGCGAGCAAGGAGGCAGCAGGAGGAGGGAGAGACGCTGCAGGCCTCGCTTGAGTCGACGCTGTCGCAGTCGAAGGAGGACGAGAGGCCAACGGCCGACGCGCTGGAGGGCCTGGAGGCTCTCGACCTGCAGGACAGGACGTACGAGGTTGACGCGATGAATCGGCCGATCCTCCTGGACGGCAGCGCGCGCGGGTGGGAGCGGAGGACGTTGGTGCTGCTGGGGACTAAGACGAGCGTCGCTGCTGCTCCTGCTAAGGCCGGACCCTTCGGATTCTGCGCGGTGACGGGGCTGCCGGCCAAGTACAAAGACCCGCAGACTGGCCTGCCGTACGCCAACGTCGAAGCGTTCAAGGAGATCCGGAGGAGACACGCCGGCAGCACCGAGACCCAGGGAGAGCTGAGCGAGGCGGTAGAGACAGCCAATGTAGGGGAGGAGGAGGCGACAACGAGGGCAGAAGAGGCGGAAAAGAGGGAGGGGGAGGAGGAGGAGGAGGAGGCAGTGGAGCCTCTCATCTTCCAAAACCGACCCAAGTGGCGGCTGGGAGGCAGCTCTGTGCTGTGAAGGCGAAGCAGAGGAGGTGGAGGAGGCGAGTTCTATTTGTTACATGCAGTGCTTTACAAAGGAGGAAAAGGAATCTTCAGGTTGCGTGCACTGCAACAACTGGATCGCGCGACCGTCTGTAGAGTTGTCAGGAGCGGGAGGAGAGGAGAGGAGAGGCGTGGAGAGGAGAGGAGAGGAGAGAAGCGATGAAAAAAAAAAGAACGAGCAAAAGAGAAAAAGGAGAGGAAGGTGGGAAAGATGAAGGGAGGGGATCAAGGAAGAGGAGGGAAGGAAGGAAAGACGAAGGGAGGGGATCAAGGAAGCGAAGGGAAGGAAGGAAAGACGAAGGGAGGGGATCAAGGAAGAGAAGATGAAGGGAGGGGATCAAGGAAGAGAAGATGAAGGGAGGGGATCAAGGAAGAGAAGGGAAGGAAGGAGAAGGAAAGTCACATCGGTCTCGCTTGTTGGTGATGTCTTCCATCGACCCGCAACTTCGCTCAGACACTGAGAGGTCAAACGTCGCGTCTCTCTCCGTCTGATCCGTCGCAATGCTGCTCAAAGAGATGTCGCTGAAGCTCAGCCCCAACATGACTCGCTTCCCTCCTCCTCCCCCTCCTCCTTCCCGTATCCCTCTTCGCCATGTAGCAATCAGAGGATTGCAAATGGCTCTCTTGCTCTTGACCTCCGTGTTGTGACGCTGTTGCTCTGGTGATTTCCTCCTCTCCTCCTCCTGTACACGTCCGCGCACCTCCTTCACCTCCGCTCCCTCCTTCACCTGCTCACCCCGAGCATGTGCAAGAGTTTCCATCATCTCCTCCTGCACCTCTGCAAGTCTTTGGCGGTAGGGCGCGAGGGAAGAGGCTGGAAGTTCAACGAGGTCGAGGACTCTGCAGCCGTGGAGCTCGAAGGTGGACCTGAGGTGGAGGAGGAGGACGCGGGGGGTGAAGGCGTCGCCAGCCTCGACGGAGAGGAGGACGAAGACGCAGACAACGCCGCGGAGCTTCACCAGCTCAACGACCTCGAGAGAGTCGACGAGAACAAGCTTCGACGTCAACGCCTCTCGCAGCTGCCGCATAAAAACGTTCTTGTGCCACCTAGAAGCTGAGAAATCAACATATCCAGGTGTCAAATCCAACCGCAGCAACTTGGTTGTCAAACTCGCGTGGCTGTCGCTCTCCGCGCCGTCGGTTGAGTCTGGGCAGCCCCCCGGACAAGGTCGGAGCGCGTGAAGAAATCTGCGGCGAGAGCTGGCGAGGTGGGAGGGATGGGCGGCGGAGTCCTCAGTCAAGTAGCGGATCCAGAAGTTCTTGATGACTATCGACTCTCGTCGTGAGCGGAGGCAGACGAGGTGAGGGCCGTCTTGGAGCTTCTTCTCGAAGTTTCTCTGCAGCTTGTTGATCGTCTTCACGAGGTACGCCAGCCTCTTCGCCTCCTTCTCTCGCTCTCTTGCCTTCTTCACCACTCGCTCAGTTCTCGCCATCACAGCTCTTCTCAGCTCCTCCTCTCCACAGTTGTCGCGGCTCAACCTCAAACTTTCGCCGTTGCTGACCATCAGCCCTGGAGTCCTGCAGATGTTCAGCTCTTCCAGGTCCGTCACTCCTGCCACACACAACCCGACGAGCTGACCATCTTCAAAGTTTCCTTCAAGACTTTCACAACCACATCTGCGTCTGCTCATCTTCACTCCTGCTCCATGCGCGCGATCCCACAGGAAGTTTGCGATGACAGTCGTGCCTTCCTTGCTCCGCTCGATGCCTGAAGCTCGACATCAACGAGGAAAGAACAAGCCCTTGGGTCTCACCTGCTCCGTTCAACATCCCGTCCACCCACTCTCCTGCTCGCTCCCGACCTGCTTCTGTCCACTGTCCTGTCCCGCTCCTCCTTCCATGCAGGAATTCACCCGTGTAGACAATCTGAGCTGATGAGGACGATTTTCTCCTCCTGGGGACCCACCAGCTCACTACGCTGGGACAAGACCGAAAGCTGCTGATCCGCCAAGTCGCCTCCTCCTCATCGTACGAGACAGCAAGCCGTCCCTGCCGGGCGAGAGAAGCACCTGCGAGCATCTCAGACAAACATCGCAAGTCAGACGAGGATCACTGTCGTCAAACTTCATGCACCCCAGAACTTCAGGTTGTCCATCATTACCGATGAAGCCTGAGTACGTGACTCCTGCTAACGTGTCACGAGGCTATCCCTTTCTCCTCATCCCCTTCCTCCTCCTCCTGTACCTGGCAGAATTTCCATCTCCACAACCCACGGCAGCGCATCCGAACTCGTGCTGATGGCTGCGAGTTTGAAACTTTCATGGTCCTCATGATCCCTCCCTTCTTCAACCTAGAGTTCCTGCCTCCTGCTACCTATACCCTCCTCTCCTGCTCCCTCCTCTCCGCTGACATTCACTGTGAAAGTCTTCAAGACAACAATGTCCTGCACGCAAGTGATGGCATTCAACTATTTGCATCTTTCCTCCTTCTCCCTGCTCTCCTGCTCTCCTGCTCTCCTCCTTTCCCCATGCTCTCCCCTCCCTCCCTCCCTCCCTCCCTGCCTCCCTGCCTCTCCTCTCCTCTCCTCTCCTCTTCTCTCCTCTTCTCTCCTCTTCTCTCCCTCCCTCCCTCCCTCCCTCTCCTCTTCTCTCCTCTTCTCTCCTCTTCTCTCTCTCCCTCCCTCCCTCCCTCCCTCTATCCTGCATCTCGTCTCGCCATACCGTCGGGCGCCTCGGCCATTGATGCTGTAGGTCCTCCTTGAATCGATTGAATCCGGACCATCGGGAGCTTTTGAATCCCCTCGAATTTAAGGTTAAAATTTTAATGCAACGATTATTAGCGGGAAGTCAAGAACAAGACGAGAAAACAGTGAGGAAACTAACAAGAGAGAAGAGAGATCAGAAACAAGAGAAGAAGACGAAGAAACACCATGAGCAGAAGCAGAGGAAGATTAAATCCTATTGCGCATACTTTGGTGAATGACTTCCATGGAAGTCATCCGAAATTCATTTTAACAGAACTTAAAAAGAATAAAAATTGATCCTAGAATGTCCATTCATGATTCGCCTCGTCACGACTTGCAGGACTGGCAAACTCCCCCCCTGGTTGTTTTGCAATCAACCACAACTGATATTCTCAAAGAGCGAGAGCAAGACCAGATATCGAACGTTGTGGATCATGCTGCAACAAGAAATCTTTCAAACAGAAATGTATCACTTTCACAGATGTAATCAATGTTCGGAGGAGCAAAACAATAAAATTTCTGCATGTCTCTATCAATGAGGAAAAGACAATCAACCTGTACGAAGCCAATTCCTTCCAATACCCTCTGTGATCAGAGTTAGGCAAGTACAGCACCAATTGAGCATACCTCCAAACTGTTGGATCTCATTGCCCAGGAAGTTTCCAGGGTTGAGCCAGCCAAGACCGTCCTGAAGGAAAGCTTGTGTCAGGACCAAAGAGGGTAGAAAAGTCAAAACTTCACGTTGTTGTTTTGCTCGCGAGGCCTGCTATCCATTCGCTCTGAGAACAAAAGATTACAAGTACTTTCTCGGCATCAGCTCCTCCTACCTGCTGCATCAGGACGGAAAAGATGAAAACTTTCGTTCTCAACCTTGGACCCCTGGACACTATCAGCTGGACAGGAAGCACTCTGTATCACCTCCACTGCTTGGAGATTCCTCGCTCTCTCTCTCTCCATCTCTTTCCTGATTTGTTTCTCTCGCCAGGCTCGAATGAGCTGAGATCATAGTCAGGCAACGCACGCGCAGCTTCAAGTCTTTAGTACATCCGACAAGCCACTTGACATGGCGTTGAACTCCTCGTAGATGGAGACCTTGTTTGAGGATGAGCTCTAGATGTCAGCTCCTCCCTCCTGACCCACCTCACACGTGTAGAACTTCCAGCGGAAGACCGACGTCTTGAGCAGACCGTCTTGCTGACGAGGGAAGAGAGTCTGGTTGTGCGCTCCGTAGACCTGAAAGGGGTGAGGAAGGAAGAAACATCGAAGCTAAGGACGTCACCAGCTCCGCGTGCAACCGCACTCTGCAGATCTCGGAGGGGAGAGGCTTTTCTTTGAAGTTGTAAATCTAGAGCAGGAGATTAACGGCTGCAGCAAGCACTCCCTTTGCATTCACAAGAGTGTTAGTCTTGGAATCATACTCGGGGTCCTCCAACTCGTGGCCCCTACATCAGACATCATGGCGACGTCGAAATTTGCTGTTCGACCGACCTGACTGTCACCCAATTCTTCGCAGAGCACGAGGGGCTCAGAGGGAAATTGAAGCTAGACGAGAGGACATCGTCAGAAGAGCAGACGGAGAGGAAAGAAACCTGATCGCAATCACACAAGTCCCACAGGCTACTCTTGAGTGCGGCCGCGGGTATATGGCAGAGATACGCAAAGGCTCGTAACCCTCTGGAGTGAAAACCATCACGACAGCCCCATCGAAATCTCCCTGTTCACAACCTGTGAAGAAATCCCAACTCAGCACGCCGTGTATGTTCTCTCGTGCTCGACTATGTCTCAGGTTTCCAAACTCTGCGCCATTCTTTCCCTTGTTGAGCGTGACCTTCACGTGCTGGTCAGATGTAACTTTTCACTTTGGAATCATCTTCTCACAAGAATTCTTGACCCGCGGGGGAAATTTCTGTACAGAAATGTCAACATGTAACGTTACTTTCCGCCTGAAGCCTGCTGACCTCAAAGGCGTCCAAGTGACAGTGAATTGTCTAAGGTCCACAAAGACTCTGCCCCTCAACTCTTCTCGGTTATTACCGTTACATGCAAAGACTTCGAAGTCTGCGTCCGTGATCTTTCACCAACGTCAAGGAACAGCAAACGTGTTTTTGACTTTGTGTTTCACCGCTTGCACGTCTGGCCCGCCAAGCATTTGACCCCAGAAGTGATTCTCACTTTGCTGCTCAAATTCATCAGAAGATTTAGTTCATCAGCTTCTCCCTCCAGACCTCGGGTGCTTCAAAGCAAACAACAAGCTTGTCCCCAACCTTCACATCCATCTGATCGCTACAGTTGTGTGAGCAAAATCGTATCGAATCCATTGTAAACAATAGCTTAACCGTTGTGGAGTGAAGCTTTGTACGAATCTGCTCAGATGTCGTCCAGTCTCGCTTAAGTCCAACGCATGTAAAACGCTTGGCTTCGAGGAATGGATGTGAATAAAACCGAATAAGAAATCTGAAGTCAACCTTTTGTATGTTGTATTCCCTCAAAGTGTGATGATTCTACGAGACAAGATCAAGATCGAATCTCCCATCATCTTCATGACCTGCAACTCTCGGCCAGCAAACACCAAACGAATTTCTTCAGGACATCTTTCTCCCTGACAAGTTGTCTCCGCGTCAAAGTCTCCATGAGAGACAAATCCTTCAAACATACCGGAAGGAAGGACAGCTCTTCTTTGAGATCCTCGATATAGAATTCAGCTCCACAAAGAATCATTCTGATCTTCTCATCTCCATCACTATCTCCTTTGCTCCGGATGTAGATTGGCTGTGCAATCATGTCATTCTTCATACACAACAGCATCGAAACTCACTCTCCCGCGGAAAGGATCATCGTTCAAAACAAGGTGCAAAACACCGCCATCTTTCATTCCAACCTGACGCCACAATCACTGGAACAGGAAACGAGCTATCTTGAAGCTTTGCCTCCGTCAGGGTCATCCCTGGATGCAGCAGGTGTCCTATAGCACTATGAGACGACATCTCAAAACAATTCCGTCACACCTTTGTAGATGAAGAACTTGTGATGAAACTGAGCTTCGGCCGCGCTGTCGATGGAGCTAGCAGGCATCAGGGACCGATGGCAGTGATCTAGTAATCACCTCGACACCTCAAGGAGGGTCGTATCCGACGGCAGTTCCACCGGCTCCAGCATTCCTGACAATGAGATCAGAGAAGGCAATAAGAGCCCCATGCCCACCTCCCCAGTTGATACAAAAGCGAACAGAGTCTTCCTCATAGTAGTCAACAAGGGGTGTACTCAAGCTCAGGCTTTGCAGTCCTTCAATATAGAACCCTTCTGGTTCTATCGCAGAAAAGCTCATACTGTTCGTTGTGCGTGGTTCGGTTCAGAAGTCATTTAGGGGACGTGAGATAGGTCAATAAGTATCCATATGGTGGCGGCATGATCAACCAGGCTGAAAAGAAGCTTGTCAATGAAAACATGATGCGAATGATTTCCTGCTGTCCTCATTTCAATTCTCACCTCCTTCACTCTCCTCCTGTCCTTTCTTTCTTGATCTCTCTTGCCCTCCCTGTCCTCTCTTCATGTTCCTCCACCACTCACTCTCCTCTCCTTCTCCGCTCTCTGTCTCTCCTCTCCTTCCTCTCTGTTTCTTCTCTCTCATTCCTCCCTTGCCATTTTCGCAATTCCTGCCTCTCCGAACCCCGAGTCATCGCACGTACCTACCCCCTCCGATTCCTCCTACTACCTCACCATGTTTGAGCAGTTAGTATGTAGGTAGGGTGGGTAGTAAAGGTGGTCAGAGGTAGGTGGGGTAATGAATCTGTCGGGTGCAAGGGATTAGGAACAGGGCATGCAAGCATACAAGCGTGTGAAAAGAAGACGGTGAGAAGATGAAGAAGAGAAGAACAAGACAAGACAGACATGAGAGCTTCAACATGAGAGAATGAGAACATAAAAACAGTCATGAGGCCGGAAGAAACATGCTGGCCCCGTGAATCCCGCACAAAGTCCATGTTGACGAAATGCTGATTTTGTGGTTTCTTCACCGTGCACCTGTGCATGACAAACATACCGAAGCTTTATGCTGTTCTTTCAATCCTCTCACTTGTCTGTGTCCACTGTGATTCCCATGAAATATCTTTCGGCCTTGACAAGGACGAATTGCTCAAACAAGGAGTGAAAGGCTGGAAGATTGTGAGTTCCGAAGGAAGGCAAGTGAGTGTCTTGAGCATCGATGCGGTTTGGGACGGAGTAGAAGTCGTGGAAGACACAGCAGACGAGTGGTACTTTAGTCCGCCCCCTAAACTTTACCATGGCTTCAGCGAAGCTTACGGGAAAATTCTCAAGTGGGAACTGGTTCACAGAAATTTCCCCAACAAGTTTGAAAGTTTCTTATTCGCACATGATCTCATCATCCGAGGTAAAGGCCTGTCCATCTCCTTCTCCGGGGCTGTGGATCCCCTCAAGTTCAAGACCAATGCCCAAGCATGGATACATGAAAGCGCCGGATGGAAGGTGCGGTACGACGTGGAAAAGCAATGGCAAGATGCAAAGGCAGAAGATATTCAGCAAGCGTTGCAGAATGTGCGAGGGTTATTGTTTCGAGGAGGCTTCTACGAGGCTTCAGAAGTTACTGTGTTGGTCTCCTTCCAAGTGGAAGGGTTGCAGAAAATGCATCAGAGTATCGACAAGAATCCGACCGGCCAAGAGCAGTTAGTCGAGAACAAGGTTGAAAGCAGGGTGAATGAGAAGAAAGAGAGGAAATCTGATAAGGAGTTGAGATCAGAGAGTGCGAAGGAAAAGAAAATTCAATCATCGCCCCATCTGAAAGCCCATCAAGAAGTTCCCCGGCGCGAAATCGTTGAGGAGGAGGGAGTCTGGATTCCCGCGAGAGATCCTGTGAAGGGAAAGACTTACTTCTGGAATAGCGTCACGAAGCAAAGCGTGTGGAAGCTCCCAGAAGGAGCCAAAGTCAAAGAGAAGGGAAATGAAGTCAGAATGAAAGCAGATCAAGCACGGCACAGAGGAGATGAAGTAAAAAAGAAGAACGAACATCAGGTTCAGTCGTCAACGAGTTCAGCTGAGAAACTCTCTGATCAGCGTGATTTCAGTGACCAAGAGGTCTCGATTCTGGTTGAAATCGCGAGCAAACAGCATGTTGTACAAGCACGAGTCCTTACAACAAAGGGAGTGATCGCTGTGACAAGCAGACATCTTATCATCGTCGAGTCTAATTGCCTGTATCGGGTTGATCTTCGTGAATTGAATCACATTCATTTCTCTTTCGGTGAGGATGGGAAAATTGTACCACACGTGGAGATGAATCGAATACAGCAGACAGTCTTTTCTTCTGCCCTGTCCAAAGAGAAATCTTGTGAACAGTTTATCAAGCTTGTTTTGCGTAACAAGAAGAGTTTGCAATCGCCCAACTACAAACCATTCATAAATCCTCGTTCGGCAGCGTCAAGATCAATTTGTAAAGGGTCTTCCGATGATTGCAGAGCGCAAAGCTTGTTCGAGCATGCAGAAGCTTCAGGAGAAGCTTCAATCTATCATTTTTGCTTTGATACCAAACTGAGTGCAGTTAACATTGTGGTCCAGGAGGAGATCAAATATGAATTTAAGACGCTTGAAGCGGATTCCTCGATTGGCGAGCAGACGGGCAAAGGTACTCCCACGTCACAACCACATTCTCATCAAAAGACAGCAAAGAAAACTTCAAGTCCCTCCCATGGCAAGAAGAGCATCAAGAAGGAATTTGAAGATTTTGAGGGAGAAGAGATAAAAATACATGAGGAATTGAAGTCCGACAAGGAAAAGAAAGCTAGAGAGAGAATGGTCAAGGAAGGAAACGACAGACCGCCATCAGAGAGGGTCAAGGCACATTCTGAACCTCCAACGGCCAGCAGGTTTGAATCTCAGCCAAGAGATCTGCATCGCGCTCATCAGAGTGAAGAAGAGAGCACCGAGGATAGTTCTGGTCACATTGACTGGAATAGCTGGGATGGGGATGACAACCTGCGTCATAAAGCAGTCAAAGTTGACAAGGAGAAACGCGGCAACGACCACGAGCCGGTTACCAGGGACTTTGAAATAGAGCGTGAGAGATTGTTCCAAGGTGATGACGTGGCTGAGGGATTCCATGGACGTCAAAACACAGTCTCTTCAATCGATACAGCAAGAGAAGATCTTTCATTACACGACGAGCGGTCCTTCCCTCAAATGCATCAGAGTGCTCACCAGCTGGGCAGAGCGCGAAATCATGATCTGCATGATCATCCGGAGATAATGCATGAATATCATCCTCATCCTCATCCTCATCCTCATCCTCATCCTCATCCTCATCCTCATCCTCATGGTCATGATGCCGCTCAGGATACGATTCAAGACGGCAGGCATCGATTGCTCCATTCAAATTCGAATTCGAACCCGATGGCATCGAAACATGCAGGGGAGGAGGCTCCTTCTTCTCCTCTTAAGAAGCTGAAGGCCCAGTACCTGAGGGACATCACCGCTGGCGTAGAAGGGCTGCAAGAGGCCATGGCGTTCTCCAGCTCAGAGTTCGTTTGGTTTTCTGCTGGAGAGTTGAGAGTTGAAAAATTGTCTAAGATGGGGCCGTTGAGGGCGAAAGATGGTCAGTTCATGCAGCTGGACTTTGAAGGCAGCGTGCCCATCCTTCTGAATCTGCTGGAATTCAAGGAGCATGATCTCTCCTCCTTCTTCCCTGGACTGAACGAGGCGCTCATGAGGAACAGACCAAGTCTCTTCTCTCATTCCCCTCCTCCTCGCAAGCCTCAGTCCTCGCTCCAGAGCCCCGAGGAGCGCTCGTCACAGAGTGCAGAGGTGAGCAGCAACAGTCCTCTGATGAGCCCCAAGGAGGAGGGAGAGAGTAGTGGAGCCAAGTTAGAGATGGAGAAGCAGCTGGCGGGACAGGAGGTGCTCAAGAGGCTGGATGGAATCGCTCAGTGCATCGCCCTCACAGCAGAGGAGCTAGTAGTAACCTCGGGCTCTTCTCAAGTTCGCAGGGAGAGGCTGAAAGACATTGTAGGCATGAAGACGTCAGCTAGCTCAGAGCTGGAGATCTCCTTCGAACGTTCTCCTCCTGTTTCAGTTGTGATGTCGGGGATCGCACAGTCTGAGATGAGCAACTTCTTCGAGCTGATGACTTCCTTCACTTTTCATAAGAACAAGAAATCTACAGCAGGACTGAACAAGTCTCAATCCGAGGAGAAATTAAGAAGCAATGACAATGAACTGGAGCGTTCTAGGTACAAACCTGAGGGAGCCGTAGGGCTACAAGGGGAGGAGGAAGCGAAATGGAGCGAAGAAGCCGCTGTACACTGGGAGGAACAGCTCGAGCAACTCTTGCAGACTTCCGGGGAATCAGGGAACAAAACTCTCGTCGGCTGCTCGAGTGCTCTAGCCTTCTCGGACTTGCAGCTGTCCATCGTGGGAGACATCGTGGGAGGAGTCCAGGGAGGAAGACAGTTCATGCTTGTGAGGCATGCCTTCCCCTCCTTCTTCCTCCTGACCTGATTCTTCGCAGGCCCGCATCCGCAAAGTCATCGCCTTGTCCTCAGGGGCATACCAAGTGAAATTCCTTGACGGTTTCAGCGTCCAGGTGCTGCCTCGTTGCTTTGGAGGATCGCAAGAGGCGAGCAAGGCGGCGCTGAAGAGATTTATGGACGCGCTGAACGTGCTTGTCACTTCCTTGAAGACTCCGGAGCAACTGCGATTTGAAGCGGAAGAGGACGAGATCCAAGAGGCGGCGCGTGCCCGAGAAAAGCATGCCGCTATGCAAGAGGAGGAGAGGAAGAGGAGAATCTCAGAGCTGCAGATCAAGCAAGCAGCTAAGAAAGCGTTGGAAGAGAATGTCAAGGGTGACGATGGAAGTAAGATGCCGGCGAGCATGCCCGACTACGACGAAGCAGGAAGAAGGCTGCTGACGAAGGCTGCGTCGATTGCCTCCTCCAAGATCGTCTCTGTGATGTACTCGCACGATGACCTGCTGGCTCTTAGCGTCGTCGAGGTCATCCGGTCCAGCCGCACGTCATTGAGGAGAGAAGCGTTGGACAAGATTGACAAGGTCGTTACTTCGGCCAAGGGCAACCTGGTGATGGTGATCCGAGAGAGCGAGCCGATGGAAGTTGAAAGCTCCAAGTTCTCCATGAACGAGCTCGGCTCATTCTTCCAGTTCCTGTCCGAGTTCCACGAGAAGGCGACGAGGAAAAGGAAGGAAGAAGAGGAAGAGCATCTTCGCAGAGTCGAGCGCGAGAAGTCGATGAAGCTGGACCGGATGGCCGAGGAGGAAAAGCGAGCTGCGGAACGAGAGCAGCAGCAGGCGGAAGAGCACAGGAAGTTTCTCAGGGCGAGGATGAACCATCAGAACGAGTCGAAGATCTTGAAGGAAGTGTTCGGTGATGATTGTGTGTTTGCCGTAGACGACGTGAAGGTTTACTTTGCTTCATCCAACGAGTCTCAGTCCGAAGAAATCAAGGAGATCAAATCGGTCAAGAATCATCCGGACGGGAGAATTCTCTTCATGTCTGAAGATGCTTCGAAGAACTTGAGCAGGGTGTCCATTGCAATCCCGGGGACTGCCTTCTCCCTTGAGCAACTCCAGCAGGTGTTCGCGATCATGAAGACATTTGCTGATGCCATGGCGAGGGAAGAAAGGGAGAGGCAACAGAGAGTGGAGGAGGAGAAGTTGAGGAGAGACAGGGAGGCCAGAGAAGCAGCCGAGGCAGAAGCCCAACGAAAGCTGAGGGAGGAGGAGGAGAGGAAAGCGGAGGAGGAGAGGAGAAGAGAAGAAGAGAAGCGGCAGGCAGAGCTGGACAAGCAGGCGAGGAAGGAGCGGAGAGAAAAGCAGATCCGTGACACGGCTAAGAAAGCCAAGGACCCGATCGTGATGCTCCTGCATGGCCCTGCGAACATCCTTGCCTGCAGCACCAGGACGTTGTATGTGATGGTACTGATCTTTGCTCCTCCCCTTGGACCTGACGCGAGAGTGCAGGAAGAGGACGATGTGCTGAAGGAAACGAGCTTGAAGGACATTCAGAAGGTCGGGATGGGAAAGGATCCCAACAGCATGGCTGTCTTGGTTGCCGGCTCTCCCTTCGTGGAGATTTCCGTCGCCGACTACCCGATGGATCAGCTAGGCGCTTTCTTCCAGAAGATCTCCAAGTAGTTATGGGCCGGTGGGCTCGATGTTGTAAACTAAAAATGAACTTCGGTACTAGACTCAGACGTGATGCCACCGGCCGCCGCGGGGCCGGGCGACCGCGCCCGGCGCCGCCTGGTGGCCCCCGGGCCTGGGCCGCCGAGGCCGGGCTTTCGGTGGCAACTTGCCAAGTTGGCCCATCCGAGGTGGCATCGAATCAGTTACCGGGGCCGGCCAGGTGACTCACTGGTGCCACTGGGTGACCGGCGATTGAAACCAGAATGTTGGGAGACCGGAAAATTCAAAATTAAATTGCTCTACGTTGCCCATGACCCCTACCCCACCAATCCATTACCACCCCAAGACGAGAGTGGCCCCTTTTTTGTATTTTTGCTTTAGACCCCTTCATGTATCAGCAAATTGCCTTTGAATAGTGGGGTTATAACTCACGTTTTGTGAAGAGGACCCCCACCTTTATCTCCACTACCCCACTTATCAGTTATGCGTCTACTTCATGGCGTGTGAGAGACATGGCATGAGTGCCGCGATGCGATGCGATTGAAGAGGGGGAGAGAACTTGATTGCAGTCAAGCAGCAGAGAGACAAGCATTGCAGTGGTGAGGAAGTACAGTGTGAGACAGGAAGAAGTGAGACATGAAGAAGTGCTCGGCAGGGGAGCATAGCATAGCATAGCATATCAGAGTAGAGAAGAATTTACAAAAGTTGAGATTATGGCGTTTTTTACCAGGACAAACCAATCAATTGTTTTCCGAAAGAAGCGGGGATTTTGAAGGATGAGAGTGTCAACATTATGTTTCTGACTTGGAGTTACAGAAAAGAATGGAAGATTGCCGTGAAACCCCTGATCCTGGTGGGCCCGAGAATCCGAACGACGTAGTTAGAAGATCGAAGACTGGGAAGAGCAGGGATACTCGAGATCGATCCTTGTTCAAGCAACCACTCAACGCTATGAAAGTGAAGAAGGTTGTTGTTGCCAGCAAGTCCGTTGCAAACAGAAACGTTGAAGCTGGTAAGGAGAGGAAGCCTCCATCTCCGATGACTCCGGCAAAGGTCAGACAGGCCCGCTACAGCATGAGTATGAACCGCTCCACGGATACATCTCACTACACGCACCATGAAAGCTCGACAGAAGCGAGCGTCGTTTCATCAGCAGGGAGTCTCAGTGAGGCCTCGACTTTGAGCATCGGATCTTCAACCTCCATCATAAACTCAAGCCTGCTTAGCACAAGCACAGGCCGCGAAAGTTTTGATAGCGCTGGAGGATCGACTCGATGGAGCTCAGGGAGCTACGGATCCATCGATGCTGAGTTGACGGACTCAAACACTCTCGGTCAAACGCAGAAGCTGGGAGGATCTAGAGATAAGCTCACTGTTGCACTTCAGCATAAGGTTGCTACGCTGCAAACTGAAGTTCTTGAGCTTCAAATGAGAAATGCTTCGTTGCAAGACAAGTTGAATGCAAATCTGAGCGAAGCCAAGTCACACGAGACAGCAGATCCAGCCTCGTTTCAACATAGCGGCGGTGAGGTGTCTCTTAAACGAACGATCGGATACAATGAACAACAAGTTCGACAGCTTGAGACTCAGTGTGAGATACTCAAGGATCAAGATGCAAGCTTGAATCAGGTTTTTCTTTCTGTGCATCGACCTTTGATATCTCTAACTAGAAAATGTGCAGGTACATGTAGATCTCTTGCACTCCATGTTCCTTCCCTTGGAACCCAGCGGAAGCTTGGCAGATGTCATCATCAAGTACAAGAATGAAGATGGAAGTGACATGGTGCGAAAGTGTGATGTTGAAATGATCCGTAAGGTAATGAATCAATGATGCTTGAAAAATTTGGTAAAAGATGACAAATTGAGCAGTACATAATCTACCTCGAAGGTAGCTTGGAAAATCGCCAAGATCAGAACGCGGATAAGGAAAATTGGGACAAAAACACTACAGTGCAGCAAAACAAACATAAGAAAAGCAATCAAGCACACGAAAAAAGGATCACTCATCTTGAAGGACAACTGAAAGACGAGATAGCAAAAAATCAACAACTGCAAGAATCAATCAGTGAGCTCGAAAACAATTGGGATCGACTAAACCAAAAACGGATGCAAGAAGATGCCGAAAAAGAAACTAATCTTCAGCATGCTCAATCCTTGATATCCAAACTAACCCAAGAGGCGGCAGAGCTACAGGGCAAGCTTGAGGCAGCCGAGGCAGAGGCCGGGGAGCTAGGAGCCGCTCGAGACGCCATGTACGAGTCGCTGCGAGAGCTTGAGACTAGAAGCCGCGAGGAGGCAGAGGAGCTCAGGACGAAGCTGGGCGAGGCCGAAGAGAGCGAGGCGAGGACTCGAGACCGCATGCGGGCACAGCAAGACGAGCTCGAGGCGCAGCTACAGGCGGCTCAGGCGAGCTTGTCAGAGCTCAGACAGGAGCTACAGGGCAGCGTGCAGGGGAGCGAGCAGCTGCAAGAGGAGATTGCTCAGCTCCAGGAGCAGCTCGAAGCCACCGAGCAGCGGTCGCTGGCTCAAGTGTCCGAGCGCGACCAGAGCTTGCAGGAGGCGCAGGCAGCGATCTCGAGGCTGACGCAGGAGGCGGCAGAGCTACAGGGCAAGCTTGAGGCAGCCGAGGCAGAGGCCGGAGATGTGCGGACGAAGCTGGGCGAGGCCGAAGAGAGCGAGGCGAGGACTCGAGACCGCATGCGGGCACAGCAAGACGAGCTCGAGGCGCAGCTACAGGCGGCTCAGGCGAGCTTGTCAGAGCTCAGACAGGAGCTTGCAGAGGGTCAGAGCCGACAGGCCGAGATGGAGGGAAGCATGCAGGAGCGAGGCCAAGCCCTTGAGGAGGCGCAGGCAGCGATCTCGAGGCTGACGCAGGAGGCGGCAGAGCTACAGGGCAAGCTTGAGGCAGCCGAGGCAGAGGCCGGGGAGCTAGGAGCCGCTCGAGACGCCATGTACGAGTCGCTGCGAGAGCTTGAGACTAGAAGCCGCGAGGAGGCAGAGGAGCTCAGGACGAAGCTGGGCGAGGCCGAAGAGAGCGAGGCGAGGACTCGAGACCGCATGCGGGCACAGCAAGACGAGCTCGAGGCGCAGCTACAGGAGTCACAAGAGTACATTACGTCTCTCCGTGTTGAAATGGCAGTTGTGGAGAAGAAGAGCGATGCGCTTGTGTATCAATTTTCTCTACAGAATGACTTTTTGTCTCAACTCTTCTCTGAGTATGACTCCTTCTTCTGCAATCTTTCGTTTTTATGCGAGTGCATCGAAGTTCTCGTCCAGTCATGCGAGTTCAAGGTTTCTCAGGTCTTGTCTTGCAACAAGGCGCAGAAAGTTTACATTGCAGGCTGTCAGCAGCTTCTGTTCGATAGCACTGCCGAGCTTGAGGCTCTCCGCACTCTCTACCAGCTGTCCTTGCTCCGCGCTGAGGACGCCGAGGACCAGAGCGACATGACTCTAGCGCTGGGAGCTGCTGAGATCAAGTTGAACAAGGTGGAGGAGCTTGTTGCCAAGTGCGTGCATCCAGTAGGGGGTCTTGCTGGAGAAGTGCATGAGTTGTCTGGTGAGCTCTCAGCTGCTCGGGGTCAAGTCGCCGAGCACCAACTTGTCAACTGGTCGCTCAGCTCGCAGCTGGCAGCTCTCACCTCGACTCTGCTGGACTGTAAGGACAAGGCCGAAGACATGGCGCAGCAGGTGTCGAGCATCACCTCGGAGATGGTTGAGGCTCAGCACGAGTCGGCGGTGAGGTAAAGAAGGGTGGGGGAGGAACCTGACGAGGCTGGCAGGAGCTGAAGGAGAACCTGGCGCAGACGTCGAGGAGGGCAAGGGAGTTGGAGGAGAAGTACAAGGGGTCGAAGAAAGTCTGTATGGTACTGGACGGGCAGATGCATGCCGTCTGCTCGCTGGTGTCGATTCAGCTGCTGGAGCTCGAGGTTGTCACGTGAAGTTGAAGTTTGAGGCTGATGTGATGCCAGGTCCTGCATTGCAATGCAAAAGACGCCTTCATCAACATGAAGTACCGGGAAGAAAACCTGATCGACTGCTTGCGCCAGTCTACCCGAGAGGTCGACATGTACAAGTTGAGGAACCAGGAGCTGGTGGATGAGATGAGAGTCAAAGAAGGACGGATCGAACAACTCAAGGAGGAAGTCTTGCAATCTCAGAGAGACTTGATGCAGTCACAAGATGAGATGACAAGCACTCTGCAAGTTTGGAACTCTTCTCACAAGGACGAGCAGGTGCTAAATCGCCTGCCCCTGCTGCCGTTCTTGTTGCTGACTCTCCATGCAGGAGAAGACCCTCGCTCCCATCTTAGTCAAACTCCTCAAAGTCTGCGACGAGATTGAACAGACCCACAGGAACTGCCTAGTTACAACCCAGCTGAAAGACTCTCAGCACATGGCGGTGACGACACAACTTCGGTCACTGCAAGAAAATGTGGAGAACCTCCAGAGGGCGATGAAGCGCAAAGACGACTCGGCCTCAGCGATGAGCGATCAACTCTGCAAGTACAAGCGAGACATCATAGAGAAATCAATCAGCCTGGAGTCTATCCAGAAGGAATACGAGAACATGCGCTCCCAGCACGAGACCCTCTTGAAAGACCTGCAAAGGTGACTCACGATTATTCTCTGATCGCACATGTTCACATTGCGAGCTCACACTCGATGGCAGATGTCAACAACGATCTGTCCGCATCGAAGGTGAAAACTCAGCCATTAAGCAAGAGTTGAGTTGCTTCCGACGACAAGCCGCAGCAAGGATGATGCAGGACAAGTCTATTGAGTTCTATTGAGGTTTCATGTACATACATCTGACATGTCCACATCTACTTGATGTTTCAGCAATCGACACTCGATGCTGCTAGCTCCTCACGCAACGAGCGATTCAGTTCTCCCAAAGTCTGTCACACTTTCAACGAACGAGACTCTCTCACCCGAATGAAAATCTCACAATCTTGAGATCTTCGTTTGCCACTCTAATTTCATTCCACACTTCTATCATGTCTTGTCTGCATCGAAATCTCACCAAACCATCCATGAAATGAACGTCACGTACTGTCTTCTCTCAATCTCAGTGAACATTCGCCTTCTAAATGTGCTGGACCCCTTCATTCTTCTGCCCCCGGCAACCTGATGAGCAAGTCATGGTCAACCTGGAATGAAATGTGAAATAATACATTCAAAGGTTTTGCTGGTTGACGTGTTGAGCAAGGAAGATTTTCTCTTGATTGCATCAAATTCATGGATTTGACTGACAACTCTTGTTTACGGATCGTTGGATCTTCTCCTGCTTCATGACTGACTTCGAAAATTCCGGCCATTGCGAGCAAATTCACCGTTGAAGACATCGAGCTGGGATTCATCAGGGCCATCTGAGGCATCATCAACCATCCTCATGCACTTCCAAGAGTCTTCAGGCTCCATGTATGGATACAAGTCGCTCTGAATGAAACGTCAACTCATGACAGAGGACAGGAATACAGCTTGCCCCGTCAGATTCTGTCTCAACCCTCCTCTGTCCTAGCAGCAGCCTTGCTTTCCTGATTTCCAAACAAGGATATCATTTCCATCAATGATCACACAAGATAACATCACATTCTTCTGTCCAAAAGATCATATCTCACTCCAGGTATTGTTACCCTCCCGCCCCTTATCTCCTCTTTTGCATTGAGCCTACATTCATTGAAATTTCAAAACGATAAGTGGAGAGTTGATAGTTGAGAGACCATTCGTAAATATCGCTGACATCAGTAGGTAGTTCCATTATCGTTGACATCAGTAGGTAGTTCCATTATCGCTGACATTAGTAGGCAGTTCCATTGTCATGCTTTCGTCTTGAGCAGGGAGAGAGACTCGTCGTATCCCTGCCGAAAAATCAAAATCACGGTGAGGTCGAATTTGATTATGTTTGTAAGTACGAGGACTAGATCAGGCAAGTTACCATCTTGCTGCACAAGGCTGTTGTTGTTGTTGTTTTCTGTTTCTCTCTTCACCTTTCACTGGTTCTTCAAACAGCTAGCGCAACTCTTGAAGCATCCTGCCCTGCTCTGATGCCCTGTCCTCCTGCCCTGCTCTGATGACCTGTCCTCCTGCCCTTCTCTGATGCCATCTTTGAAATTCAAAAAGGCGTGTAACCATCACATAAAGCCGCCCCACCCCTACCCCTAAAACCACCCTACCCCTGAATGTACACCGTTTGCATAGAAAACAGGAGGAGGAGGAGGAGGAGGAGGAGGAGGAGGAGGAGGCGAGCTGTACATGGCGTGATCTCCTGTTCCACCTGCTTGTTTTGAACATGAAGGCAAGTCGCATCCTGTCGCTGTACCTCGCGCTCTCTTGGTTTGATGTTGGTCAAAACTTCCGGCTGTACAGAACGGATTTCATGAGGATCGACAGCATCAACTCTCGATGCAAGATGTCCCGAATGTTGACGTCCATGTATAGAACTCAGGCAATGAAAAGCTTGCGCGAGCGTCTTGGAACCATCCGCCTCTTGTCCAAGGAGGGCCCAGCCCGAGAGATGCCTCCGTCAAACGTAAAGAGCGACGAACTAGACTGGGAGAAGACTTGGATGAGTGTGGTTTCATGCGCAAAGAGCGAAGCAGGTAAGCGCTTCCTAGGAGAATGCAGAGCAATGCAGGAGATTGAGGAGATTGAAGAACACTTTGACATGATCGGCGAGCTTCGAGCGCTTCGTGTCCGCAACAAGATGAAGGATTTTGATGATTCTTTCACCTTCACTTCCATCGCCGACGTCGAGGACATTTTGCTCAGAGTATCCACAGCTGGAGTTGTAGAGGTAGAAGAGCTGCAAACTCTTCGCACGACGGCAAGAACCCTCCGTCAGCTGAACGATCGGATGAAATCAGAGGAAGTTTCATGGTTGTGCCCGACCGTCGTCAGGGTCTGGTCACAGAGGGGAGGAAAGGCAGTTCCCGCCCAGGTGATCAAAGTTCTCAACCAGAACCTCAAGAGCGATGGTCGGCTGGACCTGTCGAGGTACCCGGAGGCTCGAGCCCTGCAGGAGAACTACCTAAGGCTGGAGGAGACTGTCCGCACGACAACCAACTTGCAGAGGAAACTTCACCCGCTGGTGCAGGAGATGGAGAGTGCGAAGCAAGCGTACCTCCAGGCCATCCACCAGATCCTGCGACTGATCTCTCGTGACATCTCCCCGCACGCACGAGACGTGCTCGACGCTCTTGAAGCTTCTGCCGTCCTCGACGGTCTCTGCGCAAGGGAGCGAGCGGCGCTGAGGATGGGAGCGAGCAGGTGATGAGGGAGAGTGCGGGCCCGAGCTGAAGCTCCAGCAGGCCTCTAGTAGGACGTGAAGGTCTCATCCAGCTGCATGCTTGTCAACATCCGCTGCTGGCTCTGCGAGAGACCTCACCTGTTGGCAACGACCTCCTGCTGGACTCTAGCAAGCGAGGGCTGGTGGTCACTGGCCCCAACGGAGGAGGGAAGACAATCCTGCTGAAGGTGAGCTGGGAAAGAGCTGGGGAGGCTTTGACATGCACTTGTCAAGACCGTCGGGCTGTTTGCCAAGCTGGTCCAGCGTGGATGTTGGCTGCCCTGTCGAGCTGGGAGCCGATTTGATCTGTTTGAGCACATCCTCTGCTCAATAGGAGACGGGCAAGACGTTTTCAAGGACCTCTCAACCTTCTCCTCTCAACTCGAAGACGTTGTCACCTCCCCTCTTCCATCCTCTTCTCACCTCCTCCCTCCTCATGCCTCGAACCCCTCACACACCCTCCTCACACCTGCTATCCTTCTCCTTGCTGCTTGTCGTCTCCTCGCTCACTTTCCCTCAGATCCGTAAGATCATGAATACTTCTCTCTCCTCCGCGCCTGCCAGCTCTCTGATCCTGCTCGATGAGCCCTGCTCGGGGACCTGCCCAGAGGAAGGAAGTGCTCTAGCAAAGGCGATCCTGCAGGAGTTGGTGGAGCAGGACGTGAGGTAATGTCAACTCCCGTTCCCCCTTCTCCTGCTCCTGCTTCTCCTCCTCCTCCTCCTCCATTTCCAGACTGTCATCTGAGGGAGTGCTAGGCTGGTCACGACGACACACTACGAGGGGGTGAAGAACATGGCGATGAACAACCACAGGTGACTTGACCAGCGTCTGACCTTACCATTGTGACTGTCGCCTCAGATTTCAAGTCTGCAACATGTACTGGAACGGTTCTTCTCCCTCCTTCCGCGCATTCTTCGGCTTCCCTGGCCATAGCCGGGCACTGGCCGCCGGTGACTCACATTTGCTGGGCTATCGACGGCTCACTGGCTGTCATCCAGCTGAACGATCTGGCCTGCCTCGTGCTGTCCTTGGACGCGCGCGAAGTTTGCTAGCGGGGCATCAACAAGTTCTAGAGCTAGTCGAGGAGGTGGAGGAGAGAAGAGCGGGCGAGCATCAAGTCCAGCTGGTGGTGAGCATGCAGAGCAACAGGAGGTGATGGATCGGCAGGAGATTTCAGCTCTGCGGTTGAGGATCCATCAGCTTGAGGCGTCCATGGACCAGTGGGAAGAGAGGATCGCAACAGGTGCTACGAGCATAGGGAGGAGGAGGGAGGAGTGGGGAGAGGCGGGGGGAGGGGGGGGGGGGGAAGTGGGGAGGAGGATGGGGAAGTTAGGAGGAGAAAGTTCTGACGTGTATGAAGGCTCCACAGCACTGATCCGGCAGGCAAGGACTGCGGTCCTCCTCCAACTACAGGTAGCTGAAGCAGCGGTAGGAGGAAGCTCGTGGGCGTCGTTCCCCTCATGACTTGCTCCTGACCAGGTGGAGGAGGCAAAGCAGGAAGCGCTGAGGAAGGAGGAGTTGGCGTGGGGGCTGGAGAGCGAGGATCTTGAGCTGTCTCTGAGCCTCTTCTATCAAGGAGCGGAGGTGGAGGGCAGCTGGAGCATGAATGAGCTGAGAAATTCTGCAGGAGAGCGAAGCTAAGGACAAGCGCAAGGGGTCGAGGAAATGAAGAGCCCTTATACAACCAATCTTTGAATAAAAATTGAATAAAGCTGATCCTTCGCCCTTTAATTTTGAATTTGAGCCCATAGAGACCGCAAACTTAACGTGCATGACGATCAAATCGCTCGGTCATGAGAGATGCGGCTCCTGCTCCTCTTGTGTGTTCACATTTTCTTGACATACTCCACGACGTTAGAAGTTTGCATGCCTGACACAATCCAAGTCATGTTAACAGAGATCATGTTGCCGTCCCGCTATCCCTCTTCCAGCTGCACCCCACCTGCTTCGTAATCTTTCAAGTTCTGCAAAGTAGTGTCTGCGATGGTCTGAAGAGCCTCTGTAGTCAAGAAAGCCTGATGCGCCGTGATGATCACCTAGCCAGCTGTCAGTCCCTTGGCGAGTCAAGTCAAGACGTCCACGTTGGGGAAAGTGAGGAGCCTGGTGAGGATTTGATCTGAGAGGATTTGATCGGAGCAATCTTTAAAGAAGAAAGATCTGCAGATCATAAGTCATCACCAGAACGAGTTGCCTTTGCTCCTACTGTTCGTTCTCGTAGACATCCATGCCCACTCCTCCAATCTTCCTCTCCCTCAAACCTTCTTCGAGCTGCCAGCAACATCACATCTCCTTCTTGTGTACAGGGAACGTAAGGAGCTCACGGCTTCAGCATCGATGAGACCTCCACGGGAGACGTTGATGATAACCACTCCCTTCTTCATCGTCTCTGAACAACTTGTCAGCTCCGTAGAAAGCTCGCTCTCAACGATTACGGATGCTCTCCTTGCCGATGATGTGATAGGTCTCGGGCATGAGAGGCACGTGGAGAGAGATGATATCGCTCTGTTGGACACCAGTAAACCTTGCGCATGAGAACATCGTTTCTTTCCTCTGCAAGAAGGGTTTCTTTTGAGACATATTCCATTCCCAAAGCCTTCATCTCATCACTCGGATACGGATCGAACCCGAGCAGTCTTCCAGGAGAGAACCCGTTCAAGATCTTAGCAGTAATTCTTCCAATGTTGCCCGTTCCCAAGATTCCTATCGTCTTGCCGTGGATATCAAACCCTTTGCAAGAGTTTACATGCATCAAGTCGTACTAAAAAACAGGAGCACCTTGCAGGTTCTCGATGTTGAAGTTGTGCTCTCTCACGCGGTTGTACGCCTTGTGGATCTTTCTCACCTGCAGCAGAGAGAAGAAAAGTCACGAGTCGCGCCGAAGTTGGCTCCTCTCTCACCAGACTGAGAAGCAAACCAACAGCCATCTCAGCAACTGCGTATGGACTGTAGACAGGAACTCGACGGACATCAAGGCCCCGCTTTGCCGCACACTCAAGATCTACATGGTTGAAGCCTGCACACCGTGAGATGCTTCGAAACAGCCATTACAAACACACCAGTACTCCTCAACAAAATCAACTTCACTCCAATATCTGCGAGGTAGTTCACGACACGCTCGTCCGCAATGTCGTTGACAAAGAGGCAAACCACTTCGCATCTACCGCACGAGTGTTACATCAGCGATCACAGCGAAAGAACCATACCCAGATGCAAGTTCGGCAGTCTCCTCGCTCAGTCGAACAGGAAGGCATTTCAAATTATCTGCCCCCAGATGTGCAGTGAGGGCTGGAACAAGACATTGCCCATCGTAATGCGCAAAGCTGAAGATAGCAATCTATTCAAATGTTACTATTCAGCTCTGAGATGCATTGACTTGCCTTAGGCATGCCGAGGTCGCTTCAATCACACTGAAAACAGCAAATCCAAGTCATCAACAGCGGGTCGTGAGTTCAAACTCTATCAGAAACAATTTGAATTATCTTGGTTACGTGGAGATAATTCGTAAGATTAAAACCTCGTCCTTCTCCTGCCCCCTCCCTCCATCCTTATTTCTTTGTCTCGCTTCTTATCCTAGAATCGGGGGATCTCCTGAACTGAGAAATTCCTCACATAGCAACCAGCTTCTCTTCTACTACTGTTCTACACTTCTCCCCTGATTATAATCAGATCTCATCAAGTTTCTAATCTCTGATCTCTGATCGCTCATCTCTCATCTTTCATCTTTCATCTTTCATCTAGCGATTCTTAGCATTTTCCGTCTGTTTCTTTTCTTCCCCCGTTCTTACGTCTCCTCTCCTATACTCCCCAACCCCCTGTGATTCCACCCCACCCCTTATTTTACTACCCCTATTGACTAGTACCCCTACAGTCTATAGCACATTCCAGGAATCTGAAATCGCATCTGTTTGTTCCCCAGTACCCCTACCCTAATTTTGTCTCACTACCCCTATCTCCCAGTGCGACCTCCTCTTCTTCGGAAGTTCCCTTTACAGGGCACACGGCCTCAAGAGTCTTGAACAGCCGGACCGCCGGGCCATGGCAGCCTGTCAGACGGTCAAACCGGCGGCCCGGCTGGCCCGGCCGGTGGCAGGCCCCCGACGCACTGAAGCTGAGCTCAGCTGGACTCGGGCCAGCTGGACTAAAACGCCGAAGTTTCCGAAGTGACTGTGGCAGTTCACTGGCAGTCACGCGGGCCAAGTTGTGATGTAATGTCTGTAATCAAGTAAAGAAAACGGTGGCTATGATGCGCTACAACTTTGAGTTGTAACGATTAGGTAAACGCGCGGGGCTCTGGAGGAACGTTTGTTTTCTTGGCGTCTTGATCCTTTGCGGAGTCCCCAGGCCTGTTCTGACGATCTCGTTCACCTTGGAGGAAAACTTCAAAGGAGTTCTCGCATCCTTGCATGTCTCTGGCTCAGAGCTTTGCAGTAGATGGTTACGTGGCCCTCCAGGAGTAGGCCTGACAAGGATGTCAGAAATCTACCGCGATCGAGAAAGTGTCACCTGGAAGGAGTTTCTCTACGAAAATTTTTCATGGGAGTTGTAACTCGGATGATGTCTTCACACATACCTGCTCACATTGACCGTCTGTGAATGGAAAACTTTCCTATACCAACAAGAGGAAGAAGGCATTACCCGTTATTCTTCTACAAAAGTCCTTCGCGCTTTCTTGCTCAACATCCCTCCTCCTCTTGCGTTCATCTTTCATCTTCTGATACAACTCGCTGCAAACGATTTCTGATCGATGTGGAGTTCTTGCTGAAAGCGAAGGACGGTCGCAGTAGCCCGGGCTCTTGCTTTCATGGTCGTTGGGCAGTCGATGTGCTTCATAGTAAACGTCATCACACTGAAAGAAAACTTCGAAATCAGTTGAACTCTGAATCTCACCTGACTTCAATGTTGTAGGAGAATTTCTTGAGTTATTGTTTGGCAAGTCCCATTTCCTAGACAATATTGTCAATGGGACGAGGACAACTATGCTCAAGGAAACATTTACATCTTTCCTCCTTCGTCTTGAGCCAAGCAAAATTCATGACAGGAAGACAATGCAAGGGCTTCTTCTTGATTGATATCATTCTTCGGTGTGTTTTTCGGACTCTTGATGGTTCCAAACTTCTTGCTGAGTGAGTTTGGCGAATGCTCTTTACCATCAGGAGAATCCTTCACGGGTGTCTGATTTCCCGGCGATCTGAGCTTAGGTGAGAATTTCCGTCCGTTTGAGATCACATCCCTTGAAGGAGAACTATCGTCCTGACGGTGAAGTGAATACAAGGTAAGATCAAACATCAGTGCAAACCTGCTCCTGCGATTGCAAAGCCAATATTTCCTTGCGGGCACCCTCATGATTCACAAGTTCAGATATGATGTCCTTTGTCTACAGAGTAAAGTCAATTGGATTGCATGATAGCGCATCTGATTCAAAACTCCCAACCTTCCTTGAAGCCTTGATACCATGTTTTTTTGAGAGTAATTGCAAATCAGATCTGCTTTGAAATTGCAAATAACTTTCAACAGCATCTTTTTGCGTTTCCTCCTTTCGAACCTGTCCGTGATAGTGAGAATCACACAGTCCATCAGTCCTGTTCCATTATCAACCTCCTCTAATGTCATCTCCTGAGTCGGGTCCTTATGAATCTGCAGCGCTAGCTCCGAACGGAGTTGAGCGACAATATTTTCATTCTGTGCAAACATTAAACATTCAAATCAATTGTGAAGGACAAAGGGGCTACCGTTTGATTGGCTTTGATTCCAAAAGCCTTGGCCATCTGCTGCAATTCTTTCCTCTTCTTGTGGATGAGCCCATCAAGAAAGTCTTGATTCACAACTTCCGGAAACAAGGAAGAATCGCCCATATTTTTCAGCCTTGTTGCCTCTTCCTTCAACGAACAAATGAAGCCTTGAGCTCTATCTCTGCTCTTTGTAATGTGTCGGACCTCTCCTTTGGTTCTACTCCCTCCCTTCCTCCTCTTCTCTATTCTCTCTCGCTTCCACTGGTTCCTCTTGCCTCGTCCCCGACTAAAAAAATTCCACGCATTTTTGAATCCAAAGGCTACACTATGTTGAATAGGGTGGGGGTAGGGGGGTAATGTCGTGACAACCCAATAAATCATATACAAAAGGACCGGTGCAAAGATTTTCAGGATGGTACGGGTTGTTTGTAATCAGCGAGGCGGGCTCGTGTTTCCAGCGAGACAACCTACTGCATGGCTACTCCGAAGTGGAGAGCCAACTACACCTTACAACGGTCCCTAGCAAGTCGAGGACGAGGACGAGGACGAGGGAGACGGAAAGGAGTACGAATTCATGACAATTCGCATCCTTACAAAGGAGAGCTGTCTTGTACAGAGCTCGCGTGAGGATCTTTACTGCAGAAATAGAAAGATTCGTTAACATGTTTCAGATATTCATACTTGAGACACTAAGGGGATTGTAGTCATCATCGTGAAGATCAAAAATAATTGCACATCAACATCCGTTTGAATGAGCAGCAGCAAGCGTCTTCATCCACGCCATGGTAGCCATGCCCTGTTCAAAGCGACAGGCAGAAGGTCAGGGACTATCAGTATCATGAGGCTCTTCGTTACCGGGTGACCTCCCTTGGCCAAGTCTCTCTCGTACTCAACGCGTGCCTGACCATGTGATCAGACAGGCATATCAACATACTACGAGGTTTCACCTGAGCAAACGAGCGAGCTGCCATGCGGCAAACAAGGTCGGGACCAGGATTGATGGGCATGGGACCAATACCACTCAACATAGTTCGCTGTTGCTTTCCATACATATTGTTTTGCTGAATGCAGCAAGTCATTTAAAGGCAGGGAAAGGCTTCCTGTTGAAGCTACTGCCCTCATGTTTCTTTCATCCTTCCCTCCTCGTTCCAATGATCATCCATAGCGATCGCTCTTCATTCCCGCGCACACTCCACAACTCTGCATTGAATCTTGTCTAGATCCTTTCTTTTTATCTGCTCCTCATCTCAACGTGGTCAGCTGGCTCATCAACCTCCATGGCATACCCAAACTCGCTCTTCCCTCCATTTCCCAACTCTGCAAGGTCTACAAGTGGATGCTTTCCCTGGCTAACACAAATGTATATTTCTTTCTCCTCCTGATGCCTTGCAGCTCCTCCTTCCCATCAGTTTTCCTCCTCCTTATCATCTTCCTCCTCCATATAGTCCACAACTCGTCCTCCTCCTCCTCCTCCTCCTCCTCCTCCTCCTCCTCCTCCTCCTCCTCGCTCACCTCAGCAAGCTCTCCGAACATGAACGGCTGTTCGCCTGCACACCACCCCTACGAGTACCCTACCCCCTATCCAATTTCGATATTTTTGTACCCCATCATCTCTCTTTAATTTTGTGGACATCTCCTAGGTAGGGTGGTATACCCCCCCCCCCATCAATGTGATATTCAGTTACATACGTTACATCTATCTATTTTGGGCTGGTAATGCCGGCGAGAGCGATGGGAAAAGAAAGATAGGGAAGGAATGAAGGAGGGTGGAGAGCCATTGACGAAAACGGAAAGGATGACATGATGACAACAGTGACAGAGCAGAAGAGAGAGAAGGATCAGGTCTTGTGATGATGTAAGGTCGTTAGTTGGAAATTCGATAGTGCGGGGAGTGGAACCACAACCGCGATTGTGCTTCCTATCTCTCTTCTGTTGTCTTCATCCTCACCCTTCCACAATCACACGACTCTTCAATATGTTTTCCATCATAATATACAGCCTTGTTTTCATCCTGCTTGCCGTCACATGCTCGTCACAGTAATGCACGATAGATGATGTAAATGAAACTGCTGCCGATGCAGCGGAAAGAAGAGGACGTTTATAAGCAAAACCATGAGATGTAGAGGTTGAAGTTAGGCATTACAGTATGGTTTCAGATTCGGCTCAATCAGAAGGAGAGGGTTCTTAGGAACTCAGAATTGCCAGTCGTGTCGAATCTTGTTTTCATAAGTTACACTCATCGTTGATTGTTGTTGTCTTATGTGTGACTTGGATCGTGCAGGTCGTTGGAGACCATGTTTCAGGTTTGGAGACATTTCTCCTCTCTTGATCTTCTCGGCGCTTATTACGCCGACAACGTCAATGATGGACTTCGTGGGAATGTAGAGCGAACGCCTTCACGATTGCAGTCTTGACTGACATGTCCACAGTCGCCTTCATGCGATGGGATGGGACCGCAGAACAACAGGCACGTAGGTGACGGCAGGTTCTGTCAGGTCAGTTGCACCCGTGGTTGTCAAGTTGTGTTTTCATTTCCGATGTTTCAATCTTTGTTCATGTTGTGTTCAGTCTTCATGGTCTGACGAGAATGCTGGGCAGCCCGAAAACTTCTTGTCTCCAAAAGAGCGCGAGGCAACACTTGGGATCTAAATTTAACTGTCTAGCGACGACATACCGCTCACAGAACTTCTTGTTCCACCTGCACATGTTATGACTTTTGTAGTAGATTGATGCTACCATCACGTTACCTATTGTTGCCTCTCTCAGCATGTCTTTTTCTCGCCATGCTGGACATTAGAGTCCGTCTCACTGTCCCTGCAGAGTAACTACGCACTTTGCCGAATTTCCGAGTCATGTGTCTTTCGAGCAGAAATTCTGATGCATGGAACAGAAGCAGCTGGGGCGTCGAGGGCACAGCAGGCATCCTTCGGGGTGCTGCGGAAAGGGATGAGCAGGAAGTAGAAGAAATGAGAGCAGCAGCAGGCGACCTGACATCTCTTCTTCATCACGTTGAACAAGTCGTTAGCTTCGCTCTCGTTGTGCGTGTACATGAAGTACGATTTGCCGTGACGGGAGCAGAACAGCGCCGGGCCTTCTCCTCGTCTGCGTAAGGTGCCAGTAAGCTGGACCTACAGAACTCAAAACGGTTATGAATCCTCTTCCTCACCCGAAGGAAGCTCGGAGTTGACACCCCAACACACCACAGAGCCGCTTGGACATTGCGAGGTTGAGCATACCATGAAGCTTGTGGGACCCGCATCGTTCCTTCTTCCCCTGCTTCCCGTCCTATCCCAACATGAGACACCGATGACCCCCATCAAGCCCTCTCATCACCCTGCCAGGGAAGCCGAAGATCGCTTGCTTCAAGCAGCCGCCCTGCCATGAGCATGAGGAGCAGCAGGCGGAGAGACTCGCTGAGAGCTACAGGGAAGCCGCAACGCTTGGTGATCACGTCGAACAAATCCGATGTCCGATGAACAGCGCAGGAAAAGGCTCTGCTTGAGTTTCTTGAACAGCGTCTCCTTAGCACGAGAAGAGACAGACAAGACACGCTCACAAGTGACCGTAGATAGCCCTCCTGCTGCATCCCTCCTCATGGCACCGTGTGCCGATACACAGGCCGTCCTTCTCCTGGATTAACCCGCATGTAAGAAGGCACAGGATGCCATGGGAGATAGCAAGACCTTGCGATGCTGGCGGCACCTCCGTGCAAACCAGTCTGACTGATTCCCGTACGTTGGGCTGCGATCACAGCCAGGGAACTCACACCTCCGGGAGCGAAGGTTGACGTCCGACGCCAACTTGTGCTCGCTGCATCGCGTGTAGATGCCCGAGGAAAGGTTTCCGTAGATCGGCTGGAAGGACAAACCGCGTCAGATACAGATCCTCCTCCTCCATCATCACCTGTCGCACGCATCCCCTGACTTCACAACTTGTCGACCGCAGGTTGACATGTGACGCATGGCGATGCAGGGCACAAAAGCGGTCGGAGGTATTGCTGGTTCTACTACCGTAGATCGCTCTGTTGGTGCAATTCTTGCAAACCCAAGAGATGTTGCGTAACTTCTTGGTGCCAGGCCTTACTCCTCGCTTACCGACCAAAGATGGTACCTGAAAGGTGACATGTCACAACAACAACCGCACCAAGATCTATTCCTACGCGGGATTGTGGTTTCATGAGTGAAGAGCAATTAGATCTCAAAGAATGCGAGGTGTTAGATGAATTCGACTCAGTTCTCGACATGTTGAATACTGCTGATGAGTTTGTCTTGTCCTCCTTGATCGTCTCCCTCATGTACGGCGAGAGCGTTGGGGCCTACACTTCCAACTTCAGTTGTGATGGCAGGACATGGGATCCGTCTCACCCGACTGATTTCAGGAGGCATCGAGTTGTTCATCACAAAGAACCTGAATGGGACTTCACAAACTGCCACGTACTTCCTTTCACCTACCTGCTCTCTGCTGGAAAGATTGGGCAGTGAGACCAAGGGTCTGTCGTGATGCCGGTATGTTCCTTCTCTTCCCCCGCTCCATTTAACCGTCGTGCGGTTGAGGTCATGTGATTGAGACTCGTGATGGAGACGGACGAGAATAGTAATGAGACGAAGAGAAGAGACAGTCGAACAAGTAGTGTATGACTTGTCATCCGTCGCCAGAGATAATTGGACTTCTAACCACTTGTGGGCACGCAAAACATCCAGAGTGGATGAGAGTGGATGTTGACCTGATATCACATGTTCAGCATAACTGTCAATTGTGGTGGATTCCTGACGATTGACTGTCGTGTCTCTCGTTCAATCATAGTGCTGTGTTTCTATGACAGATTTGTCAGGAAAGAGGCTTCTCCAGCGGCCTCAAGTGATGTTGTAGTCTGTTGGATCATCGAAGTTCTGCGCATTCAATACGAAGGGTCCTTCTTCTCTTCTGTCTTTCTGTTCCCTTTCGAGAGTCTCTCCACTTTCCCGCATTGCCTTCGCATACATCTGCCGTAGTATCTTGCTCCCATCAGCGTTTCTCTTCCTTCGCCTTCCCCTCTCCAATTGCATGCTTCATTTCCACACCACCAGCCCCATCTACTATCCAACTACCCCGAATTCTTCCTATACGGGAAAGGGGGTAAGGGTACTACAGTAGGGGTACATATCAAGGATTTTCCTAGGGTGAAAGATGTTTTCGAGGGGTACTCCCTCATGGGTAATGGGTGTAGGTGATCCTAGGCACTAAGTGATTACTAAGACCACCAGGTCCTATCTTCTCTACAATTTCCTGTCCTATGGTCATATGAAGAGGTCTTAGAATTGGTCGTAGGTAGGTCATATTCTAGTTATGAAATTCAGTCAGAGGAGAGTCCTAGGAAGTTGTTAGCAACGGAGGCGCGGGTGGCCGACGATGCAGGTGAACAGCAGGCAAGGAGGGCGTCGATGGAGGGAGGGGATGAAAAGTCGCAGTGGTAGAGAGACATTCTTAGTTCAACCAGATGTAAACACATATTTCCAACGGAATGAAGGGCAATGACGGCCGGGGGATGGTGGCAATGCAAGGAAGAATGAGCAGGCTCCTGTAACGGAGGAGGGAGGGGGGAGGAGCTTCATGGGGAGGGGTGAGGATTTGGATGCCGGAGGCAAAGAAAGATAGAGAATAGACACATTTCTTGTTAACGGAGAGGATCCCAAAATGCGTATGAGGGGGGGCTGAGTTGTTCCTTGAACCGGAATGGACAGTGCTGTGTCTTGTCGTTTTCTTGCATGAGAACGCATCACCCCTCTGTCTCCTTTTGCACCTCTCTACAACAAATATGTGCCTTTGCTTTTATGTGTGATTACAACATAGTTGTGAAATGTGATTTTGTACCCGCTGATGTTTTTAACGATTCTTATGGAACAGCGCTACTTGAATACGGCTCGATCACTCTGTAAAGTTCAAGTTCCTCGCTTTGCTTTGCGCAACTGGGCTCCTTTGACCTCCAGTAGATTTCTCTCTACTGAAGCAGCAGTAGAAGAAGATGATGAAGATGTTGTGGGTTACGTGGAATACGATATGTTCGATGAGACGTACATGACCGAGAAGGAGAAAGCATACATCAGGAAGATTGAGCGAGGTGTCGGTGATCTCAAGAAGTTCGCTGCCGAGACTCCTGTTACTCCAGAAGAAGTGGTAAGTTTCCGCTTCAAATTTCCTTTTCTCTGGTCTTTACCTGTGATCAGGCCCAGTGCATCGTGAATATGATCCAAACTCAGCTAGAAGAGAACATGGATGTCGTTGAGACCGTGCCTGAACAAGATTATGCAACGGCGGTTGACATTATCAACCAAGAGAAAATTAAGCTTGGTCTGGACAAGCTGGATGTGGAGCCTCGCCGGCAACTATCTCTCAGGCAGATGTTCCAGCACGATTAAGCAGTTGGTTCAGGTTGTTGTGATATCTGATTAAGCCGTTCACGAGACAATCTGCGGGTAGTGCCGCGAAAGAGTCTATTTGAGGGACAGCAAGAATCAGGAATAAAGTAGAAATCGCAAAATTCTCAATTTCCTTACAGAGAACCATGCCTATGCTAACCTACAGTGGAAATTAGTCGACATATGCTCCATAGCTGCTCCAGAATGCCAACGCGAAGAGACGGATCGGATTTAAGCCTTCTTTTCGACAACCAGCAGAGGGTGCAATTCCCACACCTCCTCGCCGTTCTTCACCAAAACTTGCTTCACTACACCTGCTGATCGACAGCGAGCTTCGACGGATGCTTTACAAGTCTCAATCACCGCAACTACCATGTCCTCATCGACTGTGTCTCCTTCCTTGCAACAGATCTCCACCACTTCGCCGAGCTCAGCCGGCACTGCCATGCCTCCAGCTGGGAGTGCACTCACGTCAAATACCGAGAAATACGGACATCAACAGACTTACGTCCTGAGACTTCAGGTGAGAAGACTACAAACTCATTCGTGCCAAGCTTTGGTAGCTCTCCTTCATACTTGGCTTGCTTGGCAATTGACGGCATGAAAGTCCTGACGTGTCCTGGACTTGGCCTTGCATTCTGAAACTGATGGACTCCTTTGCTCCATGTACTCCGGGCTTTGATTAGAAGGCTCCTTGCAATGCATCGATTAACAAGTGCCATCCTGTGAGATGTGGCTTGAAGTAGGACAGAAGTAGGGCAGATGGGATGGCTCTGTGTTAGAACAAGATTCCCTTGCTTTGTGATGATCTTGACCTTGAGATCAAATGGCACAAACGCACATCACATGAACCTTCTGAAAACGAAAGAAGAGGAAACGGGTCAGCTATGGTTGGAAGACTGAACTTAAGCGAGGTTTCAAGTATAGCAAAAATCATGGTAGCTCTGTCGCAACAGGCTCCGACCATGGACAACTATTCTGCAACAGAATCTTCGTGCAACAACACAAAGTTTGCATCATTCCCCCGGGAATATCACACATCTTTCAACTAGTGCAATGGATTAAAAGATATGATGCCAGAAAGACAACCAATGCACTCAGTTCTAGTTCATTCTCCCTCTCTCGAATTTCACTTTGAAATATTGACAGGAGAAAAACCTAGCACTTCACCTATGAAACTGAAGGCCACGAGATTCATTTCAGATTCTGCACATCGACTCGCTTCATCATTCTATCACCGAACTTTCGAACATTTCTCTCTTTCTACAGCATTTCCTTCTTCGTCCTTTCTCTTCGCCATGACTAATCCTCCATTTGCTCGCATGGACGGCCCCTCCACAGACATCCCACCCACCCCATCTTGCTTTATACATTTTATCACCCCTACCCACTACTGGAAATGTAGAGCGTAATAGAAATAACCCCTACGTGGGGTGGTCACAAGTAACCACCCCACGCTGACTTCCCCATACCAGATCACCCACCCCGCGGAATCCCATCTCTGCAAAATAACTTGTAATTGGGGTACCAGTTGATAAAATATCGCATCAGCTTGTCGTAAAGGTGGGTAACAAATGGGATAAAATGAGGTAGGGGTACTCACAGTAGGGGTGTGTCGATACAAGAAGGGGTGGAGAAAATGAACTCATACCGGACACCACAAGGAATTTTTGATTTTGGACCCCACCCACCGAAGTAGACACCCTGGACCTATACAAGGGGGTACATTATCGCATGTTGTTCGGCAATGAAGGGCCTGTGAAGAGCCGGGAAGAGGAAACGAAGAAGCAGCAGCAGCCAGAGGAGAAGGAGAATGATGATGATGATCAAAAAGTGAAGAAGAAGAAGATATGGACGTGGAAAGATATGTAGGGAGTGCAGACAAGGAGGCCGAATGGAGACGAGGGAACGAGGGGGCTGGGACGCAGGACGCGAGGAGAGGAGGGAGGAAGAGCATATTGAGGACGGAGAAGCAGCGAGAAGGATGTCATTTTTTCGGCCGCAAAGAGAAAGAAGGCAAGGGATTGGGCGAGAAAGAAGAGACTTGGAAGGAGCGAGGGGGGGTTGAGGGCATTGCTGGCTCGAAGGAAGAAATTCAATACGTCTTTGAGTGACTTTATGGCATCTCTAGGAGATTAATAGTTGACAACTCACTTGTCTTTATAGCTTCTGGTAACCGGCATGCTTTCTTCCTAGTGGAATATGGAGCAAGACTGGGTGATGGTTGGGAAATCGAAGAAACATCACAAGAGCTCGGAGGGTAAGAAGGACTTTCACATGCACAGATTGTTAACTAGACGATTATGCAGGAACAAGGTCGAAAGGGTCTAATGCGTCACAACACCCGGCCGCCTTGAATGTTGTAAATAATGAGACCTCGGTGCCTTTGAAACCGATCAAACTATCTCTCAATGCCTCCGACCACACCGTCGTGGAAGGAGCTGGGGATGACGATGTGACTTCAAATCCAATCAGAGATCGTGAAGAAGAGGGGCATGCACGCATCCATGCTTCCGGGAGATGTTCCCCGTCCCCAGACCCGTTAGCTATGACTCTTCCCATCAAACCTCACGAAGCTAACGGAGAGAGCTCGGAGGAGTCGTTAAGACCCGAGCCGGAAGGGGCGGAGAGTGAACCAAGTCCACAGAGCGGTGAGCAGACGGTGTTGTGAATACATTCACTGACTGTGTGTCAGGCCATCTCCCTTCTACTTCTCCATCGCTATCAGGTGGGAAGCGAGCAGAGGAGGTCGAGAGTTTGGGTACGTCGCTTTTTGGAGGGCACCCTGGAGGGCACCGGAAGGTTTTTCATCTTCGTGCAGGCTCGCCGAGTAGTGAGCCTCCTCCTCCTGCCATTGCTCCAGCGATCCGACAGGAGGGAGCCAGCGGGGCTGTGAACGAGGGTACACCGGGGACTACTGAGAAGAAGGTCAAGGTAAGCGATGCACAGCTGTGTCCGGGGCCAATCTTACCTGTCTATCTACCATCTTGTCGACAGCACAAGTCTGGACTTAACTTTCCGCTACATCCCACCAGCTGGCCACCAAAGAGCCTCTGCATGGGATCGGACAAGCTCATGACGCTGCCAAACGTCCGCTTCCCCTTGCAGAAACCCCCGTCGTCAGCAAGCCATCTGAAACAAGCTGCATTGAAATACTTCTTGATCACCAACGTGAGCAGGCCGTGGATAGATCAAGGTCTGTTATACATTTTTCTTCTCTGCCTGGCCTGTTTGTGATCTCTCGCCCGCTCCTCCCTCTGCTTCTTATCCGATCAGTTTTCTAGTCCTCTCGTCCCTTTGCTGATCGTGGCTATGCTTCGCGTCTTCCTGTTTCTCTGTCTCTTGCTCTCTCATCTTCACTCCTCTCGCTTGTTCATGTATCTGCCCGCAGGACCTCGATCGTTGCAGCAGGACAGCGTGCTCGTTGACGCCATCCGCGCTCAGACTCCTCTCATCATCATCTGTGATGGACATGGCTCCATTTCCCTCCTTGACAAGGAGCCTACCGAGGTCCCTGGGGACATCAAAAACTTCTTGCATGTTGGGGGACGACAAGCTGCCGAGATTTGCAGTCAGACTATCTTGCAGTTCATGAACAAGGTGTGATAGGAGGAGGAGGAGGAGGAGGAAGAGGAGGAGGATTTTAACTCGTATTAGTATGCAGATGAATTCTCGCTGCACAAGGCTGACGAATTCTTTCATCGGGCATTCTCCTCCGCTCACTCGACTGTGCTGAATCAGATCTTCATGGGGACAGAGAAAGATCCTGACGGGCAGCCTGCGAGGAAGGACATGAGCGCGCTGGACGGGACGTACTTCAGTCACAGCCTCAACAAGTGGCTGCAGCTCGTCCCGAGGAGCAGCGCGATCAACGCGGTCGTCTCCAAGGAGCTCCTCCTCCTCCCCGACGGCTCGCAGTGTCCCTTCTACAGGAGAGCCAACGGGTCGTGGGAGCACGGAGAGTTCGGCACTACCTGCACAGCCTGCGTCATCCTCAATGCAGCCGACGAGATCAGACCCTACCGCAAGGTCTGTGTGACCGGAAACGTGGGGGACACAGACGCTTGCCTCTTCCGCTTCAGCTCCGCCATGGCAGGACAGCGTGCAGTGCTAAAGTTTGGGCTGTGGCTGACGAAGGAGCACTCGCTGTACTCCCGGGAGGAGCGGGAGCGTCCCTTGGAGGCTGGCGGCGTGCTGTCGGACTACGAGGGAGGGGAGGGGATCAAGTTCAAGCTCAAGGTCGACATCGACATGCCCCAGGGAGGGAGGAATGCTGTGGCATACGAGCCGACAAGGGGTATCGGGCACGCCATCGGACAGTTCCGGGGGATCATTCCTTCGCCCTCCATCTCAGTGGTAGAAGTAGAAGACGGTGAGTACCACCCTCTGGCTTGCTCTGCTGTCCTGTCTTGTCTTTTCCATGCTCTCACCCTTCATCTCAGCTTTCCTCTTCTCCCCTCCCCCTCCCCCCCTCCACCAATCGCAACATCATGCGTTTCCACATGTCAGGTTACCACTCCTCACCTCATCCTGAGATTGTACGCAGGGGATATTATCGTGGTTGGTACGGACGGGCTGTGGAATGCGTTAGGGGGGAGGAGAAGACCAGGAGACACGAGGGAACTGGGCGAGGAGATGGAAGGAGTTCTGCTTGCAAACATGAAGAAATTCTTCCAGCTGCACAGAGAGAAAGACCCGCAGGCGATAGGTGGAGAGCTCATGAACTTGGCAAAGGTGAGGAGGAAGCGATCCATGGGGCTGGTGATGACGATGCGAACAGAGGAAAGGGCTGCAGGATAATGCAAGTCTTGCTGTGGTGAAGATTACTTCATCGGTAAGTGGAGGAGAAGGGGGAAAGAAGGGAGCAGAATGGAAAGAATGCGGAGACGATGACGAATATGGGAGGGAGGAGGGTGCGAATGAGGGAGAGGAGAGCGAGGAGGAAATGAGGGAGCAGATTCTGATGACACAACACAGGGGATGATGGTAAACACGTGAAGTTGTGCAATCTACATGTATATACAACATTTACATCTGCTCGTGTGCTCTCCCTCTCGCTCCTCCCGTGTCCTCCTCTGACTTGCTTGACTCCTCCTCTCCTCCTCCTCTCCTCCTCCTCCTCCTCCTCCTCCTCCTCCACGTCATCATTGAGACTGTCGTGCTTGGCTGTTGAATCCGAAGCCGTTGAAGACCTGCAGTCAACATCAGAGAAGAACCAAGAGAAGAGGGAGAAGTCAGGCTGGGGCTAATGAAGAAGGAAAGGCGGAGAGAGCGCGGGCTGACCTGGTTGAAGGAGTTCTCTAGGGAGGAGGGATCAAGGTAACTCGGTAAGAAACTCTGGTGAAGTTTTCGCATGCTGCTGCTCCTGGAGCCAAGGAAGCCGTCACTCCTCCCAGGTGTGCTGCCGCGCCGTGCGGTCAACTGCAAGGTGGACGTTCTACTCTCCTTCCTCGTGCTGTCTCTTGCTGGCAGCAGGTGGGCTGGTTGCGGTTGCTGCAGCGTCTCGAAGCTCCCAAGGGTCTTGCCGTGCTTGCCCTGCAGGAGGCGATTGAGGCTGTCAAAGCTCTCGGCTCCTCCTCCAGCCCTCCTGTAGCTGGCCGTGAGCTCGTCCACTCTTTCCAGCTGCGAAGGAGCCTCTTCCTCATAGAAGGTCTTGAGTAGAGCTCTCACCGCTGCCACCTCATGCTCCAGCCTCTCAGATCCAGCGCCCGCAGCCTGGTGGGTAGAGGGGGGAGGATCGGCCTTGGCCTCCTCCCTACTTGTGGTGGGCTGACTGCCGTTGAAGATTGAGGAGACGCCGAGCTGGTTCTTGATCTCTGCGATGAGAGGATTGTTGCGAGGAGCAGGACGTAATTTCTGTTTCTGTTCTCCTCCCGTCAACCTGGCGAGCTCTTCCTGCATCTTCTCCTGCATTGCCCTGAGCGATTCCTCCATTCTCTCGCAGATGTTGTGCTCGAGCTGTTGCATCCTGGCCTCAAGCATGGACGGGAGGTCCTCCATCCTCGAGCTCGTGGTGGAGGAGGAGGAGCGGGAGTCGTACAGGTAGTTGTCCTGGAGCTGAACAAGAACAGACTTGAGGACGAAGAGGACTGTGCTGTTCCAACCGGGTCCCTCCTCCTGCATGGCGTTAAAGATGTGTCTCTGCATGAACTCAAAGATCTGCATCCGAATGGCCCTCTCAAACTCTTCGCGGTTGAGGGCCAGCGTCTCATCTCCGCCCCCGGCGCTCTTGAAGAATTCCTTCACGTCCTGGTTTGACATCTTGATCGTCGGGTACACGGGGATCAGCGTCACTCCCGCCTGCAACTCTGACCGTGAGATGCAGCCGACGTTCTTGATATCAACAATGCCAAAGATCGTGTCGATCCTTCTCGTCAGCTCCTGTTGAGAATCGTAGATAGACAGGGAGGACAGGAGCGGGTCCAGGCTGCGGATGTCCTTGACTCTGCCGTTCTTCTCGATACGCTCGAGGAGGAGCTTCTGCTTCTCCCTCTCCGAGGCGGAGGTGAAGTTGTCGAGGAGCACGGCGACAACCACCTGCAGCAAGATCCACCCCACGACAAGGATGAAGGAGATGAAGAAAAGTCCTCCTGTCAAGCTCGGCACTTGATTCCCGTTGGAGTCAATGGCTCCGGGATAGTCGAACGCCCATCCGTCCGACATGCCTGCGGCGATGGAGAAGAGAGAAGTGAGGGAGAGCGAGAAGCTGCTGAAGTGCTCCGGGTTCTGCTGCCCGAAGAAGCCGACAGCCAGGATGGCGTACATAGCAGAGATGAGGGTGAGGATGACGAAGGCGTTGAGGACAGGAATGAGACTTCCTATCAGCGCGTTGATGATGAGCCTGAGGCTCTTCAGCCGTCCGAACAGCCTCACGACTCGGAACGCACGCATCATACGAAGAACGTTGACACCTGGAAGGTTCTCAACAGCGAACACAAGCAGTGATCCAGCAACGATGAAGATATCGAAGAGGTTCCAGCCGCTGGTGATGAAGGGCCAAAACCAGTGAGCAAACGCGTTCACCACCAGTTCCAAAGTAAAGAATATCGTGAAGATAAGATCGAACGTATCGAAAAGCTTGCTGACATGAGACCCTGGCGAATTCGCCACCTCGCTCTGTATGGCATTGCAGAGAAAATTGAGAAGGATGAGGGCAACAAAAAATCCCTGGACAGCCGTGTGGTTGTAAAACAACCTTATCTTCTCTTGCAATAGGCCGATCTGGTTCTTGGAGACATAGATATGAACATGATTCGCCTCAGTTATCGTTGCCTTCAACACTCCCATCCACTCCATGCAAGCCTGCGGATCGTCGAGTTTGATCTCGAAAGACTTCCCCAGACATCTGCTGTTCTTCTTCGTGATGATTTCTAAGACCTTGGTGTCGACATCATTCAATGCGATGAATGAAAGTAAGTCAGATCGCATGTTACCAGGAAGGTTGTACTTGGACTTATTGCTAGACGCCTCTTCCAGAAAGTGAGCGAACTGCTCGAAAGTGAAGTGCTCACAATCTTCATCCCCGATCATGGAGAACAAATAATCCATGTATTGATCTGAGCAATTCATCGACAACTCCACAAATACTGCTCTCATCTCGGCCTTGTCCAATGTCCCAGAATGGTTCGTATCCCATCTGTCGAAGATCTCCTTCCATCGTGACAGAATGCTCGCTCTATTCTCGACGAAAGGCTCGATCCTCCCACGACGGACTCGATAGATGTCGTTCAGTACAATATCTTCTTCTACAGCGCCGTTCTCGTCGTACATGACGAGACGCTTGTTTGTAAACAACATCCTGCACGTCCTCCACGATTTATCATGGCACCGCACCTGCACCATACCTTCCTTCACCACAGCCGACGAATTGAGGGAAAGCAGAGACGTAGAGAAGTTCATGAACGACCCTGATCGCTTCATGGTCGACATTGTCTTCCTCATCTTCCCTGCCGTCTCTTCACTCGGCGGCGACGCCGCCGCCATGAAGGTAGACTTCGTGAACTGGATAAATGTGCACCGTTTTTGGGGGGTGGGGGGGGGGGGGTCGGAGGTCTTCGAGTTCCTTTGGGTACTGTTGGCTAAGTAGGGGTCCCTGTGAGTTGAAAACTCAAATGTAGTCGAAACGTGGGGTACTTTGTACTAAAAGGATGGGTGAGTAAGAAAAAAATCTTCTTTCGAAGGGTCTTTAGCTTATCAATGGGGTTGTAAACCGGGGGGGTGGTTTGTGCACCCCTTCTAGTTTTAACTTCCCATGGACCCCTAGGGATATAGGACCACTAGTATCCTTCCATACGGATTCCAGACCCTACCCCTACCTATATATGTACCGTACCATTGCTTTCGCTGTATATTTATTCCGTGGTGTACCCTACCCCCTCCGTATCCCTTTCCAAAGGAGTTGTTTTTCCGTCACTTTACATGGAGGACCACCCCTGTCACTCCTTTGAACCTGGATTTGTCAGACTCGATTTGGACGGGTGTGAATTACTTTCATACCGGTCATTTTCATACATCAACCAGTCACTTGAGATAGGTAGGGTGTTTAATGCTATGGGTGGGTGAGCTATGAATGGGTGAAGGTGGGGTGGTAACTGCTTTACCTTTGGCATTGCCCGCCCCTATTTTTACCCCTCCGTCACCGAAGGATCAGATCCACCCCACCCACCCACAGGATCAAATGCTCCACCCTACCCTACAACTCTCAATAAAAAGGCGGAAAATCCTAACGACCCAACCCCTGCTCAACGACTTGGAAGGTACTAGTGGTCCACCCCTACCATCACCACCACCTCACTACCCCCCAATTAAGACATATTCGGTACCCACCTGCTCCAAAAGTAAACAAATACCACCCACCCCACCTGTGGTACCTCGGGACACTGCTCTGTGACCAACAAGAACCGACCACCCGGTGACCTCTTTCTCACTACCCTACCACCTCTTTGACCCGACTCCAGAGCCCCGATGACCGGTAATGATTAATCCACGTACCAAACATAAATCCGTGTTTTTTTTTCTTTTTTTTCCCGGGTTGTTTCCTAAAGGCATTGGTTAGTTCCGTCTGCAGAACAATCATGGCGAGGGAAATACCGGGAAGGGCGGCGGGAAGGCTACGATCATCAACTTAGCTTGAGGGTTGCGAGTAAGCTCGCCACAAACACTTTCCCATGGCTGAACATGCTAGGAAAGATACTTGCTTCAAACGACAACATGATGAAGGGAGCGGGGAAAGTCATTGCTGAACAGGGCACATGCACGACTGAAACAAAATCCCACAATCCAGCACCTGCAAGCTAGGGTACTTCTCATCGACCTCTTCAAGTCCGATTGTACATTGATTGATCATGTCAAACCCTGTAAAGATCGCAGTCTTCATGTTGCTGCGACACGGACAATCGCAATTTTCCAGCAAAGACAGGAATGGCTCCCGCAGCAAGAGTTACATTTGGATCAAGAGTTACATCTGGATCAAGAGCTCTTAGATGACATCGATGGTGTTCTTCCTGTATTGCAAGCTGCAATTCAGAGCTGAGTTGGGATGAAACCCCTCAAACCCACCACCCACCCCTATCAGAAGCTCGTCCACTCGGCTCTCGCCTTCGTGCCCTGATTCCTTCCTCCCTTCTCCGTCTACTTCCCCCTCTCCCTCCCTGCATCTGTCCCCTCATGTCATGATCCTATGTACAGGTTGTGCAGGGCTCCATTTCATAAACGTTCGAACAACGTCTGAATGAAGATGATTGTGATGAATAGTATTCATCACCACAGAACTTGTACGCCCATACAATAAACACCTTTCTCACTTTAATGATTCTCTTCATGTCTTATATTAAAAGTATACATCATGGTGCATTTGTCTGCTAAACTGATATCTTGTGTCACGTGTGTTGACAGCAAACACCAGGCATTGAGCAGGTGGAAACTTGGAGTTATTTTGTGAGTCTTTCAAACAGGCGAAGTTTGAAACCAGCACGAGATAGAGAGAAGGTTCATACCATGAAGCAAACATGTCAACGAAGCTCAAGCAATCCTAAGCAACAGGTGCCATGATGTCACATGAGCACTCGGCACTTCCGAACTTCGGAAGCGAAGACTTGAACTTTCGAAATGCTAGGGCCCCGGGGCTGCGGCGGGAGGACGACAGAAGGTGCGAGAGCAGAGATCGGAAGGAGCAGGAGGAGCAGGGCAGAGAGGGGACAGGACGTGGTAGGGAGTGAGAGCAGGAGAGGGAAGCAAGCAGTCAGTGCTGCCAAGTTGTGGGAACTTGAGTCGGAGGCCGCGTAGCTATGACGAGTAGCGAATTGGAGGCAAAGAAGGATGTGCGGTATGAGGGGCAAAGCCAGCACTAGGAGCGAAAGAGGGAGGGGAAGGAGGAAGAGGGAAGGAGTTGGAAGGGGAGGGAAAGGGGAGCTGAACATGGTGGGTACAGCAGAGAGAGAGGAGGAGCAGGTAACATGATGATACAGCAGTCGGTACACCATCTCCTCCACTACCACCTCTGCCTCCGCCTCTTCATCCTCCTCCTGCTTCTCAATGTGTCCAGCTCGTCTAGGCGGTGCAAGCCCGGAAGTCACGAACACGCTGCTGGCTACATACAGGCTGGAGCAGAAGCTTATGATAACGGCAAGCTGGATGCTGCTGCTTCCTGCTTCGAGCTGGCAGCGAGGGTGAACCCTCAGGACGGCCCCTCATCTGCAGTCGCGCTGTCCAACCTCGCCACGGTGAAGAGAGACCAGGGAAGAGTTGGGGAGGCGCTCGAGCTCATGAGGGACGCGCGGAAGATGGCGCCCGAGGACGCAGAGACAGCGTTCCTGCTGGGGAAGATGCTGGGGGACGCAGGACAAGGAAAAGAAGCGATCCTCCACCTCGAGCACGCGTGCCATCAGGATCCCTCACACTTCCGCGCCTGGTCGCAGCTGGGGGTGGAGCTGGACAAGGCTCGAGAGCACGCACGGGCCCTGCTGATGTACGAGCAGGCGGTCAAAGTGAAGGAGGACTACCTCACGGCCAAAGTTCAGATCGCGCTGGCAGCTGGAAACCTGCAGGACTGCGAGCGGTCGCGGCGGATGGGACGAGAGGCGCTGGGGGGCATCAGGGGGGAGGTGCCGTACCTGTCCGCCCTGGCGACCTCCTTCAAGCGATGCGGCGACAGAGAGGGCGAGAGGGAGGCTTACTTGCGCGCCCTCCTCCTCCATCCAGGAGCGATCTTCGAGGTCGGAGGGGAGAAGAGGACGGTAGAGGAACGGTTCGCAGCTTTGCTGGCGGAGGAAGGAAAGCATGGCGTAGCCATCCAGTTCCTTGAGAAGGCGAAGAGGCAGAAAGAGCACCATGCTCCTTCGCTCCTCTCGCTCCTCGGCTTCTGTTACAGTCAGTTGGGAAGCAGGTTCTATCCTGAGGCCATGGCGGCGCTGGAGAAAAGCTGCCGACTCTACGAGAGTCTGCGGGGGGAGGAGAGGAAAGAGCTGGGGCCTGTGCTGGGGAACCTCCTTCGCCTTAAGTTTGTGACGGGCAACTGGACACGCTTAAACTTCTTCCTCTCTTCCTTTGCGAGGATAGCGAGGGAGAGCTCTAGAGCTGAGGCTCCTCCTCCCTCGAACCCGGTCTTCGTGCTCGCCTACCCTGTGGACGACAGTGTCCTCCTCAGCATTGCCATGCTCTACGCTAAGGGACAGCGCCAAAAGTTTGCTGGCGCTACCTCACTGCCCCTCCCCCGTGCCCCCGACCTGCTCGAGCTCCCAGCGGGCAAGAAGCTGACGATCGGCTTTCTGGCTCCCGGACAGGGCAATGGGGTAGGGAGCCACCTGGCCTCCTGGTCATTCTGGCAGCACTGCAAGCAGAGCTCGAGGATCAGCTGCGTGCTCTTCTCGGACAAGGATGAGGGCGAGGAGGGAGGGAGGAGGGAGGTCGAGCATGTGCAACTGACTGGAGAGCTGAGGAGAGACGCGAGCTCGTTGATCAGCAAGAGGTTTCACGTTCTCCTCGACATTTTCGGACACACTGAGGGCAGCAGGCCGGAGCTGCTCCTCTCCTCCTCCAGCCTGCCTCCTGTCAGGATGCAGTTCTACGGGTACGAGGGGAGCTATGGAGACCGGGACCTCTTCCCCTTCCACCTTTCCGACTGGGCAACAGCGGCTGTGGACGCAGCTGCTCCTCCTGCTGACCCGACGGCAGCGACACCCGGGATGTTCGTTGAGAAGCTCGTCCTCCTTCCTCCTTCTAAGTTTCCGAGCGGTGCGCTACCAGCAGCAGGAGACTCGCTGGATGAGGAGGAGGAGCGAAGAATGGAGCACATGCTGTTCGGAACGGAGGGTCACTGGAGGAGGAACGAGACGTTCGTCTTCTGCAGCTTCGCCAAGTCCTACAAGCTCCACCCCCGCCTCTTCAAGACCTGGGTCTCCATCCTCCTCCGCTCTCCCAACTCCATCCTTTGGCTGCTGAGCTACCCCGACGGCTCCGACCTTGCTCGCCCGCGGCTCCGGGAGCACGCAGAGAGGATGGGGCTCGATCCAGCTCGGCTCGTGGTCACAGGCCTGCTTGAGAGGAAGAGGCACCTTCTGCTCAAGGGCACCTTCGCCCATCTCCTCCTCGACTCCTTCCCTTACAATGGGCATCTCACCACAGCAGAGGCCCTCGCCGCCGGCATTCCCGTCCTGGCCCTCCCTCAGACTCGCCCGGCCTCCCGCCTCAGTTCCAGCATGTTAGCTGCCCTGCAGCTGCACCCGAGACTTGTAGCTCGCGACCTGGAGGACTACGAGGAGCTCGCGGTCAGGATCGCATCGAGCTGGAACAAGAATGTGACGCACTCGTGGTTTGCGGAGACGAGGGAGGAGCTCAGGAGGAGGCGAGCAGTAGGAGAAGGTTTCTTCGACTCCAGGAGATACGCGGAGAAGTTTTCGCAAGCCATGAGCATGACGTGGGATCTGGAGGAGAACAGCGAGACGTTGGGGAGACGCTTCCACGTGATCTGCAACTGAGAGCAGCGAGAGAGATTGGAAGAAAAGGAGAGTTGCCTCGGAAGTTTTGTCATGATAGAGGTAAGAATAACTACTTGTACAATGAATGTTGATGATGGTCCATACGCGATGCCTCCTTGCTACAGGAAATCTCTCTTCAGCTCCCATCGTGTCCCTGCAGGGCTGTCATTCCCCCACCATGACCATCTCCTTCATCTCACGCATGTTGGCTTCGAGTTCCTCCCGCATCCGCATCCTTGCTAACTTCAGCTCCTGCTCCTTCGACCTGCTCCCAAAAAACAGTGCGATGTCCGCGTCAGGATGTTGAGTTTAAGCCACATCATCATCACCATTTCCCTCTTGACGAGTCGATCCTCTCAATCAGCTGCACCTTCTTGCCCTGCCACTTCCATCACCTCCTGCCTCCTCCCTCCCTACTCCCTCCTCCCTGCCTCCTCCCTCCCTACTCTCTCCTCCCTCCCTCCCTCCCTCCTCCTCCCTTCACCTTCTGGACCAGACCCAAGTCCCTGCAGAGGTCCCTGAGCATGAGCACATTCATCGTCTCAAGATCTTCTCGATTCGGAATGTCAGTGATCCTGGTCGTCGTCAGACAAGCCGAAGGCAGAGGGAGAAAGGTAGATGGAGAAAGGCAGAGGGAGAAAGGCAGAGGGAGAAGGCAAAGGGAAAAGGCAGAGGGAGAAAGGAAGAGGGAGAAGGCAGAGGGAGAAGGAAGGAGGCTGGAATCTGAGAAGGAGAAAGAGCGGGGGGTACGGGGAGAGACGAGCAGGAAACAAGTCACCTACCTTCCTTCCCACAAGATCTGACTGAGAATCTTCTGCTCAACGAACGTGACTCGCTTTGGCACTTCATAGATGTCTGAGTCTATCTGCAGACCCTCCGCTCCTTCCTTATCGTCCATTCTCGTCAGTTGCCTGGAACCACTGACGTCCCTTCGTTCCACTCGGATGCTGTTGGAGTTGAGCGTCATGCAGAGGGGATCAAGACGCCCGTGCGAGAGCTTCGAGCGCAACAGGTCGGCAAGAGATGAGGCACGAAAGAAGTTGTTGTGCAGGGAGAAAGATGAGCAGGAATTGATCAGAAACAGGAGAACTGAACCCAGCAGGAGTTCCTGTGACTGGAGCACAGCCATCCCTGACCACTCCTGGCTGGCTCTCGGTCTTGTTCTCTCCCTCTTTCCCTCAGCGGATGGAGCCAAGACAAACTGCCTGTAACGACAGGAAGATGTTACAATAGTGTTTACATTCCTCTACTTCTCAAGTAAATCCTATCCCTATCTTCCCTCTCTGCCTCTTAGGAATTATACCTTTGTTTCTGCCTCCTCTCCCTCCCTCCCTCCCTTCCTATCTCTCCTCTCCTCTCCTCTCCCTCCCTCCCTTCCTATCTCTCCTCTCCTCTCCTCTCCCTCCCTCCCTTCCTCTCACTCCCCTCCTCTACTCTTCATCGAGCGGCTGGTGTGGCCACCCTTTGAGCCCATGCCGAAACCGTTAAACGGTTACCAATCATATATGACGGATGACGAAAACTGTAACGGCCTGTGAGCGATGAAACCGTTCATTCTTCCATGACCGGTACTTAGATCGTGAATTGGAGGACACGGGTCATACGGGGGAGCCACCAACGGCAGGTCAACTGCGACAGGAGCAGATCATAGAAGAGCGAGCTGAGAGGTGGAGAGAAGAGAATAGAAGAGAAGAGGAGAGGAGAGGAGAGGAGAGGAGAGGAGAGGAGAGGAGAGGAGAGGAGAGGAGAGGAGAGGAGAGGAGAGGAGAGGAGAGGAGAGGAGAGGAGAGGAGAGGAGAGGAGAGGAGAGCCAAGCCGTGCGCCAAGTACAACTGGTTTGACTGAGGCGAAGACATTTGATTGAGGATGCCAAAGAAAGCAAAAGGAAAGGGTCCATCTATTGAAACCAACCCTGAGGTCCGTTGCTTCTTGTGTAACCTTGCTCCTTCGTTTCCCATCGCAGTGACAAGATTTGACGTCAGGTGGTATTCAAGCACACTGGCTTTTTCCCTGGCGACATCATTGCGGCTCCCTTCGGTACAGACTTCGAGCTCGTTGGAGTCGAAGTGAAGCAGATGTGGCCGTCTGGCGATGCAGGACAAGAGAGTGAGACGTGAGTGAAATGTCATCCTATCTACTGTCAGAGTTGGTACGGTCGTGTTTGTTGATGTCCGTCTTGTCTCCTCTACAGGGAGTCATCTCGCCCTGCCGTCGCCATCAAGGCGTTCGGGCAGCTCAAGTCTGGCATGCAGATTCCACTGCGACCAACAACCCCCGACGAGTTCGCAGAGATGGGCTATAGCAGAAGACACGAGGTGAAAGATACCGATGCGACGTGGGTCGTCGATTCCTGACGCAGCATGCTGATCTGCAGGCGCTGCACATACTGCGAGACACGCAGCGGCATCAAGAGAAGTTCCAGGAGCTGTTGGAGAACACTTTGCCCAAACCTAAGAAAGAGAAACCTGCAGGAGATGGGAAGGAAAAGGGGAAGAAGAAGAAGTAGCAGCATATCACCTGATATGGGTCAGGAAACTTTGTTAACAGCTGTAATCATGTTTTGAATATAAAGGATCTTAATCATCTTGACCTCCTGTCCTCCTGCCCTCAAAAGTTTTCAAAGTCTTTTACTCTTGCATCGGCTCAGTAGGGAAGTGACTTGGACATTGCAGCATTTCTGAACTCTGTTGGATCTTCACTATGCCAAACCCCGTCTTCCCATGCTGGCGTTGGATCCGAAGATTGGACGAAGTCATGAAGGTTTTCTTCGTTGTAAGGCCAGGCCTTGGCGTCCTTGTTTGAGTCCTTGGAATCGTGGGACCAGACTTTACCAGGAGCGTCATAAGGCCACATCATGGGATTGATCCGTTTGTTGGGATCGCACTTTGTCGTTGGGACTCTCTTCCATGCAGGGTTCCCCTCCTCTCTCATCTTGAGCACGTCCTCACATCCCTTATCTACGTGCATGGACACCTCCCAGTCATTTCCGTTCTCTTGCTCTTCTCCAGACCCCCAGCCGCCGATGCCTGAACAACAAAGTCGTGAGCAAGAACCTGGCGTGAACCGTCAATTTTCACCTGCTAGCATGATTCTTGGCGCGCGACCTTGCATGGACATGGATCGAACAGTTCGATGCTGAGCCAAGATCGCTGCTCTGGACATTTGTTTTTGGGCCAGCATGAGATCAGCATTGCCATGAGGGCGTAAGCGAACTTGAGGGTTGGTGATGACGTTTCTAGACAGGAGAGTGGAGGATGGTCCAGTGGTAAGCGAGACAACAAGAACAAGCAGAGCAGCGCTTGCTGCGCATGTAGCGACAAGAAGCTGGTCGCTCCTCCTCATCCTCCTCTCGTTACACTCGCGCCATTGGCTCTGCCATTGGCTCTTCGGCCGCGGTCAAAGAGGGGATGTGGCCCCGGATGCCAGGCTCGGCAAAAGACAAGGGTTTGCCACTGCTCGGAAAGAACTCAAAAAAACTTGTGACAATCTGAGGCTCAACAAGAACGGAACATGGCAATGCGCATAAAGCTATTAATGTCCATGTCGTAGATAATACTAATGTGTTTTTGAGGCAAGAAGATTGCTTTGCAATCATTGAATGAATAGAATCGTTGAATGAATAGATCGAGTTCTACTTACGGCGAATGTTTTCCTTTGCTTCTCTTGCAACTTGACTGTTGCGAGGTCTGCGAAGGAATCGTATCGTCGTCGTAGGCATCATTGTCGTTTCTATCCTGCAGCGGCTTCCCTTTCCTCTGGAGGATTGTAAGGCAGGACTGTAGGAACAAGGACCACAGGTACCTTCCCCTTCTTCTTCTTGCTGCAGTCTTCCTCGTCGTCTCTTGCAACCTGTCGACTCATTACAGTCTGCATGAGCAGAAGGGCGGGACCACCTCTCGCATGACCGCCGAGTAGTCGATCTTGAAGTCTCTTGCCGTACTTCTCTTGAAATGTTTCATCAAGTCCAGCTGCACAGAGGTTCAGCAACGAAGGAGCTTAGCTGGGGAGTTCGAACCTTGTTCTTGGACTCCTTCTGGATGCGTATGAGCGAAGCTTCGAGGCTCTCGACCTGGAAGATAAGGTTGGGGATGAGTCGCTCCTCCTTAGAGATTTTCTGTCGCAGAGTTCTCTCCTGCTCCACTTGCGTGTATCTAGGGCACAATGAGCAGGAGAACGGCAGGCAGCAGAACTTTGGACCTGATCACAAGCTGGTAGAGAGATTCGTTCAGTCTTGCTCCAATGTGGTGCATGAGATGTACAAATGGCTTCCTCGGGAATTGGATCTTCGATATCAGGATCCGTCTGGCGACGACATCGGCTGTTCTGTACATCCTTGTCAGGGCCCCTAGGATCAACTCCTGTGCAGTGGTGGGGATGGTAAAGCAGTCTGAGAGGTGGAGAAGGACTTCGACGATTCGATGTAATCGTTCGCATACTTCGTCTTCCATCTCGTTGTGATCTTTGCACAGAGCAACGTGCTCGGGAATATCCTTCACCTCATCATCATCAAACAGATCTGGCCGATAAGATGCATCAAGGAATGCAAGGACCCACTCTACATCGTCGCAATTCGCCTGTTATAGATCCTCAGTCCACATGGAGTGAAACACAAGGGAATAGGTGACCTTCACGAATTCCACTAGGGACGAAACTATGGAGTCTGAGTTTTCCTCTGAGACTATCGCATATTCCATGCTTTGTGGAGCAGATTCGGTCTCTTCTTCCTGCTCTTCATCGCGGTGAAGAACGTGCAAGTCATTGGCTAGCCGCAACGCAGTTTCTAATCCTTGTTGTGCCCAACTGACTCTCAACAGCAAATCTGTCAAACGCTGAGAAGACATCACTGATTGAATCATTGACGCAAATAACAAACCTTTACACCTTTTCCACTGGAAACTCGATTAGAATCTTGATGCTTGCAAAGATCATCGACCCATTTCTGTTTCATGCCAAGTCAATCTGCAGGTCATAGCGAGTGTAAACTTACGATCTGGAGAGTTTGAGAATCCACAGACAACATCAAAGTCAAATTTTGGACAATATGTATCACATACTCCACATGATCAGTATCATCCTCAGTTGACAGCATCTTAAATGTGTTCTGGAAGCCCTCTATGGCAGTCAGAATAGACGATTCATCAGAGTCTTGCCCTATCATTGCACTTTTGTCATCCCAATGTGAAAATTCTTCACACAAGTAGCTACACATTTGAGCGATTTCTGACCTTTCGAGCTTGCAGCAAGCAAATTGAATTAAACTGCACAGGCCATTCAACGACTGTACAGACAACTTCCGATTACTCGATTGTTGAGATCGTTTGGTTCCAGTCGGTTCGTACGGATACATTCTCTGTGAGGAGAAGTTGGCATGAAACTGCCTGAGCAAACCCTTTGCTATCTGATTAAATTTAGTGTTCACTTGCATTCCATTCGAAAGGTCATTTTTAAGCATTTCAACCATTTTGCTGGCTGATTCTATAGCATATGACATGATTGATGCGTTGCTAAATATCTTCGAAGCAAGATCAGACTGAAATTCACATTCATCGATTTGTTTGTCACTGATAGACAACAAATTCACAATGAATTCGTGACTAAACATTGTCGTGCTGAGCTCCATGCTGAGTCCAGCATGCTTCCGAAATTTATTGGTTTTGACATGTTCTTGCAGCAGCTTCACCAGATCTTGTATTCTTGAGAATCCTTTGAAGACATTATTATCTATTTCATTGACGTTTATCCTCGTGCACATCAAAGCGTGTTCCAGCAAAACCTCGTTCAAATCGATCACAATCTTTGCCGTACTTAAATGCTTGGCCGACGTGAAGTCTGTGTTTTTGTCGATGTCAAAGTCCTCGAGATCACTTTCCAGGATCCAATTTAGGATTTTGTCCATTATAGCAGTAGCTTGCGAGAACGATTCTGTCTGCAAGTCGGGAACCCCGTTCTTTCCAACAGTCTTGTTCTGCTCAACATGAATACACGAGCTCGCTAGTTTCAACATTTGAGGAAGAGATTCTTTTATGGCTCCTGTGTCTGTATCAATGCAAGTTTCAAGCATCAAAGAAACTCCTTCTGGTGCTGACTTGTAGTATCTGGAAAATCCAATCAATTGTTTTGAAGAGTGTAAATTGAAAGCGCACCTTTGAATCTGTGACAAGGTGAATGAAGTGATGTCTTCTAGCAAGTGCGGTTTGGCCTTGATTATTTCTCCCAACCCCTCATACAACTTCTCTCTGACGGACACCTGATGAGAAGCACATCGCCGCAACTGAGCAATCAAATCGACTTCAACGTTCACAAATGAATCCGCCGAACGGTCCGCACAGGTTTGCGCAATATACACAAACGCCAGAAGACCTACTGTCCTAGTTTCGACCTCCTTACTAAATAAACACTTTCGCAAGATGATTATAAGATAATCCTGTAAGCCATTCTGCAAGTGCAAGATTGGCTCAAGAGCTTTTATCAGAGTTATCGCTGTAGGCGGATTGAGGAATCCAATATACTCCAAGGTTTCTTTCACCTGTTTGTCAATCCGTCAGAAGTATCATGATTGGCATGATGGATAGCAGCACCTTGGGTAGGCAATCAATGACGTCTTTTGTACACTTTTTGACAATTTTCCCCAAAAGATTCACATAATACCTGACGCAATCATCTCGCACCAAAATTCTGGAAAAGATTTGCGAAATTATTTCATCTCTGGCAGATACTTGGAGCCTAAAACATCTTTCTAGAAGACTTATGCCGAAAATGGTGAGTTTGTGCGACATAGCTTTGCTGAGGGAATTGTTTGAAACACCAAGATTTTCGTTTGAGGCCTTCTTGCTGTGAGTTTCGAGAAGTAGAAATGATAGGCGAATCATGCCAGGACCGACATGATCCCATCCCTTTGAACTTCCTCTTAGAACTTGACGGAGGATCTTCATAGATTCTTAGCGAGTTTGCACTTCTGTGAGAACAAACATACCAAGTCCATTCTTGAAGGTTCGTGAAGCCGTGAGAGGCCTCCGATCCACGGGCTGTGCAGTTTTTGCATATGATAAACCTGTCCTATACTCAGCTAGGAATTAGGAAGAGTGTAGGAGATTACGAAATCATTTTCTAGTGACTTTTTGAGAACTTCCATCGCTTTATTTTCGTAGCGATGCACACTTGATATTGACAGGAGAAGTGCAACCTCAAAGGAGGAAAGACTTGTTACCCTCGATCTGTGCGCGAAAATTCAGGTAAAATTCATCCATCAAGTCGAAAAGATGTCAAGTCAGACCTAAAGATTTTGAGCAGATCTTGACCCATCGACAGATCTTGCTTGACTGCAAATGTGAAATGCAAAATTACTGTGCCTTGAACATGGATAAATTCCTCCTCTGCCATCTCCATGACCTGCAGCATGGTTTAAAACTTCATTTGAAATGGAGATGAGATTGTGTTACTTCTGCTTGACTGCATTGAGTGGCTGCAGCGTTGCAATTGACGTTCGAACTCATTTCATTGAACATGTCCAAAATTCGCATGAGAATAACATTCCGCTTTCCAGCATTGGACATGAGGAGCAACTGGACAAAGGATGCAGTCACTGAATGTGTATGGGTTCTGGTATGTTACTCCAAACCTGATAAACAAAGGGAGGCAGTTCCTGGACTTCCAATTTCTTGCATTCCTTGAAAATCCTGGTCATCTGAGCTTGAAATATCAACGAAATATTTCAGCCAGACATCAAATTCAACCACAACTTCCAATTGGTTTTCATGAAGGTTCAGCTCGCGCAGAACTGTCACGAGGGGTACGATCACTGCACGTGGCCATTCAAGCCTACAAATCTCGTTGATGACTTCCATCTTATATTCTTCGCCTGAGAATTTTACAACTCTAGTAGGTAAACCGTTTCTCCTAGATTCAATCTGCTGCGCTTTGGCCACCTACATCAGAAGGTCAAAGTTGCCGAAGCAAACGTCGTAGTATCAAAGTTGTTGGTGCAAACATAGTAATATCAAAGTTGTCGATGCAAACATCGTAATATGATTCATATGATTGGATACCTTGGTGAACAGCTTCGGCAGGAGTTCCAAACACTTTGCAAAATTTGAATGACATTGCCCTATGGAGTCCAGCAAGAACTCCACAATATCCGCACAATTTTGCTCAGGTAGGTCATCAAGCTTTCGAGAAGAAGTCAACAATTCATGTCAAAAACATCGAGCTGTCTAAATCACCTTGTTGATAATTGTGTGAACGATCTCAAGTCCTTTCCTTCCGGACGTCAATTGGGGATCTGAGACCATTTCCTACTTGTAGATCATGAAACTGATCAGGGTGGATGAAAGAAAGTCTCAAACCTTCACGAACTTCGTCCATGAATTTGTTCCGAGATCTTCATCGGTCGGGAGTGCAAGATCAATCGCTTTCGCGAGGTCATGAATGTCTCCTGCTTGCACCTCGGCAAACAAGGCCAGCAGGTTGCCTCCATTTTCGGACATGATGGTTCTACAGTCATCCAGCCAGCTTGAAGAAGAAGCTGCGTTCATGAGATTCGAGCTCTGCTGGCTCAGACTGAGCCCGATGGAGGAGGAGCTTCGCGCCCGCATCGCTGCCAGCAGGCGCGTAGCAGCCGACATGGAGGGGCGGGTTGGCGGCAAACTCTCGAAACCGGGGCTCCATAGTTTTAAAGGTTTTACTCAATGATATATATATTGTACGGAAATTATATATGAGCTATAGAATATGGAGTTCGTAATACACATTTTTTGTCAGAATAAATAATTGGCTGCTTTTAAAAAAGTTTTTGTGACTGAATTAATAAATAAATTCATACTAAATGTTTAGTCAAAGATGAGAGAAGCCCTCGTACACCTCCGATATGGTAGAGATGCCTGATACGAGATGATCTGGAGGAAAGCAACAACATGAATCGTTATGCAAGTGACAGAAATGTCGCAATCACATGTCGATATGGCGACACAAAGCATTGATGTCTCGCATTCGAAGGTTTTTTGTTGTTTTATCCAAGGTTTTCTGTTGTTTTATTGTTTCAGACGAATCATATTCAAAACACTCGTCACAAATAATAATCTCTCATGCATATTGTGTGTTCTACATTTACAACTCTTGTCTTATGATTTTCATCCTTCATACATGAAGCGCAGCCTTCCCTCGAACGCCTCCCTCCATGCCCCTTCTATCTCCGGGATCAACTGAGCTCTCCGGAACATGTTGTGTAGAGTGTTCTTAGCGAACTTCCTCTCCGTGGGCTCGTCGGTCTCGTACAGGCCGTCCAGCCCTTCCGTAAAGTCTCTGCTCCTCTCTGCAATCACTCGGAAGCCTGTCCACCCGAAGAACGTCCCCGCGCTGCTCGGCTCCTTGAAGTCGCAAGGCTGCAGTACGCCTGTCACCGTCGCGATGTGGAGGTACATGAGCAAGGCGCGCTTCTGGTTCTTGCAGCGCTTTGCCACGCACTGAGAGAGCTGCGCTTCCAGCACCTCCTCCAGCTCGTGGTTATGCAAGACTTGCCTCCGGTACTCCTGGATGATCCTCGTCGTTCTCATCCAACGCTGCTGGCCCTTCCTCGCCGTCGCTGGCCTCGATCCTCCAGCAGGCACCGCGGACGGCAAGCCTGTAGCCTCGATCTGATCGGTCGCATACATGTCGGCATCGCCTCCCCCGGGAGCAGGCTCGTAGGCTAGTCGCTCCTCGATCTCCTCGTGAGAAGGGACTGTGCGCACTTCCACTGCGCGAGTCTCGCTGAGGGAGCCTATGAGGCTCCAGTCGACAGCATGCCCTGGGTCGTCATGTAGCAGACCATCATCAGCCAAGAAGATGCCAGCATCGGAGAAGTCTACGGCCTGCTTGAGCTCATGCTGCTCATCGACGACGGGCGTCGTGTACAAGATAGCTGCTTCCGTCAGGGCAGGGTCAAAGTTTGAGTTGTCTGACGCCCCGATGTCTGCTCCAAGGCCGTCAAACTGTGAGTCCAGCCCGCATGCTACCCCGAGATCAAGCCATCCGTCCCAGGAGGAGCAATCCATGGTAGAGGAGAACAGGGACCAGGAAGTAGAAGAGTGAAGTTGAGAGGCTGTGAAGGAGGAATGTAGAGGAGGGAGGGAGGGATGGGGAGCTATGCAAAGAGGGACAAGGAGGGGAGGGAGGGGCAAGGAAGGAAGGAGAGGGGGGGAGTGCGTGGGAAGGGGAGGGAGGACTGTCGTGGGAGTGCCTCGCAGATAGGTGGTCCACAGATATTGAGCCGCTCCCCTCTAAAACTAGTTGTAAGTCCCACAAGCAGGTGGAAATCAACCCGCCACCCCCTTCAAACCGCTACAGACAGGGGGTAATATCAAATTCTCTACACCCCACCTATGAGCATGAGTTCAAACACAACCTACCCATGGGAATACCACACATTCCTGCTACCGACAGGGGGTTCAATGATACCACCGGTCATGTCAATGTCACCCATGAATCTTCGGAGACTACCCCCTTTGATATTTTTCCTCGCCGAGGTGTACCCTACCTCAATATCGACTGGACTCTACTGAGCAGACAGGGGGTTTGTCTGACAATGGACTGCCAGCATTCTCTAGGGTAGGGTAGCATAAAGAGATATATTTAGCATCCTTTTGTAACAAGTATTCCAAAAGGGTACGGTACAAACCACCCACGATCGGAACGAGCTTGCAAACGCGCTTCCCTCCCTACTCCCTGCCACGACCGTCCTCCCTCCAACTCCCACGCACTCCCCCCCTCTCCTTCCTTCCTTACCCCTCCCTCCCCTCCTTGTCCCTCTTTGCATAGCTCCCCATCCCTCCCTCCCTCCTCTACATTCCTCCTTCACAGCCTCTCAACTTCACTCTTCTACTTCCTGGTCCCTGTTCTCCTCTACCATGGATTGCTCCTCCTGGGACGGATGGCTTGATCTCGGGGTAGCATGCGGGCTGGACTCACAGTTTGACGGCCTTGGAGCAGACATCGGGGCGTCAGACAACTCAAATGGCCAACAGAACCTTGAAGGCTCTTTCGGAGAGCTCGATGCAGCTATCTTGTACACGACGCCCGTCGTCGATGAGCAGCATGAGCTCAAGCAGGCCGTAGACTTCTCCGATGCTGGCATCTTCTTGGCTGATGATGGTCTGCTACATGACGACCCAGGGCATGCTGTCGACTGGAGCCTCATAGGCTCCCTCAGCGAGACTCGCGCAGTGGAAATGCGCACAGTCCCTTCTCACGAGGAGATCGAGGAGCGACTAGCCTACGAGCCTGCTCCCGGGGGAGGCGATGCCGACATGTATGCGACCGATCAGATCGAGGCTACAGGCTTGCCGTCCGCGGTGCCTGCTGGAGGATCGAGGCCAGCGACGGCGAGGAAGGGCCAGCAGCGTTGGATGAGAACGACGAGGATCATCCAGGAGTACCGGAGGCAAGTCTTGCATAACCACGAGCTGGAGGAGGTGCTGGAAGCGCAGCTCTCTCAGTGCATGGCAAAGCGCTGCAAGAACCAGAAGCGCGCCTTGCTCATGTACCTCCACATCGCGACGGTGACAGGCGTACTGCAGCCTTGCGACTTCAAGGAGCCGAGCAGCGCGGGGACGTTCTTCGGGTGGACAGGCTTCCGAGTGATTGCAGAGAGGAGCAGAGACTTTACGGAAGGGCTGGACGGCCTGTACGAGACCGACGAGCCCACGGAGAGGAAGTTCGCTAAGAACACTCTACACAACATGTTTCGGGGCGCTCAGCTTCTACCTGAGAAGCGAGGGGCATGGAGGGAGGCGTTCGAGGGAAGGCTGCGCTTCGTTTTCGAGGGTTGAGAGACGCGAGTCTTTCATGAAAAGATGACTTGGAATGACATTAACTTCGAGATCGTGCGAGGACCTAAATTGTAATGATAATGTAGAACTAGCATTTCTTAGATGATCTGCAACAAAAAGAGCTCAAAACCAGATCTGAATTTCACCTTCCCTGCGAACCTTGATAGCATGGCTGACTGAATATTGAACATGTGTGTGGCATGAACTTGCAAGAACTTGTCTTGCGTGGTAACATCATGATTCATATCACAGCACCAGGAGACGCCGCGGGATTCACGCCGGTGGCTAAAATTGTATTTGAAATTTGAAATTGTGATACGAAAATTCAATTATACTGATTAAAATGTTGTTCAAGCTTTGAAATTTGACTCACCCATGGTCAAATGGTGGTGGAGCAAGAAGAAAGGAGGAGAAGAGAGAGGGGGAGGTGAAGGTGAACTCGCCTCGTCGGCCAGCGCAAAGAGACGACCGAAGACGCATCTGGTACCCAGCGTCCTCTTTCTCTAGATGTCTCTCGATCTGCTCACTTTCTGCTTCTTTTTCCTTCCTAGGTCGGCAGGCTCAGCGAGTTTTTCTGGAGCTCCATACCGACAGACGATGGGGAAGGAAGGAGAGTTGAGGTGAATGAATTCTCGATTCCTTCCGCTCCATTCGAATCGAAGATCCGATGTTATGCACAACAAAGTGTTGGAGCAAAGGTTTGGATGTTTCCTCTGAATGTTCGAGATAACTGCAGCTCGGCAGATTACCTGTATGTCGACGAATGGCCGAACCGTTTTTTGTGGATGCGATGATGGAACTGTCAGATCTTACATGGTTGAAGATAATGTGCAGAAAAAGTCCGTTCGAGACCTTCCGGATTCCTTCTCGTTCTTTGCTATCTCAGTGTTGAACGCACATACCGAGCCAGTGACCACTCTGGGGTGTGTCTGTGGAGAGGACAGATACGACTTGGTTTCTGGGTCTTCGGGAGGACAAATTCGAATCTGGAACCTCTCTCAGGAGCCCGTGGAAGCTGTTCTTACCATGTCACTCAACGGGGAAAAGGCTTCCTGCCAGCCAGCCATCACCAGCGTGTGTGCGGAGGTTGGAGGACGAATCTGGTGCGGTGCAAGTGATGGGACACTGTCAAGATTTGCAGTCTCGGGGGTACAAACTTTACGGAAGGTGCAGGCGCATACAAGCATGATCAATCACGTTCTTGTACTTCGCTCTTGCCCAGTTGTAGCTACAGCGGGAGCAGATTTCATGATCCGCGTGTGGGATGCTTTCAATATGAACCTTCTGGTATCCTACTGTGGGCATTCAGGACCAGTCGATTGCCTTGCTGAGTGCACAAAATCTTTCACCCTCATCTCATCTTCATCCTCCGACGCCTCCATCCGAGCATGGTCACTTCTGATGGAGGAGTCAGACGGCGAGGATGAAGAGTTCGGCGACGAGAGCCCGAGCGAGCATGAACCGCAGCACAAGAGAGAATCTCTCCTCGACGCCTTCGATGAAGATGTTGATTCCGATGCTTCCACGATCGTCGTGCGAAGCAGGGGGCCTTCCTCCTCCCTTTGCGCTCACTTGTGTGACCGGACCAATCCGACCAGCACCGGATACATCACGGCAGAGGCAGCACAACGAGGAGTAAACCTAGAGCTATACAGCGATTCAGCATCGCGCCCGGCAGCCCTCGACTACCAGAAAGATGTCTCCGAGCAATGGCACATCGCTTCTACGGAAATCTGTACAGAGAACTCATGCAGGTACATGTTGTTTCAGCGATCTGATGGAAAGTACTCGATCGGTCCACACATGAGCCACACGGTTAATCGATGCGACCAAGAAGATCTGTACATTGATTTTTGCATCTTTTCTGCTACTGACCAGACTGTGAAGGTGTCGTGTACAAGGAGGGCAGGTTGACGGTCTTGAAGTCGACAGAACGACATTAGATCGCAGGATCCCAGCCATTCCTGCATGCGTTGACAAGGCGAGAAGCAAGAGCGAGAGCCGTGATCGACCGTTTCATGATTACCTGCCTTCTTCGAGACTCCTTCCTTTCTTCCGTCGGGCTGCTTGCGGGTACGATTCACTATTCCTGTCCGTACTACGGCACATTGACTCGGAATGCAGCTGCATGCTGTTGGCAGACGGGCGAGTCTACACTATCTGTAGATGTGAGACGACCATTGATCAGCAGAAAAGTGGAGGAGCAGGGAAAAGCTCTACGTCAGAGAGTTTTTATTACCTGGAGAGCATCAGGTATGGGCAAAGGCGCTTTTTCTTTCTTGTTGGATTGTCTTCATTGTTTGTCCACAGACTCAACTTCCGGGATATTGCCAAGTCAAAGACTGTCAACAGCCTTCCTCACCTTGATGTCCAAGACATCTTGAAAGGCCTGTCCCTTCACGACGATCAGCTAAGAAATTCTTCCTACACAACCACCTGCATGAATCAGGACTGCTGTCCCACCAGCATGGTGCTCGTGAACTTTAGCAGCACTCCTCTTGTCATGACAGGTAACTCTTTCCCGTCGGTTGGGTGTTCTTCTCATCACAGCTTCTCAGGTGGACTTGACGGTCTCTTGAGACTTTGGACTCATCAATGCTGACTGAGACAATCATCAACTATGTCGGTATCGGTGTTAATAAATCTTGTAGATAGTTCATTATTGTTATTTGAGTTTATTAGACTTAGTCGAGAATTTCATGATTGCTGGAGTCTGCTCGCTCCCTCCTAGTAGGGTTCCGGGGCAGCCTTGGGAGTTTGCGGTACTAGTGGCGGCGCGGCCCAGCCTTGGTATGCAAGTGACTAGGCCTACCAAATCAACCGCTATTCGAACCGTCGGCAGTGACATTGTTATCTCAACTTGGCAGGTTTGTCACACCACCATGGTGACGCCTATTCCCAAGTTTCGTGCCACTCGGGTGCACAAGTACAACAGTTCCCATCACTCAGTCCAATGTACGGTCCGATCAGTGGCCCCGGGCCCTGAGACTGGCAGCCCCGCTGTCGTACTGGCCCGACGGTCCGATCGATCGGCCGGGCCCCGCGATGGAGCACACGGTTTGTTAGACTTGTACTATGCCAAAGTCACGCAGATATCACATCGACCTTACTGTATGCTAAGATGTGAAACCCAAGCATCCAGACATGAGAGCACCTTAGCAAGACCGGCGGCTAGGAAAGCCCCCTCTTCATCCCACACGCTACTGGCATGGGCCGCCGGGGCTTGACACGTCAGTCGTCTTGGTTTACAGGAGAGTTTTTGTCCATCACCCGGCATGATCGGGGCGCCCCCCCGGGCTCCCGGCGCCAGGCCTAGACTTACTAAGTTATACTATGCCAAAGTCACGCAGATTTCATATCGACCGGCCTTAGCTCCAACACTGAAGACAGTCACAGTATTGCTCAAGACCGAAGTTAATCCATACAAAACCATGCGTTCCATCACTCAGTGCAGGGGGCCGGATCTGTGGCAGGATCAATCCCAGCCTGGCAGTGTGGGCCAGGGCAGATCCGAGCCTGGGCCGGAGTCTGGGCCAGGCTTCAGGATGGCGTCATGATGCCGATCTCAGATCCGATCTTTGGTTTGTTTGTCTGCGCGGGGATGTGGTCACGGAAGGCACGTGAAAATGGAAGGGAGCGAAAGAAGTGCAGAAGCAGAAGCAGAAGCAAGAGCAGAGGGAGAGGGAGAGGGGGAGGAGAAAGAGAAGAAAGGAGAGAGCAGAGGAGAAGAGACAAAGAAAGAAGGTCAAGGAGAAGAAACTGAGGAGAAAGGAGCGACAGAGGACAATGGAGATGGGAACGACGACGGGGAAGATGAAAATGAGTCGGAGGAGCCGAGCAACCAAGGTGAGTCGATGCCTCTGCAGGAATACATCATGACTGAAATCCTTCGAAGAAAATGAAGGAGATCATGCTGAAACCAAGCTGTCCAAAAATCAACAGAAGAAGCAAGCTCGCAGACTACTGTGCAGCAGAGGACAAGGAGGTGCTAGAGGAGTGAAGCCTATCACAGGTTCGAACAGATGAAGCAAGCTAGGAAGCAAGCCAAGAAGGACAGGAAGAGAGCTATGCACGAGGCAAAAGCTGAAGGCAGCACTCAAGGTTACCTGCTGTGTCAACTCTGCGTGGAAGTGACCCACGTCTTTCAGAAGTTCGGAAGCGACCGAGAGTTTCCTCAGACCAAGAGGCTTCAGGCAAAGAGCAGCCGTCATGCAGGATTGGAGGGAGAGGCTCCCGCAATCGAGAAAGTTTCGATCAGCTCAGGAAGGATGGGCAGGTGAGGCCTCTAGCGAGGTTGCTGGACGATGAGGTGTGTCACAGAGAGTTGTCATCGACCTAAGCTTTGATGACCTCATGACGGAGAAAGAAGTCAGAAGCCTTGTCACGCAGGTGTTATGGATAATCATCATACGTGTTAGCAAGGATTGACTCTGATATGAGCGTATTGTACTGATATGTGACATCGTTGTAGCTGATATGTTGGTTTGAAGACGAGGACAACATCTTCGCAAGAAACGTTTGATTGACACTATGTTGCAGCTGGCACACTCTTACGGCACGAATCGAGCTTCCGGCAAGCCGCTCGACCTCTACTTGACCAGCGTCGACAAGAGGACGGTGAAACTTGTCGGGCGATGGACTTTGAGCGAGAGCACTCAAGTGTGTGCAGGCGGAAGGGCTGAAGAAGATTTCAGGGTTTGATAACTGGAGGTGCCACGTGGAAACAAGACATTTCTCTGAAGTTTTCCCAAAGAATGAGGTGAAAGAAGAGAAATGATGTCAGAAATGATCAGAGATCAGGTGGTTTACCTCACATCAGAGAGTAGTAACACGATGAATGTGAGGAGAATTTGTACTTGTGCATGGTTGCCGAGTTACTCTGATTGCAGGAACTCCAGAAAGACAAAGTCTATTGTATGCAGGGTCTGTTCTCCTTGATGTCTCTTAGCCTTCTCTTGCAGGCATCGGGGGCATAGTAGATCACAACCGGTACACGATGTCGGATTGCAATATTATTGCTGATGTGCAGCAGGTTGAAGGGGCTGACGAAGCAGAAAGCTGATGAGAATGGTTGGGACACTGCGAAGCTACCGCTGGATGGCAACATCGATCTTGGGGAGAGCAGTGAGTCTGCAAGGGCCATTGATGTCACGCATGATATGCCGTCCTATGTTCGATGTGATACAAGTGTGTTGCAGAAGATATTTGATATTGTTGTTTATTTGACGCAGTGAAATATTTCGTGTAATTATTTGATTGATACGTTTGATCGCAGGAAAGGTTCTCACTGTCAACCATGTCTGCTCTATTCTGCTCAAGTATCATGAGACAGGTGAAAGTCTTCACCTCGTCTCCTCCTCTTGCTCATCATCAACCGCAGGGAACTGGAAGGAGTCGCTGAAGCAAGCTATGCCCGAGAGAAAGTTGAAATGAATCTCAGACCCTCGTTTCCCCTCCTCTTACACCGAACCCTCGTGACCCAGCACCAGCACCCCGTACAGCTCGATGCCGCCAAGGCACAGCCTGTGGTTGCCCGAAGCGTTGGCTCCCGTCTGGAGGATACGGAAGTGCGAGAAGGGCTGAGCCGTGCTGACGGGATAGCTCGCAGCGTATCGCCCATGGTGGGAGGAAATGACCATGGAGTGATCGTTGCGATGTCGACGAAGAACCTGCCACGTCACTCCGTCGTTGGATCCCTGGAACTCAAAGTTCCTGCGTCACAGTCAGAACTCTCCTCCTCCTCCACTCACTCCCTACCTTAGCAGCATCGCCGACGTCGTGAAGCCATGTCGTAGCGTGTAGTGGGAGGGCACTAGGTGCCTGCCCTCTCCGAGGAACACTGATATCCAGCGAGAGCCGCGATCGGAGGAGTAGAGGTCAGATATCTCCCGCCCCGTCACGTTCCTATAGTCGCCCTCGCACATCTCCCCTCCCGGGTCGTTGTGCGACACCTCCACCACCTGGCTCAGCGCCGGGTTCCCGTACACTGAGGCCCCCGCGTTGGTGCCGAGGAAGTGGAAGAGGCCGTGCGTGTCGTGCTCGCCGGCCATCTGGAGGCGGATGAGGTTGAGCCCGGAGGCAGGAGCCTGATGCAGCTGCAGCAGGGTCCGAGGTTTCAGCTGCGCCCTCGCCTGCTGTTTCACGACAACCTCAGAGGCCTGTCCCCGGAAGATCCTTCCATAGACCTCCAGCCCGCTCACACTCAGCGAGTGATTTCCGCTAGAGTTCTTTCCGGTCATGACCAGCCGGAGGTAGCGGTAGGTGTTGCCCAGCTGGGGGAGTTTGACATCGAACGTCTCGAGCTGCATGGGTCGCCTCAGAGTCTCGTCGTTGACGTGCTGGCTCAGAATGTGCCAGCACGACATGTCAAGACTTCCCTCAAGGTTCCAGCTGCGCAGCATGTCCTCCCGGTCGATCCTCCCGTGCCTCAGCGAGTAGTGGGTGGGGCTGACTGAGATGGCTGTGCCGAAGTCGATGCATATCCACGCGCCGGCCACGTCCTTGGTGAACATCTGAATGCACTGGTCCAAGGGCGTTCCGAGCTTCACCAGCTCCTCCAGCTGACCAGTCGCTAAGCCAACCTCGTCCGCCAACGTCAGACTTATCCGCAGGTGGCGGAATCGATCGACTTGGCATGGGTTGACCCAGTCGTGCTGGAAGCCGTTGGTGCTGATCCAGTAGAAGATCCCTTTGGATCGCTTGCCGGCCTCGTCCCTCACGTACGGAACGTCCACCCAAATGTCCTCGTGCTCCTCCTCCTCGGGGATGTTGAGCTGATGTCGAGCTCGGCTCTCCTCGTCCACCTCCACCCTTGACACAGCCTTTTCCAGCTGCAGGAAGAATGTCGACCTGGAGAAGTTGAACCATGCTCGGATGCACATCCGTTGGAGCAGGAGAGGCTTAGTGCAGGCCATGATCCGCCACTCTCTGAAGCAAGAGCGAGCATGCACTGCCGACAGCTGCATGAAGAAGATGCTGCGAGGGATGCACGCGCCTCGCAGCACTTTGATCTCGCCCAACGAGATCTCCTCACCCTCGTGCTCCTGATGCCAGTCGAGGTCCTGCTGAGCTCGCCAGTCAGCGACGGAGATCGTCCTGAACGGCTTGACCGCGACCTGTCTCCTCCTGCGCTGTGAGCTCATGTCGGACGACTCGGAGCCGTCGGACTCCCACGCCTCGTAGCCCATCTCCAGGTCGTCGAGCTCGAAGCGTCTGAACCTGCTCACCCTGTACTCCAAGGAGGGGGTCGAGTGCGGCTCTAGCGGAGACTCCGCCGGGCTGTCCTCTGGCGTCGGGGGGGTCGGAGGCATGTCACCGTCGGAGCTGCTGTAGCTGTCGGAGGAGATCTCGTAGGACTCAGAGTCGCTGTTCGTGATCTCGATCCTCATGCTCTGCGGCTCCTTGCCTAAGGGCTCATGGGCTAGCCCGCGCTTCTGCCTCATGATCTCCTTCACCGCCCTCTGAATGATGATGGCCGCCGACTCGTGCTCCTGCGTGAACTTTGTTTTCAGCTGGATGTATCTGCCGTACAGCTCAAGTCTGCACGCGCACAAGCGAAAGAAGTTGCTGGAGTTGGGTCCCGTCAACAAGATCCTGAAGTAGCGGAAAGCCTGAAGCCTCGTGACCTCTTTATCCAAGTTGTGTAGGAAGAACGTTTCCACCTGCCCGGGCGTCTGCATCCTCGGGTCGTTCAAGTGCTCACGCAGGGTGATCCAGCTGTTCTTGTTGTTGCTCCCTTCGAACCTCCAGCTCCTCATCGCGTTGGACGAGCTACCGGATCCATGCATGATGCTGTACGCTGTGGCAATCAGGCCGCGGCCCTCTCCCAGATCGACGGCGAGCCAGGGGCTGTTGTCTTGAGACTCGAGGATCAGAACTTTGCTGTCCTCGTCACTCTCCGAGCCTGCGATCGGCAGGCCGACCCGCTCCAAGATGCCGGCATCGCCGTCCAGATCTGAAGATTCTGCTGTGCTAACCGTCACGCCATTTGCCATTAAGACTGGATTCTGGTGCTCGGCAGTGCCATGGGACGTTCCAATCCAATAGAGCACTCCCTTGCAATCTTCGTTGACTCCGAGCAGTTTGCTCGAGTACTCAAAGATGGCGTCCAGGGTTCTGTGCATGTAGATGCCCTCACTGTGTGAATGGAGATTGCCGGGGAGGAAGCAAAGATCTGCGGCAAAGTCGTCTACGATGGTGGAGAAGGCGCTGACGTCTTTCTGTCGCTTCTTCATCAAAAGGTTGATCGCGGTGTCACGGATGATCATGGCGCGTATGCGCAGCCTCCTGCGAGCCTCAGCCTGCTGCATGTCGAAATACTTCTGGAGCAGGAAGAGCGCGATGAAGGTCAGGATCACGTTGATCGGGTCTGTGATGAGAAGCTTCTGTACTGTGCTCAGCGACGATCCCGTTACCCACCCGACCGCCATGATCTCTTCGAAGGTGACGGCGAACAGCATGTTCAAGTAAATACAGAAGGCCATGAAGCAAACCGCCAGGGTGTAGGCAAAGTAAGTGACCCAACTCGGTAGAGGAGGGACGTTTCGGAGCAAACTTGCCTCTTTGGTGAAGACAAACTTCGACGGCTTCGGAGGTATCCCTGCATTCTTCTCGAGCGCAGTTCTCAACTTGTACCCCAAGGTATTTCGACTCTTCAGATGAGACAGAAAGACGTTGGAAGCCTTCTTGGCAGCTATCAAAGCTCGCACGGTCTTGACGAAGTCTGGCTTTCGATACACAGCCCCGTCTGGCCCTTCTCGAGGTGTCAACCACCAGCTCCTGATACCCACTGCATGTTGGACCCCCTTCATTTTCGCTGCAGCCATTCTTGCTCGTTGAACTCTTATGATCTGTCGCTCGTAGTAAGCGTGAGCCTTTCGCTCGAGGATCACGTCTCTCTCATGCTTTTCAACAATTGGTTGGATCCGAGAGGAGAACCTGAATCTTGTTGAAAGTCTTCCAAGTCGATTGAGGATGCTGGATTGAGATGATTCAGTCTCTAGAGCTGACTTGCTTACCACCATATTCTTCTTCGACTTCTTTCGACGTTGCGACATTTGCGGTTTCAAGAAGGAGCCGAAGCTTCTCAGGCTTGACCTTCGTTTGACGGGCTCACCTCGTTTCGCTTCTCGTTTCCTCGCCTTACGAAAGATCATCACGAAGAAGATTGTGCTTGGAATGGTTATCAAGCTAGACAGAACTCCGTTTCTGAGGGCTTCGCCTGGCCCAGCAGGCTGAACTCCGTAGAAGATAGCGTTGGCAGTCATGCTTGAAGCAACAAAGCAGAAGAATGTGGTGATCATTTGAGGTCGAGTGAGAGCAGAGTAAGGTCGACTTCTGATGATGTGATAGATAACATGTTTCTCCGCCATCATTCGTTGTATCTCGTTCACCAGCGAATATTTCGATGTTTTCAACTTTGCATCAAAAGATCTCATGTATTTTGCTGGTGACTTGGCAAAAATAGCATAATCTAGAAAATCTCTGCGCGTTCCGATGAAGATCGCCAAGAAGTAGAGGGCAAAGATGCTGGCCATAGCAAATATGATGATCAATTGAACACCACTCGCTGCTAGAAGAGCCGCGCTGTCGCCGATCGGATCGACCGTCCTGATCTCCACATTACCTGCAGACCCCAGAGCTGTGAACTCAGTGAGATGAAAGCATTCGCACACAATCGCTTCTTCTTCGATTCCTTTGACTGCACATCCTGTTCCTGTCCATCGGTTTGTACGGTTGTCCCAGTATGTACAAGTTTCCACGGAAGTTGCATTCTGTGTGCTAGTGTTGGAGGCATTCGTGACGGTTGACGATTGTTTTAGTGGGATCCGAAAGCGAATCGGATTCAAGGTAGTGACTGAGAGGCCAACCAGCTCATACATGATGGACCCTCCGAGCACGTCCTGCTTGTCTTTGCTTGCTGTGTGAATGTTGGTCGATGGATCGAACTCGAACATCTTCAACGTCACTCCACTCGTTGAAAGATTCCCCACCCCCTCCTGCGGTAGGGAGAAGAAGCCGCCAGAGGCGAGAGCCAGAGAGAGTCCGTTGGTCTGCGACGAGTCTTCTGAGAGTTTGGCGAGGGTGATGGGAACCTGCCCTGTCGTCAACCTCACAAAATCTTGACCAGGAACTCGTTGAGCCAGCACGACAGAGCTCAGTCCTTCAAGCTGATTCCTCGCGAGCTCAGCCTCTGCAAGCGAGCCGTTCTGAGCCAACGTCTCTTTAATCCCAAACCCAACCATGTTGGCGAAATTGTTGAATGAATTCATCGAGTCGACTTGGAGAGCCAGTGAGCTCGTCATGAGCTTTTCAATCAGCTGCCTGGTCTGGTTTCTACTCTCACCCGAAGGCGATTCCACTATCTGCATAGCTGTGCTGAGACACCCAGAGTACTGCTCGATGGCCTTGTCGTCAAGTGCAGCTTTAGTGAGGAGAGAGTCAGTAGCAGAGATCAGCGTGTCCTTGATCGCCTGATACTCATCAGCCAACAATCTTCTGTTTCCTTTCTTCGTGTTTGAATGTATAGATTCACTGATCCCGAAGATCGTCTGCAAAGCGCTGGATTCATCCCCGACATTCAGAGCATTCCCTAATGTACCCATTGACCCGCCCACCACGAGAGTCTCATTGGGCGGCAAGACGAGGACTCGCGTCAACTCGCTCATGGCGCAACCGTTGTAGATGTCACAGATCTGAGCAGACAAGTACTGCAAACCATCCGGAGGCGACAGCCTGATGGTCTGAACGTTCGAGACTGACGCCCTTGTCACTAGTGTGAAACTTTCCAAGTTTGAGATGTTGAGGTAAGTCCTCCAACTGTATGAAAGCGGCTCATCCCCTGGACTATCTGCCCATTCGAAGCAGCTTGCTTCCATCGGTTCTTGCAAGGCAACCACCTGTGTTGTGTTCAGTCTACAGTATCCTGATGCAGGCACGCTGTTTATCGTGAAGCTGATGTCAGCATAACTGTACTTTGCCTCGCCCTGCACGGCACATGTCAATCGAGCTGTGTAAGTTTTGCCCGAATAGAAGGAGCCAGCGGCGAATACAACGAAGCGATTCTGAAGAGTAGTCAGAGTTTTGAAGCCTGGCGTCAAATCTCCCGACAGTATGGTCCAATAGAAGTCAAAGCCCTTGTCCGCAGGCTTCTTGACCTGTCCTTGCAGCATGAAGGGGGTTACGGCAGAAATCTTCTTTTGAGCCGGAGGCTTGATGTAAATTTCAATCGTGCTGTCGAATACGTTTGCAGGAGTGACAGGATTGGCGTCTTTGGATCCCGACAAGACGTTGATATCCACGAAGGTTGAATCGTATCGTGGCCCAGGACCCTTGACAGCATTGACTATAAAGCGATAGGTGTAGCCCGGAGCCAGCAATCCGCCTGGGATCATGATCTTGGGAGATTCGGTGAACAAGATTCCAGTTGTATCATCAAAGCAAGGAGTGCCTGTGCTGTTCACAATCTCACAATTCCAAGTGAACGACCAAGGGTCTGGCGTCAGGTCAGGGTCATCACTAGCAGAAGCATCCAAAGCCAAATCATCGAAGAAGAATATTGAACGACTCCCGCCGTCGATGAATGCAGATATTGGACTGGCATCTACAATCACAGTGACATTGCCAAGTCCATACAGGTTCGGGTTTTTGTTCATGAAACCTTTCAATTGTAAGCTATACTGGTTTCCAACTACCAAGTCTGTCGCATGAATGAGCAGCTTCCGCGATTGGAATGTTGTTTCATCCAATGGAAACTTGTCAGGTGATGTGATTGTCCACTCGAATGTCATGGATGTGTCTTCTGCTGTCAGATTGGAAGAGTTCAATTCACAGAGAGAGATTGCGGCATAACCTTCAAGTATGATATCTTTTCGCCTGTCAATATTTCTAGTGCCAGAACCAAGGATGAATATGTATGGAATAGGTAAATCTGACACGGTGATTCGAATCTGTGATTCTGTCGATCCTCCAAATACATTCTCTACTCTCAAGACGAAAACATACGTCGCTCCTGGAACGAGCAGGCTGTTTGGAATGGTGAGGTTGGAGCCGATGACGATGCTTCTGAGGTACGAGGCCAGGTTTGTGGTGAACGGTCCTGGCAAGACTCCCCACGTGAAAGCCATGGATCTGCCTCCTCCCCCGTAGGAGGACGTTGCATCAATGATGACGTCATCGCAATATGAGATGAAGGATGAAGTCCGCACGACGATGGTTGGGAGAGGCACGATGGTCGGAGGCTGCAGGGAGGTGTCTCCCTCAGTCCAGTCTGAATCTTTCAGTAGCGTCTGAATGGTCTGCTTAGCAAGAGTCACGGTCCAACCCACGCGGATGGTTGCTCGGGCTCCTAAGGTGACTCGGAGGGTGATAGTATTCAACCAGACACAAGAGGATTGAAATCCGAGAGTGGCAACAGTGGTTGCATCCAGCAACAACTCGCAAGAAACAATTCCTCTCACCCCTCCCTGATCAGTATCACGATCAAAGATAATATCAAAAGCAGCTCCTGACTCTTGGAATTGTGCGACTACGAGTTTTGGACCTTCGCGCTTTGCTATAGGAAAGACGTAAGGGCTTCCGGAGATATTTCGAGAGTTGAATGAGATGTAAACTACAGCTATCCCTGGGAAGTTGCAAGTGAACGTCGCGCACCATTGGCCGCCATAGTCAGGAGAGGCAGTGAAGGTGACACTGGTGACGCATATGATAACTGGCCAACGTGGATCACTGCTCTTGCCCACTGCCGTCAGGTTGAGCAATTTCACTTCATTTTCACTTAGCTGCCTGCTGTTCCCGTATATATCCGTCGATACCAAGCAGAACGAGCTTGTTCGTGTGGCTATGGGTAAAA